TGTGGGAAGAGAGATGTTGGCTTTTGGGAGACCTATAATATTGATAATGAGAAAAATAGATAACTAGTAAAATAGTAACTTCACATTGACAAAATTATAAACATTATTTCATAATACGATTGGAATAAGATTTTACCAATTACATAACATGGTAAACTTAAATGGAAATCAACTGGTCGTGGTCAATGGGAAAGACACGGTAGACCACGCATGTAAAAGGAAATCACCGTCGACATACTACACAGGCTAGTAGACTCGATTAGGACCCTTTCGGTAACACCGACGCGGCGAGAGGGGACCCGCACATCTGAGCACCTTTAATTCCATGGATCCACGCATCCCATACACCTGTCATTCCATCCGAATATCTTGGTTCAGAGACTGTACACCTGGCTCGCGAGTCTCAACTCCGCGACGACTTCCAGGGGTATCTTCTTGGGGGTGGTCAGACCGAAGAGCTCCTCCATGTTGAGATCCTCTGGCGCTGCCCCCTCCGGAAGCCTCCACCGGAATCCGTGGAGGAGATTCGCCAGGCTCGACTGCACCATCTTCAGCCCGAGCTGATACCCCGGGCACATCCTCCTCCCCGCCCCGAACGGCAGCAGCTCGAAGTCGTGCCCCTTCACGTCGACGCTCCTCCCCTCGAACCTCTCCGGCCGGAACTCCTCCGGCGAGTCCCACACCGCCGGGTCCCTCCCGATGGTCCACACGTTCACCAGCACCTCCGTCCCCGCCGGCACGTGGTACCCCGCCACCGTCGTGTCCTCCCGGCTGTACCGCGGCACCAGCATGGGCGCCACCGGGTGGAGCCGCATCGTCTCCTTGACTACGGTCTCGATAAAGGGCAGGTTCGGGATGTCCTTCTCCTCCACCCACCGCTCCCTCCCCACCACCCGGTCGAGTTCCTCCCACGCCTTCTCGAAGATCTCCGGCCTCCGGAGAATCTCCGCCATCGCCCACTCCACCGTCACCGCCGAGCTCTCCGTCCCCCCCGCGATCATGTCCTGCAGACCAAAAATAAAATTTTGCTCAATCGAGAGGTTGGGAGATGGCGTAACAGAGTTGGGGAGTAGGGCCGGGGGCGCACCTGGATGAAGCCCTTGACGCCGTCTCTGGTGAGCTTGACGCTGAGGTTCGGGTCGTCGGCGAGCTGCAGCAGCACGTCGACCATGTCGGCAGGGACGAACTCCGGCCCCGCCCGCCCCCGGCGGTCCTCGTGCTCTTCGAGGACGCGGTCCAGGAAGGCGTCGAATTTCACGCTCAGAGCCTTCATCCTCCTCACGTAGCCCTGAAGGTCGAGGAAGTCCAGCCAGGGGATCATGTCGCCGATATTGAGCACCCCGTTGAGGAGGAAGAGCTCGTCCAGCATCTTCTTAAACTCCTCCGGCGACACAACGTCCGTCGCCGCCTCCTCCCCGGTGTATGTCCTCCCCAGCACCATCCTGCTGATCACGCTCAGGCTCAGCAAGTTCAGGTGGTCCTTCAGCAACACAGCGGCGCCGCCGGTGGTGGCGCCGGCGAGCCGGGCCAGCATCCGCTGCGTTTCCTCCAGCCTGATGTATTCGTAGGAGTCGAGCCGCTTGGCAGAGAAGAGCTCAGTGAGGCACAACTTCCTCGCCTGCCGCCAGTACGGCCCGTACGGGGCCCAAGCGATGTCCGAGTAGTTGTAGGTCGTGTACTTGCCCGCCGCCGTCCGCGGCCTCGACGCGAAGACGAGGTCCTGCGTCTTCAAGAACTCCCTCGCCATCTCCACCGACGACCCCACCACCACCCGCTGCGATCCCAGGTAGAGCTGCATGATGGGACCGTACTTCCGGGAGAGCTCGTGGATGGACCTGTGCGGCAGCTCCCCGATGAGGTGCAGGCTGCCGACGATGGGCCACGGCCGGGGGCCCGGCGGCGGAGGAGGCCGCTTCTTCCGGTGGGACGCCAAGAGGACCATCAAGATGGCGGCGGAGGCCAGAAGCGCCGCCGTGTAGACGGCCCAGGTGGGGAGAGTGCCTCCGTCCATGGGCGCCGCGGGGAAGTCGGAATAGGGAGCTGCTAGAGTCGCTGGTGGTGGTGGTGGGGGTGTGTGGTGAGGGGTGCAATTTATGGAGGAGGTGGCTCGGCGGGAGGGTTGGACATGAGCACGCCTGCGGTCTGGAGAGAGAGAGAGAGAGATTGGCAAGTTGTGCAAGTTGTGCAGAAGGGATAAGATCTTCCTTCGGGCGCATGTAAGGAAACGGCCCGATGCTCCCACCGAGATAAGAGTAAGAGAGAGAGAGAGAGAGAGAGAGAGAGAGAGAGAGGGGGAACATAAAAAGTGTAAGTATCATATAGATTCGGAGATGTATAATGGTGACTAGGTGAACGCCTCCTCCGCTCTCATCTAATGGTTGTTATCAGGCTATTCTCATGCCTTTCATGATGCTTATTTTTATCAGGCCATTCTCAGGCTCATTCAATCCTAAATATGGTATCATTCCCCAATAAGAATCTAAAAGAATATCATTGACATCAAGAAATCTGTATACAAACATCTCAAAAGAAATTGCATCACTTCAATATTATATGCTTTGTCTACCGACCATCGTCATGCCAAGACTCGTAAGACCATAAAATTCTATTGTATTTTATTATGTGGCAGACTAGTAGGTTGCTTGGGCGCTGCAAATCAATGGCTCACATCGATCCATTTCTCCGAAAGGATTGGAGGTGGAAAGCTTGGCCTATTTTTCAAAAAAAAATTCTACGAAGAGTAGTATATTTTCTCTCTCTCTCCGTCTCTCATACGAGAACCTTACGATTGTGGGTTCTCCTATTCATCCTGAAAAGGGAAACTTAGCCAAAGAGGCACATAGATACAGCACAGGAAAGAGCGGGAATCTAGGAAACGCTGTAAGGTTAATCTGACGCCTCCAGAACATCACGACCAACATGAGGCAGAGGGAGCATGTAAGATGCACGCAGAGGAAAGGGTTAATATGGGAAGGTGGGTAACGGAGCAAGGCTTACATAGAGAAAGTTCTCTAAACCCCACTCCACTCTATAACATGGAGAGAACTCTACCCTCCAAAAGATAGAAAGAGAGAAGAAGAAAGACACACTAGTGAGAGCTGTTGAGTTGAGGGTGCGGTGCGATGGCAGCAAGAAAGGAGTTGGGTGTGTTTAGAGAGAGTTGGAAGCATAGAAGAGGAGAAGTGTGGTCGTCTTTTACTCTTTTCCCTCATATCTACATCCTTCTCGACGTAATGCAAGTGCCTTTGTATCATTTCCTTACAACAACATCTTGGTGAGTTCAGTCCACGACGTAGGGGGTAGGTCATTGTCGACAGACGGTCTTGGACGGGAATAAGGTAGGAAACTTAGAGTTCCCCATGACGATGATTCCTTAAGGAAGACATCAATGAATGGATGGTGGTCAATCGTGTGATGATATCTTCGCTTACGATCAACCGTAGGTAGGTCAACAAGGACACATTTCATTGATGCCCATGAAATTTGGCATCCTCCTAGAATTACTTCGACCCATTATATTGTTATGTATATCAATTATATTATTATGTATATTTAGTAGAGGTTTGTTGACTAGACGAGTCAATAACATATTATTTGGACAATGAAGTAGGCATGTGGATCAAATCATTATAATTCTGATTTCCACAAAGCAAAAAGAAGCCATGACTTAGATAGTAATTCAAAAAGGACTGGTGAAACCCTTCCTCTTGTTTTCCCTTACACCCTTAAAACCAACATAAAAATAGAATTTACTCTAATAATAAAATTTAAATGATATTTTCATTTTATCTTATCCTTGATGTAACCCATTATTGACTATTTTTATATTTAATGCAATGGATGCCAAGTTACCTATTTACACTTACCTTGATATAATAGCTACATGTTAATCTCCATCCCCCTCATCCCCACACCTTATTCTCTTCCCTTCGCCTCATCTCTCATTCTCTTCCTCTCTTTCACCCTTACTCCCCTTAACTGGTTTTAATTGATCGAGCTAGCAATGCAAGGGCAATAACCTCCAGGCAAGCCTTGATCTCCATCTCTTTTGCCGAGAGGATTGAGGAGAGGCCGTCAATTGACCCATTAGTGGGCCTTTTCTAAAGGCCATTTAACGGCCCAATAGAGTGACTGACCGAAAGATTTGGCGCCTCAGCCCTACCACTGGAGGTCGCAAACGAATGGCATGGTTCTAGGCCCAATAACGGCCTAAGGTAGGGCCCGGTAGCAGGACATGCTATGCGCCAATATCAGAGCACAGAGAGTAGGGCATTGAGATCCTCGTCCACATTCCTACATGTCTCTCTCTCTCTCTCCGCCGTCGTGCTCCACCACCACCCGGATCCTCTGCGACACTGCCGGCAAAGAGCCCGAGGGGACCTCAACAACCACATGGGTTTCTTCTCCGTCGCCTGCTGCCTCACCCATGTCGGCGTCGGAGGAAGCCGGCTGGGGTTTTCTACGAGGAGATGGGGTAGAAGGTCGAGAACACCGCTACTTACCTTCGATACGGAAGAAGAAGACGGCGACGGCGGTGGCGGCGGCGTTCGGGTGGATCATGTGGAGCGACGAGCAGCGCCAGGTTAGGACCACCGCAAATCACAGCGAATCCGATCTGCATTACAGATCAAACCCTAAACCCCAGATGAGAACGAAGAAGAGGAAGAAGAATAAGAAACCCGAGCTGGATAGATCCGCGGGAAAACTCTTCTTCCTCTTTTTCGGAACATTCGGCCCCAAAAGGGGAAACATTGTAGATATGAGGTGCCTCAACCCCTGTGGTGGCATTTCGTCGAACAGAAAGAGTGCCCCAGAAAACAGAAGCTATATCTATATATACTTGTGGCAGGTCAATCGTCAACTGATCAGAGATTTTCCCTCCCGGTCGGGCGCAGAAAGGGTGAGGGCGGCGGCGACCTCGAGAACGGCGGAAAGTGGACTGACCTTGCAGGGTGGGGAAGAAAAGATCCATGGCAGGCGTGGAGGTGGAGCAGCCAAGCTCACGGGCAGAGGCAGCGACTGACGCAGCAGGGTTTGGAGAATCTCGCGCAGAGGCGGATCCCGTTGCAGCTGGGGCAGGACCACACGCAGCCGCATGAGTACTCCGGGCAGGGGCGGCAGCTGGGGAAGGATCGGCAGAGGCACCACCGCCGGCAGCGGCAGCGGCACTGCCGCAGGCCACAGCAGCTCCAGCGCCTGAGCGGCGCGCAGGACCAGAAGCGGCGGCAGGCCTCGCCGCACGCGCAGCAGATGCCGCAACAGCAGTCCTCCTTTGGTAGGGTGCAGGAGCAGGAGCAGCAGCTGCAGCAGTCCTCGGGGCGTGCACAGGTGGAGCACCAGCCGCCGCACGACGCCCCGTCCTTTGGCGGAGCACAGGAGCAGCTCGACCCCTTCGCCTTGGACGAGCGCCCGCAGCAGCAGATCCACGAGAGACCCGCGCAGAGCTTCTTCCTGTCCAGGTCGCAGAAGATCCTCTCATCTGGCAATCTCACAGAGAGAGAGAGAGAGAGAGAGAGAGAGAGAGAGAGAGAGGTACCCAAACCATCTCCAGATGCAGCAGGACTCGCTCTTCCCACGATTTCTGTCGGAGAAATGTACTGTGAGAAATCGGAAGAGTTCAAAATCTTCAGGAAAACAAGAGGGCCGAAGGCGAAGAAGCTCACATGGGTATCAACGGATCTGGATTTGCTCCCACAAACTCGTTGACCCTGTCAGAGATATCACAATCACACTCCATTTCTAATATGTGTGTGTGTACAGAGATATATATGTACATAAGCAGAACTTCCTAGTTTTCCGATGAATGAGGTGAAGTGTTCGGATATACGAGGCAAGAAGCATACTCTTTGCAGGATCTCGAAGCAGGCTGGAGGTCATCAAGCGACTGCAACTCCTCCTGGACGACGTTCAAGCCTCAGAAATTAAAATGTAGACTCTAATTTCCAGGAAAAAAATATTAAAAAAAGAAGCAATCGTAGAAATATTTAGGTCAAAAGAACGACTAGATCGCATCAGAGAAATTATATTTTCTTTGTTTGGATAATGAGAAAGAGAGATTATGAACTATGCCCACCAGACAAATCCTTTACTCAGATGGATTTTGACGACCCTGATTCTAGATTTTGGCCAACCTCTGCTCAAACCATGACTTTGGGTCCAAGTTTTCACAATCTTTGAGCTGCTTCCTCCATGAACAGGAGCAGGGCAGCTAAAGAGGAACGCACATCACAAGTTGTTCGACGACCTGAAGATCTTGGAGTCTTTCCTCTCCGCATGTGCCTCACTGAATGGCAAATATAGAGCTAAAAGCTCTGAAAACATAGAAATATCAAATATCTGAATGAAATCTGGTCAAGATTCTGATGGCTGACAATGGGTGCATAGATTGTGGTGGAGATAGTTGACTTGGGGTGGACATCATATCCCAAACATTTCATCTGCATGAAGATGCCGGCTATGAATATTTTCCCAGAAAAATCTAGAGAATCGAAGAACGAAAGGCAAACCCAATGGGACAGTGCAGACTCAGTCGATGCGCAACAGCGCGAAGGGTAGTCTGGAGACCATTTAACTCGGCTACTCTGTGGACACATCTGGAAGAGGAGGAACGGGGGAAGATCTGACGGTGACAATCGGATCTTTTCGGAGACCAGCAGCAGCAGCGTTCCTGTTCTCCCAAGAAACTGGGTAACGAGCAGGTCTCCCATCCAGAAGAGTAAACAATGGGGTGATGTCGTCCTCTTAATCTGAAGCCATAGAAGACATTGTTCCCGCTTCATGGTGGATCAGGGTTTCCTCACTCCTCTTCTACTGTTCTTTCTCTTACTACCCGTCCTTCCCCACCCGAAAAAAGAAAAACCTGTGGACACCAGTCGAATAGGCTGCTGGGTCGTTCAATGGCGGAATATCGAGGTGATTCCCACACCTGTCGCTGTTTGCCGCAATCTTACTTCATGTTGATGAACAGTAGGGTTTTCTTCTGCGTCAAAACATGGAATAGAGACAAATTGCCAGGATCATGCTATTCTGATACATCAATGTCAGGGCAATCCTGCGAAAGGAATAACTCCTCCTCGAAGGGCAAACGTCTTTTCCAAATCGAGAAGCTCACAAGGGCACCGGAGATTGTCCACTGCTCGTGCTTCGGCCTTTCCGGGTCTCTGCAACCACGAGACCCGGGGAGGTTTCCACACTTCAAGCTATGGCCATCCCCCCACCCACTCCCAGGGAGCTCCCCCTTGTTTCCCTCTCTCTGTAGGGATTCTTCAGGCGTAGTAAAGGCCAAGGTAACTACGGGTGTGTCCGTCGTCCAGAGCAGCGGACAGTGACTGAGAAACCCTATTTCCAGAAGCGGGAGGGAACGAGTCCCGACACCCCGCCAGCGGATGATCCCCCTCCCCCCCCGTCAACTTTACTGGGGATGCTCGGAGAGCCTCTCCAGAGAACCTTGGCAGAGAAGAGTTCACCTGACCGGGAGGTCTGGGTATGCTCGCGACGGTCATCGGGCGCCATTACCGGAAAAGGCAGACGGCGGCCTTCCCCTGAATCATGGTCGCCTCAGAAAGAAGGCTGACAAATAAGAGGCAAAAGAAGAAGGCGAGACGAAGCTCCTATCGCGGGAGGGAGATGCAGCGGGAAAATTTAAGATCTTGGCCATTACCTCGAGGAATCCGATCTCCCGGTTCAAGATCTGCACCTCCGCTTGCAGCCGGTGTCTCCCGCAGAAGTCCGGGTACCTCGGCGGCGACTTGGGGCTCGGTGCTGGCTGCGGCGGTGTCGTCATTGTCGCCATCAGCCGGCGGCGCTGCGATCGCAGCGGGAGGAGGAACAGCGACTACGGAGCGGCGGCGGTGTTGGTTTGTCAAGAAGAAGAAGAAGAAGAAGAAGAAGAAGAAGAAGAGGGAGGGGAGAAGTGAGCCGGTATAAATGCAGGGGAGGAGGAGGCGCGGGGGAGGACAGGAACCCTAATGATCAGGTCACCGCCCATCCTCCACGACGCCCCTCCTCGCTCCGAGAGTTTTTATTGTCTGCCCCCACTGCTGCTACTCCTGCTCCTGCTGCTGCAGAGCAGCCTACAGGCCAGGACTCTACTTGTAGAAAGGGGAAGAAAATTGGAGAGAGAAGAGAGAGAGAGAGAGAGAGAGAGAGAGAGAGAGATACAACGCCTGCATGCCCCAACGTACGGCCGGGCTCTTCGGATCTCCCTCCACCACCTGCTCCCCTTTTCCACTGTCCTCTCTCTCTCTCTCCCTTCTCTTCTCTTTTTCTCTTTATCTCTCTCTAGTCATCTATCTCTCTCTCTCACCCTTCCCCTCTCTTTTTCTCTTTATCTCTCTCTATCCATCTCTCTCTCTCTTCCCATCTCCCTCGTCTGCTAGCACCGTTTCCATCGCGTTGGAGACTGTCAGAAGGAGAAGACGTCCGTACAGTACATGCACGTGACGTTCAAAGAGGCAGAGCCAAGCTGGCAGCCTCGTCAGCTCCCTCCTCCGTCCGGAAATCCGACTCGACTTCACAAATTTGAATACACGACGCACCGCTTGCACCTCCTCAGCGGCTCCGATGTAGACACTGCTCAATTAATAGCTATAAAATAATTGATTTTTTGTGACTATTTATCACCCATTAACGGTCAACCTTTGAACAACGATAAACTTACTCGCGGGAACCAGAATCCCGTACTGGAACTCGAGCAAAGATTCTCGAGATCCGTGCAGAGGCCCGATTGTCCCTCGCCTGCAGGGGTATTGTAGGTACGTCCTCTTCGAAAGTAGCTCCCGCCACGTCATTGGATTCTCTTGGATGTGACCCCATGGGCATCGGCAGAAAACGGCATTTAACGACAAAAGGTCCGATTTGTCTTCTCATGAGGGGACATGCGCCCCCTCCCCGTACACATCGAACCGTACGAGACGTGTTAGTCACTTTTCAACTGAGTAGATGTGGCCCACCAAAGATACCGGCTTAGATCCGATAGGATCAATTCGACTGCTCTACCGTCTGATCAGCTGGGGCCATCAGAGTGGAGCACGCACGTGATGGATGCACGTGCTGCAAGTACTCGTAAACTCGGAGCACTACCGCTAAATTCAAAAAGCTGTGCGCCGCACGTGCGGGTTCGTAGAATTATTATTAAATTGATCCATTAAAATAAAAATAATTATAATATTAACTGAATGTCCTGCAGAATTGGAAGAAAGGCCAAACGGGACAGATCCAACTTGCAGCTGACAGTACTGACATTTTCTCTTACTCCCCTAAAAACGTGGAGACTGACGCTTGTACCGCCTGTTCCTTTGTAATTGCCATAAAGATTATTAGTTTTCAGAAGAAAACAAATCACTGATATTTTAAGGGTTAGTCTAAATTTTCAGGGAGGCTGGAGAATCCTCGACGACGTCCACGAGGCTGCCACGCGGCGTGCGCAGGAGTCCCAAGATGGTGCCCAAGTCCACGTGAGTTAGTGAATATAAATGCGCCAAGTGGGAACCTCGAGCCTAGATCAATATTAAAAAAAATATTACTTTAAGGGTATGGCCCCACCCTTTTTAAGCTCAGGCGTGTCGCCCGCTAAGGATGAGTCACGTATTCCACCGTGGCAGATGCCCCAGATTAGGGATAACACGTGGCTATCTGGGTCACATCATAGTTCGTGGTTTCATTGATGCCATGATGGCCTGGCAGCCCAATAAGGAGAAAAGCCCGAGTTTCGACGAGTCAGAAGTCTATCTTAGGACTGCCAAACAAGGCTCCCTGACTGGCCCCACGCCCAAACTATTTGGGCTGGAAACTACCTTCACTGTCGGGCCGCCCCACTAGTTGATTTCTAAAATTAGTCTTAGTCACGGATGACGGCACGTGTTTATCCATCCAAACTCCAAGTGACGAACGGACGAGAGCCGGCCACATATGCCCTGCAGGATCGCCGCTCCGAACCATTTCTGCATGGGATCGGTAGGGGAGCGGCGCGCACGTAGACGCCGACGTGTTGTTTTCCAGAATTCCTTAGAGAGCCCCATCCTTCAAAGACAGCAGCTTCCAGAAAAACCCTACTCTCTCTCTCTCTCTCTACCCCTCTCTCGCTGTATATATATTGCTCTCTCTCTCTCTCTCTCTCTCTCTCTCTCTCTCGCTCTCGCTCTCGCTCTCGCTGTGTCTGTGAATGTAATGGGAGGGAAGGAGCTGTGGCAAGTGCGGCAGCACGTGGTCGGGGTGGCCGGAACGGTGGCGGTGGCCTGCGCGGTGATGGGCGCGGTGGGTTGCGCCGTGGCGGCGGCGGCGCAGGCGAGGAGTGCCTCCATCTACGTTGAGGTCGCCCACGCCGTCTGCTGGGTCGTCTAGCCCACCCTCCTTCCTTCCCTCCTCCTCCTTATCTCTTATCGGATCCTGGTTCACTCTACTTCATGAGTCTCTCTCACCACCCTTAATTCTAGTTTAATTATAGTTCAAATGCCCGATCTCATTATGATTAAGACCGTAATGCGACACGAGGAGGTCGGGCCACTTCATGGGCTCAAACTATTGGGCCTATATAATTGGTCCAGATCCATTAAAACAGTGGGCTTCAGCCGTTCCCGGTAGATTGGTGAGGTCGGTCGACTTCGGATTGAGATAACAAGCTTGAGATTGGTGAGCCAATCCCGGTAGACGTGTCTCAAAATCAGCCGTTCGATTGACTTAAACCCCAAAGACGGAATCGGACTCCGCTCATCTATTGGGACCGGTCACCCCCGCCGACTCGGCCGTTCCGAGTCACTCTTCTTCGGCGGATTTTCCCGTTCATAATAATAAATAAATCGAACCCCTACGCTGAGAAAAGAGAAGAATGCTCCGCCGCCGCCAGCTTCTCCACCCTCCTCCTTCCGCTCGGGCCTACTCCGCCGCCGTCGCCGCCGCCGAGCTCAAGAGCCTCCTCCAGGGACCGATTCCGACCCGCCATCTGCTGCAGATCCACGGCCGAGTGTTCAGAGTCGGCGCCCACCAGGACGATCTCATCGCCACCCGCCTCATCGGCCAGCATCTCCCCCGCCTTGCCCCACGCCTCCTCCGCCTCCTCAGCAACGCCGGAATATTCCCCTTCAACGCCGCCATCCGAGTCCTCGCGGATTCCGGCAGCTCCGCCGCCGCCTTCTCCGTCTTCAGGACCCTCAAGCGCCGCTCCATCTCCCCCAACGCCTTTACCTTCTCCTTCCTCCTCAAGGCCTGCTTCTTCCAGTCCTCCCATGGCTTGGAAACCCGGCAGGTCCACGCTCAGATTTTCAAGCATGGGCTGGAGGAAGATCCTCCCCTCTGCAATGGTCTCCTCTCGGCGTACGCGAAGGGCGCAGATGATCTCTCCAATGCCCAGAAGCTGTTCGAGGGAATGCCGGAGAGGAGGATCGCCGTTTCCGTCTGGTCTTGCTTGATTAGAGGACTCGCTCAGGGGGACCGGCCGGTGGAAGCTCTGTCTCTCTTCCTGAGGATGCGAGAGGAGAGGCTCTCGCCGGAGGACGACACCATGGTGGCTGTTCTGTCGGCGTGCTCGAAGATCCAGGACATCGAGATATGGATCGAGCTCCTCCTCTCCAGCCGCCGACCTGCTGATGCAGATGATCCGATCGACATCATTCTGATCTACCTGTGCGGGAAATTGGGCGAGATCGAAAGGAGCAGGGTGATTTTCGATGCAGTGGTTCAGAGATCCGGAAGGAGGACAAGGATGAGCATAATACTCTGGAACTGTATGATCAGCGCGTGCGCTCAGAACAGCCGACCCGCCCAGGCTGTAGATCTCTTCCACCGGCTGGTTTCTTCTCCAGATCACCCGAAGGCCAACCACGTCACTATGGCCAGCATCCTCCCCGCGATCGCCGAGATCGGAGATCTCGAGCTCGGTAGGTGGGCGCACAGGTTCATGGAGGCCGATAGCCGCCGCCAGGGTGTTCTCCGGAGTAACTCTATCCTCGCCACCGCCTTCGTGGACATGTTCTGCAAGTGCGGGAGCCCCGAGGAGGCGAGGAAGATCTTCGGAGGGATCGCGAGCAAAGACGCTATCTGCTTCAACGCGATGATGGCGGGGCTGGCCGTCAACGGGCGGGGAGCGGAGGCGCTGCAACTCTTCGCAGAGATGAGGGAGATGGGCGTGCGCCCCAATGGGAGCTCCTTCGTGGCCCTCCTCTCCGCCTGCAACCACGCGGGGATGGTAGCGGAAGGCCGCCGGCTGTTCGAGGAGATGCAGCGGCGCCACTCGATCAGGCCGGAGGCGGAGCACTACGCCTGCTACGTGGATCTCCTCGCCCGGAGCGGGAGGATCGAGGACGCGGCGGCGGTGGTGGAGGCGGCGGCGGCGGCGGAACAGAACGAGCAGGTATTGGGGGCGATCCTCAGCGGCTGCCTAGTCCACGGCAGAGTGGAGCAAGCGATGGAGGGGGGCAGGAAGCTGGTGGAGGAGGGGCCGGAGATCGCCGCCGGATACGTGATGCTATCGAATGCCTGCGCCGCCGGCGGGCGGTGGGAGGAGGTCGCCGGAGTGAGGGGGTTGATGGTGCAGAGGGGACTGAGGAAGGAGCCCGCTTGTAGTTGGATCACCCTCGGAGGAGTCACTCGCGAGTTCCACGTGGGATGTCTTGATTGGATGGAGTTTCATATTGTTCAGGAAATTTGGAAAGCTTGCGAGTTGGTCTAAGGCGGCAGATTAAGGTTCTGGTCCGAAAGGGCGTGGGTTCAAATCCCACTCTCAACAGCAATTTGTCGAAAAAAAATTACGCTTTTTCTTTGAATGTGGGTAGAGAGAGCGAGCGAACCGTCATTGAAGTAAATGGGTCACATTGGGTCTATTTGGGCCTCAAGCCCATAAAAGTATCTGCGCGGGTGGGCCCAGTCTACTAGCTGCATTTCCTCGGTTTTGTTCGGGCTTCGACCCGGGGGGGTAGTAGTAGTAGTAACCTGCTTAAAATTGTAAAGTCAAAAGTCAACGACCAAAGGCTCACAGGGGCGACACGTGGCTGAGATCGCCAAGGAAGAGGCAGCCGAAGACCGTGTTGAAGAAGTCGGAGCCCCTGAGATCCCCACAGCCCCCCACAACTGCCTCCATGTCGTACTGGCAGGCCCGGTGGCAGTCCGGGCAGTAGGTCACCTGACCGGGAAAGGAGCTCCAGAATGAGATTGATCGGTTGGCTTTCCAGAGATAGCTTTCCATTACGAGAATGAGTTATGAGAAAGGTCAACGGGCATGGTTGAAGTGGCGGCAAGGGCCGTGGGAATACCTCCAAGAGTTTAGGGTTGAAGGCGGAGTCGATCATCACGTCAACTCCATACATGGCCCTGGCCGAAGAACTGTGCATCTCCGGATGAACAGCCGCCGCCGAGTCAAACACGCTCCGGATCATCTTCCTGATTCTCTCATGGATATCCGACCACTCCACTGTGGAATCAATCAATCACACACAGAAGACACGCATCAATAATAATAATAATAATAATAATAATATCAGAAACTCTTCGAGTGGTCGGCATTAATATTAGTAATATTACTAATAGTAGAAATAAGAGTTGAGATAATATCTGGACAGAGGAACTGGAGATGAGGGGGCATAACCTTGATGCTCTTTCTCGAACTCCCTCACGAAGTCAGCGGTGTTCATGTGATTCAGTCGCCCGATATAGTTCTGAAATGACAAAACCACAGATTATAAAACCAAAGTACGGGTGGAAATAGTGGTTTTTTCTTTCTTTCCAGTCTTGGGTCTCTCTCTCTCTCTCTCTCTCTCTCTCTCTCTCTCTCTTGAAGAATATAAATTCCACATAGTAATAGAAACAAGCGAGATAACAGAGGAAAGAGAGGCTACCCATTGCGGTTCTCTCTAGATTCTTCAAAAATATGAAGACTTTCCAAACCACACTGCCTCTAAGCGATGCCCAGAAATAGAAAACACACGCGCTCCTTACCATAACAGTGAAGTGGGTCTCGTACTCGAAGAGGCTGCTCTTGTCGAGAGTGTACTCATTATTCGCCAGTCTCACCTGCACCAATAGGGTCAGACAATAATTATTGTATTTTCCATTTTTAAAAATATAAAATAAAATAAAAGGGAGAAGAGAGTGTACCCAGAAGACATCCGAGAGGAAAATCTCCACGGGGTTCATGCTGCGAACCAGGACGATGTAGCGCAGATCGAACTTCTTCTGCTGGAACAACGCGGGCCGTTCGATGTACTTCTGGCAGATCTTCGGCCCGGTCTCCATGAGCCTTATGATAGCCGCCAAGTCCCCAGTCACAGTGGTATCGATGGTTCTCGCCATGTTCCACGGCTTCAAGATCCACAGATTATCCGAGCCGTCTCTCCTTCGCAGGCAGTAATCTCCGATGAGTTCGCTCAGTTGACTTTCCAGGTCATACGTGGGCTGCAGCCAATCAGGAGAGCCTTGGGCCTGGTAGAGTTTCAGACATCCTTCAGCTAGTCAACGTGTGTATGAGTAATGAACGGAAATAATACCCCATAAAGGTGCTCTGCTCTTATTTAATTTCTACTGGATAAAAAAAAATCACTTGCCAGGTTTGGCTCCAATAAAAATAAATAGCGAAAACTATTTTCCGGTTTTTATCGTGAAAAATATCGGATCCCATAAATACACAAATCCATAACTTTATCCGGTGAAAATTGGCGCAAGCCATTGCACATAAATTTTTGAAAAAAAAAGGCAAAAATAAAAATATTTTAAAAAGATGAGCCATAATTTTCCTATTATGTCAACATGGAAAATAAATTTGAATAAAACGAATAATGCAATTGATTTTAGCTCGTATGATCCAGCAAATCTGATATTACCTGGCTTTCAGGTTTCAGATCCAAAATCTAATGATGCACCGATTCAAGCATGTAAGAAATGAGGCCAGGTAGTAGGCATGCATCATAAGATCACCGGAGCACATTTGGACCAAAGGGAGAGAAAACCTTATGGATGGTCTCCGCCAAGTGGTGTTTCATGACCAGGCAAGCTTCGAAGGGGAATTGATTGACATAATGGCGTTGACTTAGTCCGAGCACGTTCTTCACTTCTTCATCCACTTGAAGGCTTGTCCATATAATTTCAGCATCTTTAGGATCGGTTGCTGCAAATGGGATACATCGCTGACTTTCTTACAAAAGAGATGATGGGTGCCAAAGAATCTCAAAGAACAGCGCGGTCTCATTGGCAGACTTTAATTCATTCGCAGGTTCATCTCTCAGCATTCCGATCGATGCGAACCTTTCTTAAAGCTCTTAAACGGAGCCGAATTAATAGATTACCAAACTAACAGCTACGTTAGTCGCGTACATAATTATCTATGATCTAGTTTACCAAAAGTCAAAGAAACCAACAGCAGAAAAATGCGCAAATGACTCACTGAGAACAAACTCTGGGCGAGTCAGGTATTCTTCTACTTGGGGAATATCTGTGTAAACGCATAGTGGATGCCCATCAACAGGAAGAACACTTGTAGTCGTTGGTGCCTCCAGAGGAGGAGATGGTAGTCTTCTTGATAGGAGTTGTTCACTGTATCGCTTGAATTCCTATGGAGGAGTAATAAAATATCACTAACATTTAAACGAATTTAATAATCTGCAACGCAGTTAAGAAATAGGACCTGAATAAAATAATTCTCCGGTGTGTGAAACCAAGCGGTAAGCCTGGCGGAACGTTGCTTATCCTCTCCAATCCCAAACAGGAAATCACGGGTGCACTCCTCCCCTTTGACCACGTCCCGGGTCGGCCACAGAACTGAAAAACTGAAATGAAATGATTCCTTTAAAAGGCAAATTGCTTCCGTTGACATGCGACAACGGCTTCAAAAGGCAGTCAATCAGAAAGAGAAATAATTGACTAGTTAGTTACTACTGTGTTACTGACTGTGAAGACTCCATCATACAATAATATGGATGGCAAAAAGTATCTCATTTCTCCATTTTTACTAAAAAGAATTTGCCATTATGAACACTTAGGAAAAGCATACAAGGAAGATGTACATTGCACGTCCATTAATATCAATCAAGGAATGTGAATGTAGATTTGACCTGAAGAAAATAATGAAGGAGAAAGAGCATGTATGGAAGAAGTTTGGTTAGTTTAAATGTACATAAATGGGAGTGGACACAGTCTCATACAGCTTTTCTAAGTGAATCAAACATTTCTGAATCTGTCATTCCTTTAGTTTATCAGATGTGGTCGTTTCTGAGCTCATAAAACCGTATTCTATCAACATGCACTTCAGTAACTCCACGTAAGGAGTCTTGTTCGGCACAACGATATCAACAGAAACATAGGATTTACATGATACAGTAGAATTTTCAATGAACTCGGCGTGATTAGATTTTATCGCTGAAAAGCTGACACTGGATAAGATTTTTGTAATTCGAGTATAATCAGCGAGGAGTTCTAAGAATGAACCAACGCCTGAGCATATGTACGAAAAATCAAACGTGGTGTCTGAAGAAAGATGATTAAAACGAATAACCATACAAAACTTATAACAAATAACCATGCTACTTAAGAAAAGAGAGAACCTTATAGCCGACCCGAGCTTTCCATTTGGCAAGTATAAGAACGGAGTCACTCTAAAGTTTGCCTTGTCACTATGCCTCAATGCTGAGCCCAGTTCGTCCATTACATACCTGAGACACAATCAGACTGATGACTAGAGAGAACTGTTATCGGTTCAACATAGATGACATAACAATATCGCATCAGATTGATCTAAACTAACTGGTATCATCACAAGTCAACAGAGAAGCCAACATAAATTGTTCACTGAAATTTGAACGGATGCACAACAGATCGTTGTTGGGCTCTTCAACAAACCCTAATCTGACAGTAATAAATAAAAGCTAATACAAACAACTATTATCCATCTAAGAGAGTAGTACTTGTTAAGGGTTCAATACCACGTCAAAACGCAGTATCAAGAGAAAAAATAGAGATAGAATGTGAGTTCCTTGAACAATCATAGAAAGGTCGACCGAGAGAACTATTACGCATTCAAGCCTCCATACTCTGAATACCATATGCTCAAAGAGTTTTCTACATGCGAGGTGCATCAAGGACAAGCCCTATGTTCCACAACATGGACATAAAATAAAGAACAACAGAATCTAACTTTTTTAGGGTTCAAAGGAATTATTGAGTGATGAATCACATTGCATTTAAAGGTAAAAAATTAAAGTAGGTGTGGCGTTTCCATACCATACAGGAGTTTCATCAATTTTTTCCTCATCAGCAAGTCTGTAAGTCATTAAGTATAACCACATCGCAGAGATTATCCGATCAGCCAGGGAATCAGAAGACGCCCATTCAGGTAGGCGGGGCTGAAGTGCAGAATCAATCACATGTTTTCCACTTTCTAGAATATCCATTGTACTCACACCATTCAGAGAAGAGAGACTGGGAAGCGCTTCAATAATTTTTATTGCACTACAGCCAAGAGAGCCGGGAATATCAATCTGCAAGACAAAATAATCAGTGATAACTCAACTAATCGCACATAAGTAATGAATGCTTTCCCAACAGATTACCTCCAGAAGTTTCAGGCAAGTAAAGCCTTGAAGACACTTTATGAGATCACCAGTAGAATCCTGATCTAAAGGGTTTCCTCGTAGATTCAGATGTGAAAGAGATGGCATTGCAGAACCCGAGAAGACCTGCTACTATAAAGGGAAAAAGTAAATGCACCATAATATACTGCAATAAAATGCAAGCCTAGTTTAAATTAGTTTTAATTAAGTGTAAAATAAGCACACGCCGTGCAAGCAGAAACCAGAAAATGTAGACTTGATTTGAACGCTGAAGATAAAAAAAATGTATCTTTCGTGCCATATGTAGTCATTTTTTGAAAAGAGCCGAATAAGAAACAGCAATCCAGGGACATATCCAAACGGAAACTAATGTTCTAGAAATGCATAAACCTTTAAGCAACAAGGTATATCACCTTATTGGATAACTTCCTGATACATCTGTCTGACAGATCGAGTGACGTAATGGTCTCCAAAGGACGAGTTGCATGTGATACATTATCTGGGTTATCCATATCATACACCCCTCCGCAAAAACCCAAAGCCCATTCACCATAATTACTAGTGAAAGCGGAATTATAGATTTCCAAACCAGGTATAAGTTCCAAAAGTGTGTCTGCAACATGACTACTGCACGAAGAAACAAGGTGTCAAATTCTGAGGAAAGACTGAAGAGCCATAGAAGTAATAAAAAAAAAAAGAGAAGTCGTGGCTTTGTTAAAACAATCTTCAGTTTATAACAGGGTATAGTCAACACGGACACAAAGCTCCCTTTGACTCATAAAAATCGTTCTCAATGAATGACACCATGACATTGGTTGTTTTTCAGTTTTTTCCACACAAAAAAAAACAATATTTTGATTTTTTTTCTTTTTTCCAGAATACAACACCTCGTCAGACTTCCAAGTCTGCCTACTTGGCTGCATTCAAACAAGCACTAATATGCTACCTTATCGTTTCATGTGGTGAGCTCAATGAAATAGAGTAAAATCATAATAGTTCAAGAAAGATGGATTTAGCGATCAAAGTGCCGTTAGAAAAATAGTACATGGAGTAAATCTTAGCATAAATCGGTTCCAGGAATAATGAGAGGGCAGGAAACATAGTCACTTCTGTATCTGGAAAAAACAAAGGCAAAAACAGTAGCAGGTCAAACCTGTTCTCTAAGACTGGATTTTCGTTCAACCAAAGAGCTCTAAGATTTCGGCATCTCCCCACTTCTTGCACAACAGTTTCTGCATCTTGGAGTTTATTCCCCCAAAGATTGAGGGCGACCAAATTCTGATGCAACCACAAAGTCAACAGTATGGTCAAGAACAAGATAGAGATCAAGAATAATTGTTTTCCGATCACATAAGTCTGTAAAATAATGACAAACTACTGCATTAAAAAAAACATGAAAATGGATGGCACAGCGACAACGTTTGATTCATAGTCTCGTACTGAAAAGAATTCAAAAACACAAGATATATCCATAGGAAGAAACAATAAAACTTTCGAAATTCATCGGTGCAGATTGTTTCGCTACCTTGCTCGATGCCTGCAATAACAGAGGTTTTTACACTTGCCGAAATTTTCCTTTTAGTAATGTTAATTTGCTCGCAGCCGCGTGAGGCATTATTTACAACAGACCAAATGCAAACAGATAGCCGAGAATCAAAGCAACCAATAGGGATATTTTACCGGGAATCTATCGCACAAGTTCATGGAGCACAACATCTCGTCGTCAATACCAAGCTCTTCGAGCTCCAACCAAACCCCAGAAGCACTCCCTCTTTTCCTAGCCTTCTCCATTTCTCTATCCAGTATGTCAACAACACCGCCTCTAGCCCCAGTCTCGAGACTCCCAACTGATTCCAAAGGCGACCCGTCCTCGTCGGCCGCAGACGCAGGACTTCCGTCGCCGTCCACGCACATCAGAGACGCCATCCTCTCGGCCAACCCCGGAACTTCCTTCAGCTGCGAGAGAAAAATGATACATTACGGAACGAGACAGACATAGAAACCCCGCTCGTAGCTCTTCCACGCCGTTCGCTGACCTGCTTGAGGGCGTAGGGCAGACGGAAGGTCCATGCGTGGTCGACGAGGAAAACGCAAGATTCCTTCGGCATGTATTCTGAGGCAAGGACGAGGCGACGCTGCCGTCCATCCTCGCATGTCTCCACGGCGAAGTAACTCCCAGCGTCGAAGGTCTCGGAGGAGAGCTTGCGGAACAGCTGCTCGTGGAGAGACGGAGGCAAGCTAGTGGCCGCCAGGAGCATGGCATGGACTCTCGCGAAGTCCTCAAAGTCTTTTATCACCGTCGGAGAGGACGCCATGGCCTCCCAGGAAAGAGCAGAGACTACCGAAGTGAGTAGTTTACATCCTGAAACTCAGAAGCAGCTACACGTTTACTAGCTAATTTTAGGGTAGAAAGCAGACGACGATAAATACCATAAAGTCCCTCTCTTTTCACAAAATTTCTACAAAACCCTACTAAAATAAATGTACAAAAAGTACAAATTGTATCAATTATTTAACAATATCTTATCCTTTTTTTAAGTATATCTGGTTTTAAAATGTCAATATTTGGTAAAAAATAATGGCTGCCAGTTGTTACTCGGCCCTTTATTTTTGCCTTTTTAGGAAAATACGCAAACCATAGGTCTTCGTTAGGCTATGCAAAATATTAACTTAATGTATTAATTAAAAAGAATACATATAAATAACTAGCTATTTATGTTATGTTATTCCCCTCTATTTATTAAAATTATAAAATCGTGTATTTTCCTAAGTTAGAATATAAAAAAAATGGCTGTCAAATTTTATGAAATATGATTGAGGATACCCATTAAAATGCACACTCTGGGATATACTATTTTTCGTTTTGATTTTTTTTTTAGTAAATGTGTGCCAGTAAAAATATTAAATAATGGTAAATAATTGGGGAGGATCTCTCTCAATCTCATGGTTACCAATCCATTTATTTTTAGATTTTGAAAATAAAATTACGCATTTAATGATTTCAAATAATTCGAGAAAAATGCGCAGCCCGTGAAAGCTGCTTAGTTTCTAGAAAGAACCCAACATTACTGCATATTTTTTTATATATCCGAGGTGACCAGATCATTTGTCAAAAGTTCATAAAGAAAATTACTATTTATGAAAAACCCTTAACATTTTCATTAATGACTTTTAGCCCCTGAAGAGTAGGGGCAGACATTTAGAGAGTGTTCCCAGCGAGGTATTAATGGCTTCCCCAAGTTTCCAGACAAGCGTTGTTTCTCTCAGTGAGTCTTCGGTGGGGCTCGTCAGCGGAAGGAGCCCACGACGACGGCGGTGGCCGAGCAGGACGAAGCGTGCATCTCGTTTCGATCATCTTCAAGTGATCTCTCTCTTCTTCGCCTCCCCCCCCCTTCCCCACCCTCACTTTCTGATTGTAATTTCTATCAATTCCTGTAGATTCTCTTCCCCATCTGCCCGTCTATGAACCATTTTAAATCGCCTTTGCTCCTTGTTCATATTGGCGTCAACTGCTTCTCATGTTCCCACACCATTGGTCACGATCGATTGTTCTTTTCTTCTTTTCTTTGATCCGACATTCATCACTAATTCATCCTGTGCATTGTTATTGTCAGTGGAGTTTTAGGTCGTTTTTACGTGTTCGTGATTTTTCCTCAAATCATGAATCTGAAAATCCTTTTTCCGGATCTTTTCCCTCAGGTCAGTTAGAATTCCTCGCTGTACTTGCAGCCTCTCTCGAAACCCTAAATTAAATTTGTACTCTCTTTAACTTCTATTTATTTATACGAAGGAATAATGCACAGTTTCACATCGGTTATAATGAAAAATAAAGGGGAAGATTTAGGACACTAGTCAAGCCAGTGCGACCAGTTATAATGTTTTGGAGTACGAACCTTAAAGCCGAGGTGGAGCGATCAAATGGTATTCGAGACGCTGAAGACGTCCAGTGTCTTTGTCATTTTGAAAGGATTTTGAATCAGAGAGGTTGTCATCTTGCCGGAAGGTTATTTCTCGAATGCTAGGGATATTCTGGACTTGGCGTTCGAATTGGAAACCACAAATTTCGAGTTTAATCGGATCGTCTCGATCTGTGCATTTGTTTGATCGATGCTTCTGTTTTTTCGTCATGCCTGGTAAATACAAAATCGATTGATGGGAAGGATTTTTTTGAATATCAATACATATCGGGGAGGGAATGACGGAAGTCTAGCTCTGGTAGCAATAGCGGGTGGCTGATAGGAAGAAGAGAGAAGAAGAAGAAGAAGAAGAATGAGAGGGGCAGCTGCATCTTCGGAGTGAGGTGAAAGAGAGGGTACTTCTAGGTAAGCTTCTTCCATCACGGCACAACTCATGCGTGAGTTGAATCAATTTTCTATGGATTTGGCCTTTCTATTTCGTCAGACCCCATTTCATACGAGAATATCGCTGAGGATTTGGATGGTTTCCTTTAATTTTAGTGTTCTGGATTTCATCTGATCCAAGTTGTATGAGCCAAACTGAGAAAATTTAAATGAAAAGCATATCCCCTGTGGGTGGAAATAATGAATAACTAATGAAAAAAAATGAGTGGACAGAAAAACAGAGCATTTATGTCCTCCAAAGTGGTCCTCATATATATATATATATATATATATATATATATATAGATGCATATAACACCTTTGGCGGTTGATTTGAAACATCAGTTGCTTCAATTCATAACCATGGTCCGAAAGATTATCTCATACTCTGGCGGTTCTCTTATTTCATCTATAAAGATCTATCTCTTTAGTCCCAGACTGGAACACTCCTATTTGGTTTCCTTTCTACACGAATAGTTCATCACTCTTCTTCCCCATAACGAAGACAATTCCGATGTTGATCGTACACCGTCGCGCCTTTCTGAAGAAATGCTATTAATGTGAGTGGAGCATCATCTCGAGTTTCATTCGTCACTGTGAATTCGTTTGATCCTGAAGCTACCGGGTTTTCGTGGTCATTTATTCGAGCTGACACCTCTCAACGAAGAATTTGATCGTTTGGAAGTCAGCTTGTGAATCTGGGTTTCTGCTTGGATCTTTTCTCTTTTTGACTGCCGATTATCATTCACTCTAAATATAATTAATAAAGCCTTAATTTCTTATTTTTATTTTTATTTTTACCCGTAAGCTAATGAATTTCTTATCTCTGATTCAAAAGCAGCCGATTTCCTTGAAGGATTCTTTTCCTCTTTCCCAGGATGGATATGGATCAAACATCGATTTGAAAAAAAAATTGGTGCCTTTCTGGAAAAGAATCATGACGGATTCCACTCCGGTCTCTTTTTTTGGGTGGAATCCGAAAATTCCCCCGAAATTTTTTGTTTCATTGTTCTTCATCATTCACCAAAGGGCACTGATTTCAAGTATCATCTTCAGGGAGGAATCCGTGATCTGAATCGGTTCTTGCACGACCCCTAATCATATATCGACCTGCAAGGATTTCAACGATTTCCCTTCACAATCATGCGATTAATTCCCATCATCATCTTCGATTCCTCCAGGGACGGCAGCGCTGGTAATCAACCCACCGAATCCAGAAACCCCATCCGCCCGGCCCCATTTATGCAGCACTCCAAAGCTCCAACCGACGAGAAGTCCGAGAGCCGACTGTACATTGGGAATCTTGACCAGAGGATAACAGAGTAAGTGAGAGAGAGAGAGAGAGAGAGAGTTACTATTTTTGTTTTTGACTGCGGCAATGTTCGGTCCTCCAGGTCGGCCATACTGAAGATGTTCGCTCCGTTCGGGAACATCGTGTCGGAGGACTTCCTGTGGCACACTCGCGGCCCCAAGCGGGGAGAACCCAGAGGCTACGCCTTCATCCAGTACAGCACCAAAGAGGTAAAAATAAGTCAAAGACCTCAGTTCTCTCTTTCTCTCTCTTCCTGAATCCTTCCTCGCTCCGGTGGCTGGCTGATCATCTCCATTTGAAGTGAGGAAGCAGGAGGCTCAACTGGCCAAGGCCAGGATGGACGGACGCTTGGCCTGCGGCCGCCCCCTGGTCGTCCACTTCGCCAACGAAAAGTACTTTGCGGAGACCAACACCATGAAATCCGCCGCCGCCGCCGCCGCCGCCGTGGACCGGAAGAGCGTCACCGCCGGCGGCGGTGGGGGCGCCAGCTCGTCGGGCCAGACCAGCCGCGCCGCCACGATCGCCGCCATTAGGAGCAAGCTCAAGTCCCTGGAAGAAGAGCGCGCCGGCGGCAAGAAGCCGCGATTATCTGAGAACCCCCCCCCACAAGGCCAATGACTGAAGTAAAGGGTCTTGGTCCTTACAGTGTTCTAGAAGGACCGCCCGTCGCTGTCAACTGTTTCCAGTTATAGGATCTGAATGGGTGCGTAACCGGGCCGGGCAGGGCCCGAGGTTTGAAAAGTCCATGTTGACAGTCTGTATTTAGGTCCGACGGGAAGCAATTGGATCTCTATTGGGCCCGGGTAGACATCCGGGCCCTCTAACAGGTCCCCTATAATTGTTTGGTTCGGGGTAGTAATGGCCTTAAATTGGGCCGATCCACGTCTGTTCGTAATCTCGTCGGCTCGCCGTCACATCCGTGATGTGATGGAAGCTTTGTCAAGGAGGGAGACTTCGGCCCCTCTCTTTCTGCCTCTCAATCTCTCTCCTCGTTATCAATCGCCCTTTCTGTCTCTCCTCCCTCACTTTCCCATTCTCCCTTTCTCTCTGTTCCCCCTCCCTCTCTCTCTCTCCCTCTTTCTTCCCTCTATTTCGCTTCCCTCTCTCTTCCCCGTCTCCCCTCCCCTCTCTCTCTCTTTCTCGCTCTCTCTTCCCTCTCTCTCTCTCTCTCTTTCTCCATCTCTGTATCTCGCTCTCTCTCTCCCTCTCTCTCTCTCTCCCCTCTCTCCCCTCTCTCCCTCTCGCTCTAGAGTTGTCTCCTCCTTTCGGGGCTGGGGGTCATGGCGCCTTGGTTCAGCGTGATCTCCTTGTTCGAGTCCCTCGTCAGGCGCAGCTACACAGCGGCAGGCCTCCGAGAGGAGACCCACGAGATCGACGGCGGAGAGACCACCATGCGCTGCTGGGTCTCCCCCGACGTTAAAGATGGCCGCCCCACGGTGGTCCTCCTCCACGGCTTCGGTCCCAACGCCACGTGGCAGTGGCGGGGCCAGGTGGGCCCGCTCTCCCGCCGCCTCCGTCTCGTCATCCCCGACCTGCTCTTCTTCGGCGGCTCCGCCACCTGCTCCCCCAACCGCTCCGAGGTCTTCCAGGCCCAGTGCGTTCTGAAGCTCCTCGACCTCCTCGGAGTCTTCCAGTTCTCCGCGGTGGGGAACAGCTACGGCGGCTTCGTCGGCTTCCACCTGGTCAAAGCCGCCGGAGCCCAACGCGTGGACCGCCTCGTGCTCGCGAGCTCCGACCCCCTCAAGTCGCCGGAGGACGATGCGGCGCTCCTGGAGAGGGCCGGGATGAGGAGTATACCCGACCTGATCCTCCCGCGGAGCACCCAGTCGATGAGGGCCGTCATCCATTTCTCCATGTACCGGAAGCCTCTCTTCATGCCGAACTTCCTCCTCAGCGACGTCCTCCAGGTAACTCATCCCCCTCCGCCTCCGCTGTTGATGCCGACGTTGATGCTGATGTTGATGATGGCGTCGGATCTGTTGCGGTAGGCGTGTTTGATCTTGAAGGAGTATTGACGAATGAGTGCTCTTCCGCAGAGCCTCTTCGCGGAGAATGCGGAGGAGAAGCTGGCGCTCATCAACGGGCTCGAGCTCGACAAGGACGGCGAGATTAGCAGGTCCTCTCTGGAGCAGGTGATCGACTGACTATGGCTCGATCGAAAATCTGAGAGAGAGAGAGAGAGAGAAATCGTGCTCGCTGTGGATTGATGCTCCATGGAAATTTCTGTTTCAGCAAGTGCTTCTCATTTGGGGCGATCACGACCGCCTGTTCCCCTTGGAGACTGCGCACCGCCTAAAGGAGTAAGTCCACTGGTGCTCGTCCGAATATCTCTCAGTTGATCTGTTACTGCGCCTGATCTGTTGGATGAAAAGCCTGTTTGAACAGTTAAGAACCGAGTCCATCCATTATCCAGATCGATCTCCTCTTTCGTATGATTCTGCAGTCGATCTGTTCGAACAAAAGCCCTACAGAAAGCTCCATAATCCCAGCCTGTGCACTCCTGAAAAAATAATGAAACTTTCTTGATGGATCAGATGGAATATGATTCTGAGGGTAATCTGTTTGAGCAATCTGATCCCTGACAGAATTTTCCCGAAATCGCTCCGAGTTTCCTAGAAACTAAGAAGAAATCTATATGTATGTTTGACTCTGTGTGCTTCGGATGCAGTCATCTGGGGGAGGGGGCGAGGCTAGAGGTGATTAAGAACACGGGGCACGCGCCGCAGACGGAGGACCCGGGCAGATTCAACGAACTTGTCCTCGCCTTCCTGCTTGAGGCACGTTGACCTCGGTCCCAGCTTCTTCCCACGTCCTCGATGGTCAACGGGATTGACCACATGCTCATCCGGGCCTCTGATGAGCCTGTGGGTTGGGTTTTTTATCGTGTGTGTGAGTAAATAATATTTCACTTATAAATCAATGAAGATTATCTGAAAATTAGTCTCAATGGCCAACGCTTGGATTTATTAGGCTCTGTTTTCCTTTTTTTTAATAATAGAAAAATAAAATTATTACATATATATCCTAGGATCAGATGTGATGGATTGATGCGTCAGAGGCTGGGCATGATGGTGGGCGCTCATATGGCCAATGAGTATCCACGCGTCATGAAGAGAAAAAAATAACCTGGAAAGTGTGATCCACGTGGCATCTGAATCAGTCGCTTCGCCACCTTCGATTGATGATGTGGCTGCCTAATCACTCGCCACATGGTAACTAACTACCTTGCTTGTCGATCGTGAGTGGGCTGACTGGATGGGCCCCATGGGCTTTAATTCAGACCAATAAGTTTTCGAATTGTTCCACTCCTACCTTCAAAACACTATTGGGCCGAAATTAGGTCATAATGGGCCGGGAAAAGCCTGAAATGGGCCATATTTGGATACGGCAGCCGAAAAACCTGTCCGAGAACCCTAAACAGGTTCAGATAGGTAGAAGAGGAGGCGGAGGGAGGAGGTGCTGCCCGAGAGGAGCGACATGGCCATTCCGGAGCAGACAGAGCGGAAAAAGAGGAAGAAGCTTCAGCACCAGGGAGACAAAGAGAAGAAGAAGAAGAAGGGGCAGGGGTTGCGAGCGGCAGACGCGACGGACCAGGTCGAAGGGAAGAAGAGGAGAGGTAAATCTCTCCATGATGATGTTGCTAGGGCGGAAGACGATGGGAAGATGAGGAAGACGAAGAAGAGATTGAAGGAGTTGGAGCAGGGTGAAGCGGAGGGAGAGCCTACGGGTATAACCTCTGTGGCCAAGAAGCGCGAGAAGAGGAGTCGGGGTAGTTGCGAGACGGCAGTGGAAGGGAGTGGAGAAGAGCAGGGGAAGATGGCCGGTGGGCGGAGGAATCTCATTACAGATGCTCGGTTCGCCTCCGCCCACTCGGACCCGCGGTTTCAGCGCATGCCGCAGCGCGATTCCAAGGTCAGCATCGACTCCCGCTTCAGTCGCCTCTTCTCCGACAAAGGGTATGCCTCGTCTTCTGCCCCCGTCGACAAGAGGGGGAAGCCGAGGAAGGGTAAGGTTGATAATCCCCTCGCTCATTACTACCTCCGGGAAGAGGATACTCCGGCTGCAGTTCAAACGGGTGGAAAAGAGGCCAGGAGAGCGTCGGAGTCTGACGAGGAATCAGAGCCTTCGACAACAGAAGAGGAGCGTGTCGATGAATCAGGGATTGATTCTGATACGAGCTCCTCTACAGACGAGGAGGACGGGGACGACGACGATTACCAGGTCTCTCCGCTCAAAAGTTTTAAATTGCCAAAATTTTCAATATTTTATATTTTTCCCATGAAATCAAAATCATACTCCATGGATTCACACGCTGTGGTAGAGCTTGAAATCTTCTCTTCCATCTTCTGTGGCCTTGCTTCATGATTCAGACATTTTTCTTTTCCCCTTGCTCTGTTTCTCGTCAATCATCATTACAGTGGTTGATTTAGGGCGTCCATCCATGGAGACAACATCTGATTCTGCGCGATATTATGTTCAAACCCTTTTGATCTCATCTTTTGCCACCAGAAAATATATCTTTTTATCACTTGATATGAACTTATACTAGCTACAGCGTTTTGATATGTTTGTTTAATCCTCAATGTATCGTGAATCTGATCTTTTGATGTCTGTTTTGATTTTATTTTTATTTTTATTCTCATTATTATTGTATCATTGCAGTACGGTGTTGAGAGTGATGGCTACAAGTTCTGGATTGGAAGCCAGGAGGACACTCCCACAATTGAAAACGAAACTCATAGGCTTGCTGTTGTTAATATGGATTGGGATCACATTAAGGTGCCTTTCTTTTGGAGATTTTATATGCGTCAATTGGGTTTCATCTCTGCTATTATATATGTTTGATCGCTAATGTGCTTATGTGTCCTATCACATTAGAAATAATTCATACATGCATTCATCCCTATTATGTCTCTTTTATTCCGTGGATTTGGACGCCAATGTGTCCATGTTCCTTTACATAGAGTCATCCATGTTGCCAAGATCATCCTCTCTAATAAACAGTGCATTCTATGATTGCAGATTGGACTATTATTATTATTATTATTATTATTTTCAATATGATGCTCACTGTTTTCTATGTGTCTGATGGGTACTGATCTCTGCCCTTTGCTTACATGATCCGAAGTTTTGTATGGAAAAACGGCAGTTAGAGGCTCACCATATGGTCTCCCATGTCCTTGGTTACAGCCAATGAGCATGATACAGTGCTTTAATCCAGTGATTTTTTTTTTCTAGTGAGCGTGTAATGTGATCTCCTCTCATCTGAGTGCCTCATAAAATGTCTGATAATCAAGCCATTGTTTGGTTTTGAAAATAAAATAAAATGAATAAATATATATCCTTTATTAATATCAAGTCTTTATATGCATTATGATTATCTGGGAATGTTCCTGAAATGGCTGATCGGAAACAAGCATAGTACACCCATTAAATGCATAATAATCAGAGTTGATTATTAGGGTGCATTTGTTTTCATTGTCTGCGGATATTGATTCAACGTGGTTGATAGAATTTCTCCATTTCTGCAGGCGGTAGATCTGTATGTGTTGATGAGCACATCCCTTCTGACGTCATGCCCACAGAGTGGTGGGCAAGTCCTCTCTGTGGCCATCTATCCCTCCGAGTTTGGGCTCAAATGCATGGAGGTCGAAGCAGTCCGTGGGCCCCACGCGCTCATCGACGGTCAAAATGACCGTGGTGGAGATGCTGACGACGATGACATTGACGACGAGATTGCCAATGAAAGGATCCGATCATATCAACTGCAGAGGCTCAAGTGAGCTCCCCCTTTTCTCTATAATCAATTCTTTTATTCCCCATTTATCGATTTAATCTTGACCTTTTATTAATAAACGAAAATTGGGAAATAATCGGGTTTTTAGATCTGGTGAGTGATCCATCTGAGAGAGAGAGAGAGAGAGAGATGAAGGTTCTTACGTTATCTTATGTCCACCACGTGGCAGGTACTACTACGCCGTGGTGGAATGCGACTCGAGCGCCACCGCAAATCACCTGTACAATGCACTCGACGGGGTGGAGTTCTTGAGGACTGCGAATGTGCTCGACCTGCGCTTCATTCCCGACTCCATGGAATTCCAGCTCCCCCCTCGAGACCTCGCAACCGAGGTACGCCCAATGTTACTGCATCGGTAGGCTTAATGAGCGTAGAGGGAGAGAGAGTGAGTGTGTGTGAGAGAGGGTAGTATCGTCTTTTCACTCAGAGGATGGGGGGTAATCATGCTAGATTAGAATAAGGTAGTGTGTTAATGAGCATGATATGATTACGTGATCAGAAGAGCGTGGTGAATTTTTATTTGGACCATGTAATTATGTAATTTTTTTAAATTTATTTTGTTGATCTGGGGGGGCCTTTTTGTCCTGTGCCCTGTCAGGTCCCTGCAGACTACAAGCAGCCCGACTTCGAGACCGTGGCGTTGCAGCACAGCACGGTGAAGCTCACCTGGGACGACGACGAGCCCACGCGCAAGAAGATCCTCCGCCGGAAGTTCAACCCCGACAAGGTCCCCCTCCCCCCCCCACGACGATGCCCCACCGCCCATTTCGAGCAGAAAGTTCAGATATTTTCCTTTAATTTGATCCGAGTTGCGCTCTAATGGCGGAGCTGGATGTCCTGCAGATGGACGAGTTGGAGCAGTACTTGGCCTCGGAGGAGAGCGACGAGGAAGATGATGATGGCAGCGGCGGCGGCGGAGAGGAGAAGTACCAGGCCCTTCTGCGGGCGGCGGATGGCTCCGGCTCGTCGGAGGAGGAGGAAGACGACGGCGATGGCGGCGGCGGGAAGGAGATGGAGGTCACCTTCTTGCCGGGGGTGGAGAACCTGAGCAGGCACATTGAGAAGGGCAAGCTGAAGAAGTCCGAAGAGACTGTGTGGGAGGCCTCTCTCAGGAGACGGCGAGAGAAGATGAAGGCGAGGAGGAAGAATGCCGCCAGAGAGGAAGATGATGATGATGACGACGATGACGATGATGATGATGATGATTCTCCACCGTCGGAGCAGGCAGAGGATGACAATTTCTTTGCAGAGGAGGAGGCGGAGGCGGCGCCGCCGCCACCGACGAGGAAGAGTCGCCGGAGCGGCGGGAGGCCCTCGCCAGAGGACGGCGGCGGGGGAGAAGCGAGCGCGGCGGAGCTGGAGCTTCTGCTGGCCGACGACGGCGGCGCTGAGGTGGCGGAGCATCTGAAGGGGTTCAACTTGAGGCCGAAGAAGGGGAAGAAGGGGAAGAAGAAGCTTCCCATGGAGGACAAGCTGCCGGAAATGGACGCCGCCAGCGACCCCCGCTTCCTCTCCCGACTCACTTCCAGCCTCTACGCCTTGGACCCAACCGACCCCCAGTTCAAGAGGTACGCCCACTTACCCACATACCCACTGTTAGAGAGAGAAAGAGTGAGAGAGAGGTTTAGAGAGAGAAACAGAGGTTTCTCTTTCTCTTTCTCTTTCTCTTTCTCTCTCTTCTTTCTCTGAAGCTGACGTTGTTGGTGCATGCAGGAGTGCGACGAGTCTGAGGCAGGAGCACGCAGAGAAGAAGAAGAAGGGGAAGGGCAGAGGGATCGTCGCTGCCACCGCAGAAGACAAGAGAGAAGGCCCGCCGCCGGCGGAGGCGGCGGCGACGGCAGAGGACAAGAAGCCGCCGGCAAAGGAAAAGCAGGAGATAATGTCGCTGGTGAGATCTCTCAAGCTGAAGAGCAAGAGTCAACGGATTATCGGATAATTTACGCCGCCATTGACTGACTTGATGCCCTTGAAATCACTACTAACTAATCTTCTCAACTCGTCTCTTTCGGGCTTTTCTTTGGGCGAGGCCCGATGTAACCGGGCCAATGGTCGCACAACCGTACCGCCGGCGTGGACGGATCAGATTTTGCCACGGTCAGAGCATGAGACGCCCGCCCGTCGTCCTCGGGAAAAAGTACGAGCGTAAAATTATAATGCGGGATGAACCTGGACGGGATCTGGCGAAACCTAACAGATTATTTTAAAAAATATCGAGTAAATAGAAAAACCCTATTTAAATAAATTAATTTACCCAATTTCTCGATTATTTCAATAAATTAGTAAAATATTTTACCCACATCATATTAAATTTAACTAAGAACATTGATGACCTAATCTCTCTCTCTTTCTCTCTCTATGCATGTATATATGTATGCCCTCTTTCTCTCTCTACTTCCTCGGGCTTCGTTCTTGGAGCCGTCCGCCGTCGCCGCCGCCGCCGCCGCCGCCGCGGCGAATGTGTTTCGCGTGTGGGACCGACCACGTCGCTTAGGGCAGCAGCCTTTTGCGTCCGTACTTTCGGATAAGGCTCAAGTCCGGAAACGGCGACCCCCCCCCAGGGGGCATTCCGCAGCCGTCCGATCGCCGAGGGTGACCCACACGTGGCGACAGATCTACCGTACTTTGTGCAATCGCGCTCCCCCGATTAATGGTCCCATTTAGCGTAACCAAGGGGAAGATCAAACAAATCAGTCCGTATATTCCCTCGCAACTAATTGGACCCTGGGCTGGAGTTCCCGTCACCGCCTCTCGGAGGAGTGGGGGAGTGGAGCAGTGCGTCGAGAAGATAATCGGAGGAACCAAACCGGTGAGCAGATGCAACTCCGCATAAATAAACTTAAAGTGGAAATTAAAAACAATATCCTGACGTGGTGTGTGAAAAAAATTACACGTCACTTCGTCGTGTGCAAGTAGGGATTAAATTATTAAATTACCCCTGAAATTTGGATAAATTTACGAATACGCCTGAAAAAACCGTCTTTTACGTAAATACCTCCCAGATGAGGATATTATTACTTAAAGAAGGTCGTCCACTGGGAAGCCATTCATTTTCAAAGCACCGAGTGGCTGGATGGCCCGAACGTCATTAAAAATAAAAGGGGGGGATATTTTAATGCTTATACGGTATATTTTAAGGAGAAGGCCGGTCAATTAGCGCACGCTCATTTTTATAGGGGTAAATTAGTAAAAGAGGCCTATCTTTTCCTTATCCGCGCGAAGGGGACGTTAATACTCTGGAATTGTGCCTTATCTTCTTTCCCTATAAATACTTCTGTTCGGATGTGGTGGTCTTCTTCCTCGGTCCAGGGGGAGGGTAGTTGAGGTTGGCTTCTCCATCTCCATCTCCATCTCCATCTCCGGTGGGGGATTGGGGGATGCCGATCGCGCTGGAGAGAGGAGGGAGCGGCAGGAGCGATGGGGAGGGCATCATCCGGAGGAGCGGCTGCGGCGCTGGCGGCGACTCCCCGGCGGGGAGATCGGCGGTGATGGCGCTTCGGATTGGCCTGGTGATGCCTGCGACAGGGATGGAGAAGGAGGAGGAGGCAAACTCTTGCAGTTCGTCGATCGGGAGGAACAGCGACTGCTCCGGTGGATCGGCGGGGCTGGATGAGGAGGAATCGGGGGAGGCGGAGGTGGAGAGCGCGCCGCAAGGTCCCCTGGACACGACAGAAGCTCTGGAGGAAGCCCTTCCCATGAGGTGCCGGCTCTCTCTCTGTTTCTCTCTCGCTCTGTTGCATTTTGCTGCGAGTGCTCCGTGTGATCTCCTGTTTGATCGTTCTTTGTTAAGAATTTCCGAGTGCTGTTCGGCATCTGGCAGTTTCCGTGAAAATCTGTCCCTGCCCCCTCAAATGCCTGTATGTCGAATCCTCAGTCCTGGCTGGAGATCATTAATTAGGGGAAGAAAATCCCGGATCACTCGTCGGTCTCGCTGTGGGCGGAGAAGAACCTTTCGAGATGCAAATCGGTGCTAGATCGAGTACCTCTCGTGTCGTCGTCGTCGTTCATCTCAGGTTTCTGAGGCATTTTCTCGGCGATCCGTGGTTCCAGAGTCCTGTTTCTCGATCCCGATGCCGTCGATTCATGGCAGCGAAGACATTCTTGACGCTCCCCCGTTCTGGCCTTGCAGGCGCGGCATGTCCAAGTTCTACGCGGGGAAATCCAGATCATTCACCAGCCTCGCGGAGGTCTCCTCCTCGTCCTCCACCAAGGATCTGGCGAAGCCGCAGAACGCCTACACACGCAAGCGCAAGAACCTCCTGGCCTTCAGCATCAACTGGGACCGCCATCACAACAGCGCCCCCCTGGCGAGCACTCGCGGGAGCACCCCCAAGAGGCCGGCCAACTCCAGCCGCAGCGGCGGCGACACGGAGGTCCCGGCGCCGCCGCCGCTCCGACCGCCGCCCCATCCGAATGCCGAACCCCGGCTCCCTCCCCGCGGCGGTTCCCCCCCACCAAGGTGCCATTTCTCCGTCAGATCCTTATCCTTGACAGATCTGCAGTCCGCGGCAGATCCGTCCATCATCCCCACAGGCAAACACATGGGATTCGACTAGGCAGCCCCTCTTGCCACCCCACCCATTCCTCCTCAGGTCAGATCTCCCCCTCCCCCATGAAATGTGGCCTCCGCCTTGAATCCTTCCCAGCCTGCTCTGCAGCGGGGCGACCTGTTTGGCACATTTTACATCCATGTAAATAGTAGATCAGAGCCCATCTTCTTAACCTAGCTGTCTTCCCGGGAGGCATGACTGACGCAGGAATGTCACCTCGTAACTTACTATAATCAGCAGGGAAAATCACTCTCCCAGCCATGATCAATTATCCCATTCGGATGAATAATCATCAACCCTGCCCACAAAAAAAAAGGGGGGGAAGGAGAAAAGCTAAAGCCTGGACGATTTCGATATGGTTCCATCTTACTTTTTTTCAGCAGATTGACCATCTTTCTCCGGAGGGTAGCCCCCATCTTTCTTCCCAAAACAGCAACAGACAAGTTCACGTCTGTCTGCTGACCGGCGGCATGAAGAGGAGAGCGAGTTCCGGTCGAAGCCGCCGGTCATGAGGAGGCCTCGTGGAAGCGCAGATGCCGCAGTATGGGCCCCTCCAAGCCCACGACCTGGAGCCTGCCGTTGGAATCCCCTCCTAGAAAAGTTGGCGTGATCTGCCCAGATTTCAGGAACCAAATAAAAATAAATAAAATCACATCTTTATTTTACGATTTGTCCATTCAGAAGAGATAAATAGCGAGGGATAGATAGAATGACACACAGAGAGGTAGAGAGAGAGACAGAGAGATAGAAGAGATAGATAGATAGATAGAGAGAGAGAGAGAGAGAGAGAGAGAGAGAGAGAGAGAGAGAGAGAGAGAGAGAGAGAGAGAGAGAGGGTGTTTTTACCAGGGGACATCCGAATAGTTTCAGGGTGTGCAGATGGGAGCAGCTGTCGGCGATCAATCCGAGGCCCTCGTTGGTCATCTTGCGGCAGAAGGAGAGGTCCAGGACCCGCAGAGTCGAGGCGCACTGCGCGGCGATGGCCTGCGCCGTGAAATTGGAGGCCTGAAATCCATAAATGACCATAAAAATGGTCCCCAGTCAACGGAGGCCGATGAAAAGAAGCAGAAACTCCCGAACCTTCCGACCCAAAATATCAAATATTCCGTAAATATAAAAAATAAAAATAAGCAGTGATAAATAAAGAATAAACGGCAGAGCTGACCTCTCTGATGTTGTTGACTGACAGCTCCGCCAACGAGCCTCCAGCCGCCTGCAAGAGCGCGGCGACTGCCTTGTCGCTGTCATCAACCCCCGTAGTAAGATGTCAACGTGAAAAGAAGGTCAACCAACTCAGAACGCGAAATACGCAGATGCATGCATGCACGTACAAATATGCGCACATATAAGTGATAAAAAATACACAAGGTCAACGAAATGAGAACGGGAAATACGCAGATGCATGAATGCATGAATACACGTACACATATGCCCAGATACACGTATATAAGTGCTAAAAAATACAAAAGGTCAACGATCAGAACGGGAAATACGTAGATGCATGCATGTAAACGTTTACATACGAGCACGTATATGTGTAAATACGAAAAAAATACGAGAGAATAATCGTAGATACGAAGAATGAATGAGTTCAGGTCAACGAGGCCAACCTGAAAGCGTTGCGACGGAGAAGAAGCCTCCAGAGCGAAGTGCATCCACCGGCGAGGTGCGCCAGAGCGCGATCGTTCAGTTTTCCCAAGTCACGGAGGTCCAGAGAGCGCAGCTGCGGGCAGCTCTTCCCGATCTCCCTCAGCGAAGGTGCGGCCACTCCCCTACATTGACAAGGACGGCGAGTGATGAGACAGCAGAACCCCGGATTCTTCTCCGATTCTTCTTCATTTTTTTTTATTTCTTTTTTTGAGATAAATATATGATTTATAGAAACACATTAATTCTCTATTTTCTTCAGAATCTCCGGTTGGGGCAGGTGTGATGAATCCATATTATACCTGTTACTGAGTATGAAATAATTGACTTTGAACTCCATGAACATACCAAAAAAGAAAATGGGCTGACTTTTTTTTATTCTTTTTTTGGCAAGGGGGGATGGGCAGTAGATGAGAGAAATTGGGTGATACTCACCTGCATCCAGCGAAGCCAAGCTCCTTCATGTGAGGCCCATGGACAGAGACCAGACCATGAACGAATTTATCTGTGACGCTCTCCACGCCCGCCACAGAGAGGACCTCGAGTTTCCTTAAGCTCTGCAAGGCGGGAAGAACTGAAGTGGCATCTATGCGGCAATCATCCAAGAACAACTCGACCAGTGACTGTTTCAGCTGCTCCAGCAGAGAAACGACTCCGGCAGAGGTGACGAGGGAACACTGGCCCAGGTTTATGGAGCTCAGCTGCGGGGCCGAAGAAGCAAGCGCCTTCAGTCCATCATCAGAAAGACGATACGCGCCTTTGAGGGATATTGTGGTCAACGATGGGAATCTGGGAGGTAGCTTCCCTGAGGAGGACAATGTGCCATCGGACAGGCAGCGCCCACACATGTTGAGCTCTAGAACCTGAACATTTTGAGCACAAATACCCGATTTAGAAATGGTAATTCGAATAAGTGAGAAGAACCCACTTTGCGATCAGCGGAGAGTCCTGAAGAACATTAGAAAATCTTGACCGCCCCAAAAAAGAATCAGCTCAGAGGAATTAGCGTAGTAAGAAAAATGCACCAACAGTTTTGCATCTTTATCACTAAACATCAACAGGATCCTACCAATTCGAGTTTCTTGATGAATTAATGAAACTAAAGTCAACCTCTGCCCCATTCGATTTTAAGACAATAAAACAAGGAGTGCACCCAAAAATCTTAGATCATGCTTATTTCTCAATATTCTACAGACCATTGCAAAAAGACGGAGGCGATTGAGAAAACTGAAGGGAAACCCAGAACAAGCAGATTCATACAGTCAATCGGTGGGTTCTGGCCCTGCCCAAGATTTTTTCAAGTTGATCTTCTGTTGCCCACGAGCAATCCGGCATTCTTATCTCAGTGGGAGACCCCCTCACAAAAAGATCAAGCATGTGTTGATCCATCTTTCGGGAGTTGCATAAATGCCAACTCAACTGGTGCCTCAGATTATCAGGGACTCCTTCGAGTGATTCGATATCGGTGGCATGCTCAGATAAAGTCCCTAGGCATAAGTCTTTCAAGGAAGGGGCCTGCCGCTCCAAGCATCTAAGTCTATGGCCCGGAGAAGGCACCCATTCGATCTTCAGCTCTGAAGACTCGGATGGCGCAGGAGCTGAGCTCAGTCGCCGGCCCTGCAACCGTTTCTCTCGGTCATTAATGATCTTCATGGCGGTGGCGAATGGTCCAGGCCAGTCTGCAGGGTCCTCTTTCGACGAGTCTTGGATATCGCTATGTTCGCTTTCCTCTTCCTGCTCGGGCTTGAAGAAGGCATACTCAGACGCTAGCTCAACAGCTCTCAACTTGTTCGATTCCCTAATATTCTTGGCCGACATCGCTTCTTCTTTGATCGTCTCCTGTTCGTAGTAATCCGCCATCCCCTCACATCTGAGTTCCATGTTGGCCTCACGACCGCCCAATGTAAGCCCGGCGTCGTCTTCAGTGACCAGCTTGCGTTTCCCCTTCTGCTCTTCCGTATACCTCCTTCCCTGCTGCGTCCTTTCCAAACCCTTCGATCCTGGATTGGTGCGGTCGAGGAACGGAACGAAGCCTCCCTTCTCCACCAAAGGGCCATCATAATCAGCCACAAATATCCCCTTCCCTTTCTCTATGCTGCTGTACCTTCCTCGACCAGGAACCGACGTGTCCACCTCTTCCTCTGGTGCATCACTCTCAATATCAACCACCTCCACTCTTCTCCGAATAGACCTGGGAGATGATGCCGGATCCCGGTTCTGCATCTTCTCTACAGAGCCGGACTCAGAAAGCACAACCAGATCCTCCAGCCTCCCTCGCACCGTGTTCCCCCACCCACTTCCAGAAGGGGACGCCATTAGAGGAAGATTAAGCTCCGAGCCGACGGCCCCCTCTTCTTCAGCTCCAGAGGTTGGAACGGCAGCATCCCCAGCCACCTTCCTCTTCTTCCTGCTCCCCTCTGGAGAAGCCATTCTCGCTCCTTTCGGCTCTCCCGATGCCGCCGCCGGCGCCCTGCCTGCGAGTCGGGCACTGCGCCTCGGAGCGCTAGTCCCCGCCGGAGGAAGACCATCGCCAAATCCCAGCTCCTGCACGCCGTCCGCCTCCTCAGCGCCGCCCGGGGGAGCTCCCGCCTTCATCCGAGTGCCCACCCGGATTGCGGCGCCGCCCCAGAGAGAGAGAGAGAGAGAGAGATCACAGCCGGGCGGCGGGGGAATGAGGGAGAGGCGCAGTTGGAGTCTTCTCGACGAAGGCGCGAAGTCGTCGTCGTGTACGTCGCCGTTAAGGTCGTGGCCGTTTTAAACCGTCAGATGGGGGAGACCAATCAGATACCGATTAGATCTGGACCACCGTCCGATCGGTGGTCCCCTACACCATGGTCCTTTGATGTCTCTGGAACCTTAGGTTCCACGACAGATAGTTTTCGTCGCCGCCGTGGTCTCCGCCGCCGCCGACGGGGAAGGCACAGAGGAGAGAGAGGCGCCGCCCACTTTCTCTCCCCCCGCGATGGGGATGAAGAAGCTGTTTGCTAATGCCGGTGGCCGTCTCGAAGAGAGGTAAGATGCAATTGATATTGATTCTCGAGATTTCTCGTCGTCCGATGCGTCGAAGCCTGGGGTTATTTAGGGCCGTATATCTCCTCAGTGGCGTGGATTGACCTAGTTCTTCTCCGAAATTTGGATCTCCGCCGGTGAATTCACACCTAACAGCCGCTCAATCGTCGTGCGACGTCGGGATTAGGATGGCATTCCTCGGAAGAGAATTGCAAAACATTCCTAAAATCCCCGCCGACGGAAGTCGTCTGCGATGGAACTCTGGTTCTTCAGTATCACAGGGATGAACATCTATCTAAAGAGTTTGAGATCTTCTCTCTGGTGTAGATTGACTTAGTTCTCTGAAATTTGAATCTCCGTCGGTGAATTCATACCTCACAGCCGCTCAATCTTTCTTGTGAGGTCGGGAATGGGATGGCATTCCTCGGAAGAGAATTGCAAAACACACCCAAAATTCCCTCCGGTGGCAGTCGTCTGCGATGGGAATCTGAGATCTTCTCACTGGCGTAGATTGGCCTAGATCTACATGGTCCTGAGAATCTCTGGCTTTGGCATACCACTCTGAGATCTTCTTGAGATTCTTGTAGCCCGCCCCCAGCTCTCTGTTCCATAGATTAAGCTTACATGTCTCACATTTATGGAAATAAGTTAAACCTTGATTTTAAAATAATAACTGGAAAGGAAAGTTACTTTTCATGAATCAAGTATTCACAGAAACAAAGCACTGAGCAGATAGGACACTGCTCACGTCGAACACCAGTTGCAGCAACACAGATTAATAGAGAATTAGCTCCATTATTCTTCATGGGTGGTGGAGATCGATCGCACCTGTCACTCCAAGGCCAAAATCCCCACGGCTCAATATGACACGAGGATGGACTCTATCAGGTCTTGAAGTGGTTCAAGCTCCCTTTTTTCGATTAAACGGAATTCCTGCACAGAGAAACAAGTTCTTATGCCTTGATCCCCAACTCTAAGGCCAATCATTCCTTTTTCTTTTTTTTTTAATGCGTTATCATTGACCTGCAGAATTTCACACCTCGGATACATTTAATGTTATAGAGGTTTTTGGTGATGATCCTATCTTCCTAAAGCCCACATTTTGCCGTTCTCTTGCATATGAGAAGCAGCATTAAAAACATATTCATGTGTGCTGATTCATGTCCACTCTCTCTTAAGCTTAGTTACTGCTTGCGTTTTATCTGTTATGGTATATGAATTACAGAGCGGTGGAGGATTGGAAAAGGGGATTAGCTTTGTTTTCAGTCATTGTTGATGCAGGTTCTACAGCATTGGGTGCATCCAAGATAATGCTATTTCTCCAGCTTAGGATCGAGGGAAACTGTTCGAGAGAATAATATGCTCTCCAGGTAAAATATGATTTCAAGCTTGGAGAAAAGGTGATGAATCGCCGTTGAATGGAAAAATCTCTCTCTCATTGGCAGGTATAGATAACACTTCGAACTATGCAAAAAAATATGTGGAACTGGGGAAAAAATCATGGGCACATATCAAAGAAATATTTTAGAATCCTTCGTATGAATTTTATGAAAAAAAGAACATATTAGAAACGGTGGAAATATAAACTGAACATCTGTTTTATTTTATTGATTTTATTTTACTTTATTTTCGCCTCTAATATGGGAAGATCCACTTTCTTTGTAGTGAGGATGGAGCAGACTTACCCACGTAAACAGAGTGAAATGTTTGAAGCAAGTATTGAGATGAGCTTCTTCCTTGAGGCTGACAATCTTCTGAAAGTGTGAGTGGTAGATGTGGGCATAGACCCTGAAGAGTCGCTTGAATATCGTCTTGACGATCTCTCGGAAATTGGGAGGGAAGGGCACCCCTGAAACACACAGCAACTAGTCAACCCCAGGAAACTTTCTTTCGCTCTAGGTTTGACTTTCCTTTGGTCAAAGACGACTTCTTGGTACCGAGTTTCTGAGGGAACATGGTCTCATCATCAAGCTGTAACGCTATCCAGTCCATCAAGTACTCCACATATTTTGGCGCGGAGACCTCTATGGGCTTCTTTATCTGGACCCCATCAGCCCACATGTACGCAAACCTGCACAAGTTCATCGGACAGTGAGCCAAGCTGATGGATACCCAAAACCCTACACAGTTTATGCTCTTCAGATGACACGCAGCTTCCTTTAGATAGAAAAAATGGCTGAAAAATAGGTTGTATTATTTGCTATATATAGATCAAGCCTATGTACGGAAGGAATGCAGCAGTTCTGGGAAGGGAAGACTGAAGAACAGAGAGAGAAAAAAAGGGAAGAAGCTGAAGAATATGTGGCACATTTGAGAGAAGAATGAAAGGAAGAGCACTTCGGTCCCGCCGTCATCGTGGGGCACGTAGAGGACGTGCAGAACTCCGTCAGAGTGCCGTACAGGAGATTGACCTGGTTGAAGAAGTCAACGGCTGCGATACAAGGGAGATAACGGTCAACGGTTGCGCAGATTTGCCCTCCAACAATAGCAGAGAAGAGAGACAGGACAAAGATATCATCATACTGTTGACCGCCAACCATTCGTTGATGTCCTCCCCGGGGGGTAACCTTACGGCTTCTCTTAGATTCCCACTGCCCAGCGTGGCGTCGATGTGCCTCTTTAGCTGTGCCCCCTTTTCCAGGACGAACAGGAGAACGCAGAGCAATCGTAAGGTCCTGGTAAGAGAGAGAGAGGGAGAGGGAGAGGGAGAGAGAGAGAGAGAGAGAGAGAGAGAGAGAGAGAGAGGCTGACCTTGTTACCCGATGGAGCACTTTTCTTGGGGCGGAAGGTTTTCTGGTTCCTGTGCAGGCATCGAAGGATTTGGATGAGAAGAAACCAGAGGAACAGAGAGCGATGATCGGAACGGGAGGAGAGGAGAAATTCGATAGAAACATCGACACCTTCAGAGACAGGGATACAGAAAGGAAGGACAGACAGAGAGAAGAGGAAGGGAAGGTCGTCGGATACCATAATTGGCAACCAGATAGGGGAGATAGAGAGAGGGGGAGGTTGGTGGAGAGGAAATCGCCGGAATACGATCGCCGGCAGCCGGTATTCTATCCATGCCCCGGCCGTATGGGATGGAAATCGGGCACAGAGAGAGAGAGAGGGACCTGTTGCCGAGGCCGAAGAGGCTCATGGTGGCGAGGAGATGGATCGTCTCCTCCGGCTGCTGTGCCGTTCTGCCCCCTTTCTTCTCCTCCTCTCGCCTTCCTTCCCTTCCCCTCCTCGAAGGGGCAATCCCAGGGACGGAGTTCCTGTTGAGGATGCCTCTCTCCCTCCCCTATTCCCCCGGAGAAATACAAACATCCCACCCCCGTTTTAACACAGAAGAGAGAGAAAATACTAGAGAGAGAGAGATAGAGGAAGACAGACTGGCAGCGGCCGAGTCTGCCGCCTGCTTGGCCGATTCTGCCTACTTCGCTGTTCTTAGACCACGCCAACAAGGTTCCTCTCTCTCTCTCTATCTCTCTCTCTCTCTCTTTCTCTCTCTTTCTCTCTCTTCTCTCTCTGGGAGGGCGAGAATCGTTGCTTAGGTGGGTTTTCGTCGCAGTCGTCTCATTCCGACGTCACCCGTTGGTTCATCCCGCCGGCAACCCTTCCGATGTTCTCCCGTTCTCTTCTGATGAAGTGGGCCCCACGACATCGGCCAAGGCCCCCGTCAAAATTAGAGCTTTTAAAATACCTACTTAAAAAAAAATGGTTTTTGCCTCGGGCCGGTCGGCCCAAGGGGCCTATCTCAGGGCCCACACCGCCGGACAGCGAGCTTCGGGCTATATTGACGTGGATGCACTCCCTTTTGACACCTGGCAATCGGACAACCGTCTTCAGGGAAATAGATAGTGGGGGCCTTTATGGGCCGTGTAACTTGCCCTGGCCTGCTTGGGCCTACAGAGGCGTCCGATGAGGAGCCCAATAAACTTGACTATACATATTTGTTCTAGTGACGTTGGTGGGATTGTGACGGCCTTCGGGACCAGATAGTGGCCTCTGTTGTCAGACAGCTGTTCCCCTGGTCTGACCCGTCAAAGCCCCCCCTCCTCTCTCCTCTGTCTCTCTGTCTCTCTGTATCTCTCTCCTCTCTGTCTCTCTGTTTCTCTCCTCTCTCTCTTTCTCTCTCTGGGGAAACCTGTTGTGACTTCACGGGTCTGGCAACCAGTCGGTGGCCAGGATGGTTTGCCTTTTCGTTTGGGCTAGGGCGTCCCTTGGTCCCCTCCCCTCTCTCCTCTGTCGAATACTTTGTCTAGTTAGATTCTTCTCTCTCTCTCTAGACTTGCCTCCCACTGACAGTGTATCTCTCCTCTCGTATCCTCGTTTTCGATCTCTCCCAAAATTTCTCTCGGTATCGCTCGTCATCCATCCACCCTTCACTCTCCCCTCTACCATGTCTGTCTTCGTCTCCATCTCTCTATCTCGTGAATTTCTCGAGGATTCCCCTCTCTCTCTCATGTAAATCTTCTCAAGGACTTCACTCTCTCTCTCTCTCTCTCTCCTCCATCTATCTTCCTTCTGTGTCCCTCCTCTCGTATCCCTCTCTTTCTCTCTCCCGTGCATCTCTCTCTCTCTCTCTCTCTCTCATTCTCTCATTCGTCTTTCCCTATCTCTCTCTTCCGGCTTGGAGCTGACGATGACCCGCAATGGGAGTGTCACGAAGAGGACAGCATTCGTGGACGGTCTCTCATCTCTCTCCCTCTCTCTCTCGCTCCTTGTGTTTTCAAATGAGAATGAAACTCAGGGAGAGTTCCTTGGCGAAAGAGAGAGGAGGCCCCGTTAGAAAGAAAGAACAAGAACAGCTGACCGACACCACTGAGAAAACACATGCACGTCCACTCTCCCTACCACGTGCGGAAATCAAACACCCAGAACAGGCGGCGGGGGGGGAACCACCACAAACGAGAAATTATCAAACCGGTTGACGCCGGCGGCTTGGCGGCGGCGGCGGCGGCGGGTTGATTCAGTTGGTGCCGCCGAGGACGGCCTTAAGCCTTTTGACTTCCGCGGGGGAGAGGAAGGTCGTCCCGGAGACCAGGCTCGAGGGGAAGCTGCTCCCAAACAGCGCGATGGAAGTGATTTGAAGCCCCGGGTTGGGGCTGCTGAAGCTGACCAGGGCCACTGCGGATCTGCCGCCGGCGTTGATCTGGAAGTGGAGAAGACCCTGGGGGAAGACCATGACGTCACCCTTGTGGAGGGTCTTGTAGTAGACGGCGTTGGAGGAGCTGACGAATCCGGCGGCGATGGCGCCCTGCGTGACCACAAGGACCTCGTTGCCGTTGGGGTGAACGTGCAGCGGGATCACGCCGCCGGGGGCGAGGTCCAGCCTGGCGAGGGAGATCCCCAGCCCGTTGACCGCCGGGAACTGTGCGTCAAACGCCGGCGTCACCGCCGCCTTGATGATGTTCGTGGTGTTCGCCGCCTTGCTCAGGCCGCTGAACACGAAGTCGTCCACGGTCAGCGCCGCCTCCTTCTTGCACGGGTACCCTGCCGGCGTCGGCGCCGCCGCCAAGTCCGCCACGCAGAAGTCCACCACCCCCGCCATCGCCGCCGGCAGCAGCGCCGCCACCGCTGCCACCACCATCAACGCGGCCACCACCGCCTTCTCCATCTCTCTTTCTCTCTCTCTTTCTCTCTGTATCTCCCTCTAGAATGACTCCGCTCGCTGGAGGTGACGCTTGTGAGGGGGAGTGGGTTTATATAGACGGGGGATCGATAATCTTCGTGTGGCTGCGGCGGCGACGCCGCCTCCTCCCACGTGCATGGATAAGAGAGGAAGGGAAGACGGCCGGAGGACGGCGGCCGCCACTCTGGCAGGAACCATAATGGCCAGAAGACCCGGCCTGGGGAGTCAAGAGGGGACCAGATCTTTGTTCCCTTCCTCATTAGCTGACAAAGGAGGCTTTTTTCCCCCCCTCCAATAATGGAGATGTAAGATTACCTGGGTCCGAGATTATCTTAGTTTCTCAGTGATGAAGAGAGAGAAAGAGGTTCATAATGCTTCGTATCTTGAAGATAGATGGATAATGCTCATCTTCTGGAGGAGCTTAATGACGACATGAGAGACGCGGAGAGCCGTCTTCCTTCTCTCTCAAAACCGGATCTGAGAGAAAGAGATTACTCCTTTCTTAGTAAAATCGATGACTTGGGTCCGGCGGGAAGCCTCCTGTCCCTGCCAGTTGTGGAGAGTCGTGAGCCTCTGAGCTCGAACCTCCCCAGCGAGAGAGAGAGAGAGATTGATGGTTCTTCTTATGGTGAAGATACTCCGATCTTCCGGTAGAACCAGGGGCACGGGTCTTCTCTCTGAGAGCTCGGAGCCGGATTTAAGGGCGAAGCTCTGAGAAAGTGTTTGCCTGCTTTACGCTGTTAGGGTTTCCGGGGTAAACGAACGTGGGGGTCCTGGTCCAGGCCCGTCGCCGCGTGGGAGGAGAACTAGACAGGAAGCAAGAGGACAGCATTTGACAGCTAGAAAGAATGGACGCTATGGGGCGAACCCTCTTCCACGGCCACGGCCAGGTCGGGTTTTCTCCGCCATGAAAGGTACTCGTGTGGCCAGCGGAGGTTCTGGGTAGGGGAAGACCGTCAGTCAGGCCTGCTGCTTGTAAATGAAGCTCTCTGCTGGGTCAGCGTCTCTCTCCACTCGATTTCCCGCTAGACCAGCTGAACCAACAGCCCGGGACACGTGGACTCGTTCTCAACCCCGCCCCCCTTCTCTCTCTATCTCTATCTGTATCTCATGGGGTCTGTGTTGAAAGCCGAGCCGAGCTTGTAAGGCCAGGCCCCGGTAATCTCTTGGGCTTTTTATCCGGGCCCCCCCCTATTACTCTCTCTCTCTCCATCTCTGGCTCTATGATGAAAGCCGGGCCAAGCTTATAAGAATGGTCCCGGATAATATTTCGGGCTTTTTACCCGGGCTAGGGCCATTACTCTCCCTGTGTGTGTCTCTCTCTCCTCTATCTCTCTCTATCCATCTCTAGCTCATGGTCAGGCCCGACCTTTCACGCGGACCTGGTTTGTAGGTAATATTTCGGGCTTTTTATCCGAGCCCGGCCCAGTCTCCCCCCCATCTCTCTCTCTCTCTCTCTCTCGCTGTGTACACTTATGTTTTTTATTTTTTATAGTAGGAACAAAGATTCGCAGACAAGATCTTCCATTTAGTGGGCCTTCCTGCCAGCACCTAGGGAATATGCTCGTTAACGGGAATCTTCCACAATCTAACTTTTTTCGTCATTTTCCTAATGGGGTATGTGCCATCGTCTCCTTTGATCTCTGGGACCCCGGCCCACACAAACCCAATCATAGCAGGCCCACTATGGGCCAGGGCAAAGCCCAGGTGGATGTTCAGCCCAGACAACCCCTACTTTCACACATACAAATCAAATCCTGTTCTAAACGAATTTAGAAGGTACCGTTCCACGTGGCGGCTCCTTCACCCTCCACATGGCGGCCTAGTTGGAAAGGCCCATCTACTGTTCATATTCCACCCTCTTAATGGATCTACGCTTTCTGGAAGAAGAAGATTAGAAAGATAAATAGGATTCAAGGTAGAACGGATTCAACTCACTTGCAATGTTCAAACCCCCCACTGGATTCTCATAATGGATATAATCAACAATGACAGATGAATCTTTTGATGGATACACGATCAACCCACATTCACAACAAATGATCTTTGGTGCCCAAAAAATTAGAGTTTTTTATTTATTTATGAACTCAGAAAAAAAAGAAAGATATCGATCTAGATAAATATGTTCTCAATTTCTTAAAGGAAAACTTTGAATATTGTCACATCAAAAGATATAATGTCCTTTAAGGCTTTTGAAATGACACATTTGATGATCATAAAACTCATGCGATCAGATCAATTTCACTTTTCCGTATCATAAGAATAGAAGTATTAATAGCATAACGTTAAATTGTACAAAGAACAACATAATAGAAGCTCACATAAGTTTCGGAAATATCATTATTTGGACTTTATGTGAGCTTATATTATGTTGGTTTTTTGTACAATTTAAAATTATGCTATTAATATTTCTGCCAATATTAATTCTATTCCTATGCTTAATGACACAAGCTTTAAGATATGGAAGGAGAGCATTATAATTATTCTCGGTGTTATATATCCGAGCCTAACATTATAGACATTACCTCTTCATTCTCCACTCCTGCTGTTGCAAGGAATTCAGATGCTATCTTCTCGATTGCCATGGAGATGGTGAAGTGTTTGCCGAGGATTCCACAAATGATTTCGTATTGTGAAGATTTTGGTTAGATTGAGAATATATTCCCCCCTCAATACCTGTTGTTGCAGGGGATTCAGATTTGATCTTCTCAATCGGCAAGCATGGAGATCATGAAGTATTCATCAAGATGTTCCACTAACCCGTTGTCGCAGAGGATTCATGAACAGATTCATATTGAGAAAATCTTTCCTGAGCCGGGGTTATACCTCCCTTCCATGCCCGTTGTTGCAGAGGATTCAGAGGTGATCTTCCCAGTCACTAAGGATTTACCAAGGATTCCATGAACAGCTTCATAGTGCGAACATCCTCCTTTGTCTGAGGATATGCCGGTGGCTTGAAGAGAGTCCACAATCCCGCTGGGTGCCTGCGCTTGGGATTGGCATCTCCTGGCGGCCCTCCGAAGATCCCCTCACAGTCAGGATATGGCTTGACGAACATGTTGTAGAACTTATTCCTGCTGGGCTTGATCAGAAGCCTCAGATCGACCTGAAATCCAAGAGCTTTCTTCGATCTCAGGTGTTCTATCACATTGTACCGGGGAACCACCAGTTTCTGCAGATTCACACCCAGATACTCTGGCACCTCCACCAGCCAATCTATGCCGAAGCCCATCGTGTGGATGAGGAAGTCGATCTTCGTCTGGATGTCGTCCAGCTCGTACAGGATCGTTCTCGGCTCCTTCCAGAGCACCTTGAAAGCATCTCTGCGGATCAGACCATGCCGACAGAGGAGATCGACTCTGAGTTTCACTCTGATGCTGGCACGGACGGGGCCTTCGCAGAGGATCCTGTCCTTGATGGGCAGCCTGCACTTCAAACTCCTCAGAAACTCAACGCATCGAGGGAGTTCGCCGGTCTGCATCGTAAGAAGAGCTCTCGGACTCTCGATAAGGGATTTGCGGACCTCATCGTCTTCCAGATTTAGTTCCCGAAACTCTTCAAGAAGAGGCTGCAATCTGAGTTCCAAGCTCAGTCCCAGGAAGCCCGGGAAAGAGAAGACGATCCGATCGATCTCCTCCTTCGAACATCCAATTTCCTTCAGAAATCCAAGCCTACGGTTGATTCCAGGAAAATTCATCCGCGTAGAGGGCAATTTCTCCAAAACCTTGGCGACGGTCCTCTTGCAGAAGCCGGCTTGCGACAGAGCCTGGCAACTTCGCCGGACGTCTTCAGGTTCAATGCGGCATCTCCAAGACTGCTCCAGGATCCTCTGCACCATAAAGGGTGGCACAGGAGAAAGCCCTATCTGGGAGAAAGCAAGCTCCCATCTCCTCAGGAACCCTAGTTCCAAAACCCTCGGACAGAAGGATACGACCGAGACGAGAGAATCCTGGGAGAGGCCGAAGGACAGGAGGACCTTCATGCACCTCTGCACATCATCCTGCTCCGAATCCAGCAGAAACCGGTTGCATCGGATGAACCAGGTGAGGGTGGAAGAGGGGAAACCGTACCTCTGCAAGAGATTGGCGAGGGAACTGCGCCGTCGGACCAGAGAATCTCCGCCGGCGCCGCTCGGAGGGGCTTCCGTGAATGAAGGTAAAGATCGGATCGCCTGTCGGCCGGCGGCGAAGCCCTCGCCGGCGGCGCGGCGGCGCAGAGGAAGCTTCGACAGAGCAGTTCTGGCAGATCCCATGGCGAACGCAACGGCAAAAAAACGTTCCCTGCTAGAGGTTTGGGAAAAGGCGGCAACGGCGACCGAGCTGACCCGGAACTGGTTGATCCCGATCCGATTCCGACCGAGTTCCAACCTTGTTCGATCCGGTCCACTTCCACTATATAATTGTATAGTTCGGAGCTTGGGCCCAGCCCGAGCCCGATTTTAATGGGCCGTGGTCAGGCTCAATATTAAAATTTGGCCCTATATTGTGTGGTGGGTCCTCTCTGTGGTCGATGTATGGATAATTTAACATTGTCGGGATAAAAGTGTAAAAGAGTATATATACAATTACAATGGTAGAGAGAATGGAGGAGAGTTGAGTTTTGACGATTCCGATAATTAAGAGGGTTTAATTCAATATTGGTTATTTATATTGGGCTCGATCGTAATTTTACACTTCAATGGAAATCTCAGGAGAACGGGCGACTCAACAATTGAATGCAACTAGGGCTCTCTCTCCTCCGACGGGCGTGAAGCCCCTTTCAACAATGTAGGTCTCTGCTCTGCTCTGCTCTGCTCTGCTCTCTCTCTCTAGATATATATTTTATATCTCTTAATAAATCTCTCTCTCTCTCTCTCTCTCTCTTCCTCTCTGTCTCTGTCTCTCTCATTCGGCAGGGCCTGATCGACCGACAACGTTCAGTGTTCTGTCGCCAAGATACGGCGCCGCTCTTCCCCCGTGGCCAGCGCCATCGGGCTGTAAGCATCTTCTCTCGAGACTGACCTCGGAACCCGCGGTGTGTCTGTTGTTACCGACGGCCCGAGTGTTCCCCTTTCAGGTCGCGGGTAGCCTTGCCGTCTCTCCCTCGCTTAATACTTCTCATGGTGGAATAGCTGTGCCGGGTAATTCGCGTCTTCCCCCTCTCCCGACCTGTGTTCTCATGCAGAAGTGTGGAACTGACTGACTTTATCATCTGTTTGATTGGGCATCCAGAATTTTCTTATAATTAATTATGTTGATAGTTAATAACTGCTTGCGATTGTTCTCTTTTCTGGCTGAAGAAATTCGCAAGTGTTAGGGTCGGGGTTTGCATACGATCATGCAACTTTTGATCAGTCTATAAGTTTCTTCGTCATGCTGGTTGTTTATTTTCTCATTAAAGGATCATGCATCTTATTTAATCACGCATCTCATGCACTGGATTTCCATCATTCAGGGATCCCGTTTCTTAGACTTCGGTCTGTCCGTCCGTCTGTGGATGATACGCACTCGTCCGGCGGAGAGTGGACCCTTGGGTCTTTTATGTTTTTTTTTCAAATGCCTGGTGGATGAAATTTGTCATTGCTATCAGACGATATATTCGTAAATTTTGTGATATTAATTAATTTTGTGTCAAGCACCGGCGATTATAGTGTTAAAAACTAATACACCATCCACGAATTTCTAACTTCCAATCCAGTTATCATTTCACAAGTAACCTTAGAAGGGATATCTCATCTCTGAATTGAAAAGATAACGATATAGAAGTCAGTATTAAGCGTACTTTATTTATGTCCAATGTTGCATTCGCATCAGGATGGGATAATTACTGTCCACTGATATGTAAACTTAAAGGAAAATCACTCCTGTTCTCTAGGCTAACTAGACTGAATTCTCGTATCGACAATTTGACACCCAGATGTGTTCATCTCTCACATGCCATTTAAGCACTTATTTTCACAGGAAAAAAAATGCATTCATCAAGGAATTATGTTGAAGCATATAATTTGCACGCGGACGGCGGTTGGAGTTGAAATTCGGGAGTGTCATAAATTTACTTTCCATGTTAACGTTGAAGCTGCTTGCCACATTACTTTGTGATCTCTTTTGTTTTATATATTGCCATGTTGTAGTGAGGACACATTCCATCCTCCGGTGTGCATTACATTACTCAAATGCATGGGCATTAAGCTTGTAATAATAGGGATCTATTATTAGTCGATTCAAAAATTTTCGGAGACTAATATGGTTTTCTTCGACAGCATGGATAAGAATGAAGATTCTGCCAGCCCTGGATGGAGAGAATCCTTTTTCATGCAGACAAGAAAAGATGCTTCTACTGTTTCTTCACCACGCCCCTCCATAATGTTTTCACCCAAAGATGATACAGGTAGCCAACTTCAGAAGCTTAGACAGCAACTCTCTAGGGTATTGAAAGGTTTTTCACCTCCACCTGAGGTTAAGAGTGGAGCTTACAATCCAGAAGTACTCACTAGTCAAAAACGTCAATGGGCACACCAATTACAGGTATCCTTACTCACCTGTTCATTTCCTATGCATCCATCCATATGCGCTGGTGATATTTTAGTTTATCTGATTAGGAAAATGTGTTCCCTCGGCTCAAATATCCAAAATTAACCGTCTGCGGAACCTTTTTTCACATTTTCTTGACTATCCATCCCCCCCCTCCCCCCCTTCATCCCCCAAAGCAAAGGAAATAAACTCCAAATAATTCCAAAAAAAAATCCAACTCTCCTTTCTTTGTTTGCTGTTTTCTAAACGTTGGAGATAAAGCATCTTCCAAGTTCAAATTTCAAATTTTCAAATTTCAAAGATGTTCGAATAATCGTGGAGAATCTGTTTGCTGTTTTCTAAACGTTGGTCAGCAGTTTCAAAATCATCTACCGGTGTTTCTTGCTGGTTGTTGGCTGTGATTTTTTTCACAACTTTTTAGTTTCAATAAGTGAAGACATGCACAGATAATTCCTTATCTGTTAACTGCATATTTGACAGTTTTTATTGAGCAGGATCACAGATCTGTGAGAGAACCACCTAGGCTATTTGAGAGTATGGTGGTGGTTGGACTCCATCCTTCCTTTGACGTTCAAGTATTTCAAAAGAAGTTACTGATGAGAAAGTTCGAAAGTTCAAAAAAAATGAATGGTGCATTTAATCACCAAGAACGGGCTGAAACTCTAGGAAATGTCGAACCTCAGGTATTATTATTTTCTTTCTGGTCGGCAGGATGAACTTATTATCCCGTTTGCATAGTTCTCGCTTATGGCTATGCTCTGTTGTGCATTTTAGTTTGAACTGATGCACCTTTTCAAAGAAAGTTTGCATTTTTTCCCCTCAATGTCTTAATATCTTGAATGGTGAAAGTTGTTTTGATTTTGTGCTCTCAGGTTTTATTTGTTTACCCCCCAGAGAAGCGGCTGCCTCTGAAGTACAAAGACCTTCTCTCTTTTTGCTTCCCTGGAGGCCTGGAGGTTGGGTTCCAAATACATTTCCATTTTTTCTTTATTGGAAGGTGACCATGTGACCACAGATCCTTTGAAAGTGACAGCTTATCAAATTCTTTCTATTCGTTAGACATTGCTGTGCCTAATGGGTTATGCTGTTCTATTTTCTATCGCCTGGACTTTTCTTTAGATGGTGGATGAAGATGAATGCTTTAGTTGACTACATTCATGAGTTACTGAAAACCTGTATTTTTTTATTGTGCTAGGCTCACGGTGTTGAAAGAACTCCTTCAATGAGCGAGCTGAACGAGATACTGCTTGGACAGGTTCAAATTTATTGTATATCTACCATTCTTTCTATATTGATATGATGCTTCGGAATATAAGTCTGATCCTTGCAGATATTAACATCGGTGATTACATCAGTTTCTATTTTATTCTTTTCTACATCATCCTTCTTTTACGTTGATGTTAATAGAGATCATAGTCATCACTTCGTATGGTATAACTTGCTGTAAGAAATCTCATATCCACATTTGGATAAAAGAATCAACATGTTCAAGGAAGGGTCCAAACTCTCACAGAACTGTAGCTTGATCGCTCTTTCCCCAAGATTAAAATACATTACCACTTACTGTCCTCTTTCCATAACCCATGGCTCAAGGGATTACATACTAACTCATCTTAGGCATGACGAAGGGTGCTAATTGAGAACTTGTTTTCATAAATTAGAAAATTATTATAAACCTTAGATTGGGGAGCGTTGGAGCCAGCAAGCAATGCCAGCTTAAATTTTGCATAGAACTTTGGCTTCCTTAAATCTCATTGAATGTATTTATTTTTATTGTAAATACATTCAGATCATATGTATCACCAAGTGAGATACTGACTCTCTCTCTCTCCCCTCCATATATATATACGTATACATATACATATGCATATACATATGCACACGTACATACGTATGCATGTGTAGATACCCCCTTCTTCCTTCGCCCAAAAATCCAAATATGTTCAGTCGATGCCCTTCCTCTGTTTATTCCCTAGTGGTATGGATCCTTCCTCTTTCTATTTGTACATGACCCACCCACACTTTGTGTGTTCCACTTCCCTCTGCGGTCATCAGTATGACCCCCACTACCCTAGCTACTTCCTCAATAAGAGCCTGCTTAGTACATCATACTGCCATGCCCTGGTTCCTTTTCTCCATGGTAGTCCCCTGACTGCAACTCTCTCAGATCCCTGGCCAGTCTAGGAACACTCCATGTGGCTGTTTGAGTCAGGCCTGTCTATACCTTGTTAAACATATTTGGACCTGGGTGATGCATAGCAGGTCTCTGGTCCAGGTCTGCACTACTAACACGTCTCCCTATGCCAAATCGAAATGTTTTTTTTCTCTTTTCTTTAGCTAGTATTTTTTTAGTTTAGTTTCAATCTTGTAGATCTGTTGATGTGATATTTTTCTCCACTAACGTGAAGCATTGAATCAGATGCTTCACTTCATAAAACGTCATTAACAAATGCAATGTTTTTCATTTGCAGGATCACCTAAAACAAAGTGATTTATCTTTTGTGTTTCGTCTGCAGGTATTTTTATTAAATAATTTGGCTTTCACCTTTCCAACAGGGTTTTTATGTATTTAAGAAATTTTCAATTTCTAATCTTCTATTCCATGGATGTAAATGCATGAGATTTTTTCTGCTTTCTTTGTTAGCTATCTGATGTTATAATGCGTAAATTTTATTGGTTATATACCTGCATGATTTTGAAAGCCACTTAAAATATTCTATCCATCACCACTACTAGCAGTTCTAATGGATGGACGAGGACTTCCTGGCCTCATTGCTGGGCGGATGCCCCCAGGAGTTCAGTTGCATCTTGAGAACAAAAGTACATTTTGTTTTCTGTTGATTTTTTCTGTAATGGGTAGAAAAACATGAATGGCGAATTTGATCTGGCACATCTGCAGGGCACAAGTAGAACACGGTGCTATTCTGCATGTGCCTCAAGACTAAATGTCAGATGTATTATGTTAGTGGGCACGGTAGAAAATTTTGGATTTTGAATGAGCTCTGTTATATATAATTCACATTAGGAACTGTTTTAGAAAAAAATATGGGAGATAATATTGTGTCATGAGATAATGTGCGTCATGATGTTTTCTGGGATCATATACCGAGTAAAAGCCTGAGGACAGAACCTGGAACTCTCCAAAAAGTGTTTAAACATGTTCAGTTAAGCATTGACAGCTAGGAAAGATAAATTGTTGCGAGAAAAGAGAGGATTCTCTCTCTGAGATAAGACTACAGGCATTTTCCCGTGGTAGCTGTTTGTTTTTTGGTGGAATGTCGGCCAATCATGGTTCCACAGAAGACTAAGATATTCCTTTAGAAAGTTGTGGTTAATAATCTGAAAGCATACGACAGATCTAGGAGCTGGTGGGTACCCGTTAGGTGTGTCTGAGTGATTTGTGGTATGTTACCAAAATTCATGAGTCACCTTTATATTATTAGCATTTACTGTGATGGAGTTCTATTACCTTCTGCCTTCTTTCAGTTGCTCGATGACTGAGTCGATCTCTTCTTCTGAATTCAAACCGGGACTTATCTGTCAAAGACTGGAAAATTTTTGCTCGTTGGTGTGTTGTGGGCAATCTGGAGTTCAAGAAATGTAAGGTCGTCAAAACATGAACTAACTTCAATTTATGGTATCCTGAGATAGGCACTTGAGCCTCAAGAAGATTGCCTTATGGTCAACCTTGTTTGGAAGATTTCAAGATGTTAATAATGTTGCTGGAGATGATGACCCTCAATTCGAACTGAGGTTCCGCTTATGTGCCGAGGCTATCATTAATGCACCTTAAGTTGGATAACGATCTTTCTTTCTCAGATTATTAATGAACTTCATTCAGTAGTCAGTGATGATATGCAAATGATCTCAATCACAGAAACTCTTAGAATTTGAAAGAAAAATGTAATGCCTTGTGGAAAAATGACAGTGATCGCTTTCTTACCTTTTTCTTGAATCTATATCGTGATAAGAACTATATTAGGGGAAAGAATGAACGGATAGTACTGAGAAATTGTCCTATGTGTTAATTGGCTTCTATCAAGACAGATGGAGAAGTACGTACTGGAGAGTACATTTTCTTTTTTTTTTCTTTGAAAAAAAGAAAGTATGATGATGGAGCCTTTCAGTTATTTAGTGGGGACATGAAGATTGGTTCTCAAAAATTGGATGGATAATTCTTCCCTTTTGTTACCTCATCTTTTGGATGTAACGTCAATTCTATGATTATCTTGACAGCTTTTCTCAGATGTTTTTGACGAGATGTATGTTCACGGTGATCATTAAGTCCTAATCAGCCCTGTGACCTACTTTGGGCGATCTATTATTATAACCATGCTTGATATTTAGACGTACTATAAGTGTATCTTCTTGTTCTAAATCAATACTGACACCACATAAAATATTTTCTACTGTAAATTTTCGCATTTTTTCAGGTGGCAGATGATTCAACATTGTATGGATGCTGTGTTTTAGTTGAAGAAATTGTACAAAAGCCTCCTGCATTACTTTCCATTCTTTCAGAAGAGCAGCCTGTTCTGTCATCCTTAACTCGGCATATTATTACTGCACCTCGCTGCTACTGTATTCTATCAAGGCTTCCATTCTTTGATTTGCACTTCGGCGTTCTTAAAAGGTTTTTATTATTATTATTATTATTTATCTTAGCGGTCACTGTTCATATGACATTCATCACCGTACGATCAGAGAATTTCATGTAAATGATTCCCGGAATGATTTGTTGTTTGTGAGATTACTGATTTAGTTTTGGCGGACATAGTAACCACTGAATTTCAAAGTGGGAAAAATTCTAGTGTTATATCTAAAGTTGATATCCAGTGATTTCAGGGTGAACTGGGATTGTTATCTCAATAGCTTTGGTATTTATTAATTAGAAATACTTAATATTGAACTTTCATACTAGTCTGTGGATTTTAATTGTCTACACACTGCTTAGTATTGCCTTTTTAGGAGAAAGAGCACCATATACAGTGTCTGGATGGGTGAATCGTGGAAGCAAGTAATAGTAGTCAGGCTAGTGGGTAACATTTATTGTTCATTGTTTTATTGGTACTTCTCCTTTGTTTTTCTTTGACTTTGTATCTGATTTCTCATATATGGGAGGTTTTGTCCATGTTTGTTGAGATCTCCTGTCTATGCTTTGTAATTTTAGTTCCTCAAAGTTTCACTTTGTCTGATTTAACGCTATGATTTGTCTGTTTAAATTTGTCTGATCTTACCATATTATTACTTCAAGATTTGTCTCAATGTTACTTTACAAGTTTTTACTTTGCTTTCTTCATTCTGAATTGTGCTATATGCATATCATGCTTCTGAAGGCATTTCACCAATGTACATCATGTTTCTATAAGTACTTAGATTCTTCTGCTATATTCGCATTATGTTTGCCGATTTGTGCATAATAGAGTAATAATACCAAAAAAATGATTCCCACATAAATTTCATCTCCGTTAATAGATATTTTATCATTGTGTATTCTGCCGTATTTATTGATAAAATATTTATCTTCGCGAGGTTGTCTCTATTTATCTAGTTATGCATCCATTTCATCAGTCAATATTTTATCATCAATAAATAGCATACATCATGTCTGTCCCTCTATCGTATCTCTTTCTCTTGTAGCTCTGTCAAAAATGATGAGTCGGAGACATTGGCAAAAAACAAGTTTTGCAGAAACTATTGGTTGTGAAAATTTCCTTGATCTTCTTGTGTACAGTTCTCTTATTTAGTTAGCTCGCTTGTTCATATGTCCTTTAGGATACCATTGTTAAACAACTAGATGAAATCATTAACCATAAATTTTTAATATTTAGTTGTTTTGTAGACACTTTATGGCATCATCCTGTTTTCTTAGATCATTGATGTTGCATTGATGTTGTCCTATAACGGTTAACATAATATACACCCGATTAGATGGCTTGATAACAATCGCAACTCAGACCATTCCTCACACTTCTTCAATTCGCATAGTATCATTGTTTTCAGGTTGATCCTGAAGTGACAAGGCACTTTTTAGAGTAAAGGACTTGTGCACCTTGGTGAGTTAAACTGTTAGGTGAAACAATGGATGTGTTTTTTTGGTCGCTTTTGGCACCTTGTTTAGCAAAGTCGTAAACAACTAATTTTGATGAAAATGTTCTTCTCTTGGACGTTCTTTGTCACCAAACATCATAACAAACTGAGACGATTAGAAAAACACTAAATAGATGTCTATCCATCTGCTCATTGTATAGCAGTCTAATCAAAGTATGTATTTCTTGGACTAAGTCCCCAAATTAAGCCATACTCGTGCCTTAGTATGTACAATGTTGCTGAATCCCTGTCACAGTCAAGAAGTTTCTTAGTTTGTGTGGCTTTTAGATGGATTCATTTTGATGTTAGACATGGCTTCTTTGTTCGTATTCACTGGCTCAAAGAATGTCAAAGAATCCTGTGTCCCCAAATTTTTAATATATTTTGGTCTTTATTTAAGCTTGACTTTGGATTTAATTTACAGGGCACATCTAGATGAAAGTAATTTCTTAATTCGTTTGAGAATATAAAATGATTACTTTGTTTAATTTTTGTGTAGCATATTTGCTGAAGAAAGATTACGTCGTCTGACTAAAGGCATCGACATGTTGAATTTGGTTCCATCAGAAAACTACGTGGAAGATGATATCAATGGAACATCTGATAGTAGTGAAAACAAGGATTCTGTTAGTGACGCTTCCATATTTTCTTCTGTTTCCCCTGGGAGGACTTCAAATAATGGTGCCCAAGTGGAAAACCAGGTGCCTGAAGGGGATGAAACCAAAGATTGCACGACTTTTCAAGTCAAGTCCGAAGATGGACATGCTACAGGAAAAGAACCAGTGATGGCCTCTCAGGATCTTTGCAGCCCCTCTTTGGATGAAGTATCAAGAAATAAGACAACGGACTCACTATTTCCAGAAGCTATTTTGTCACTCCTGCAATATTATCAGCTTGAGAGGTCCAAATCCTTCACCAGGTTGATCTCTATTTATTTGCGATGTTCCTCATGATAGTTAGATCAGTTGCCCTATCAATATTGTTTCTATAAATGTGCAATGGCAAGACAGCCACATATTGTGGCCAAATCTGTTGCATTAGCTTGCTTTTTATCAGCTTTGTTAAAATATAATTTCTGACATGCTTGTGGTCAAATCTATCTGGTGTAATTCCTGGTTCCTCGGAAATGAAAACTACTTACTGAGAATTACGGGACGGTGATTCTGAACCGAAGAAGGTATGCAGCAACCGATGGCTTTTCTGAAGGTTATCTCGGTTCCTCCCAAAAAATGAAACAATTGTAGGAAAAAGCTGTACAACACCCCTAATGTTAGGCGATTAATATTTAACTCGAACGTTTTAGGTTATATGGGAGAGTGAATACAAGGATTGATTTGTGATAGTAATCATTATCCTGTCATGTAACTCAATCCGCATGTTCGTCATTATGATTCCTGACCATCCAGTCAGGATTTCTAAAGTGCAGGCTTTATTTGTCGCGAATTATTGCAAATTGGCATCAAGAGCATTCTAAAGTTTAATGTGCTGAAATTTATCTTTACATACTTCAAACAAACGATGAGAGTAGGAAAAATGTTTTCAGAACTAGTTAATGGGCAATGGGCTCCTATGAATGGCTCCTATGAAGCTTTCCTCCTATTCCTTGTTTTTCTGGGAGTCATTTCCTGCTGGATTATTTGGTGTGCATAAAAGCTTATAGAGCGCTGCTATCAGGCAGTGCTAGACTGGAACAATAGCCACATCCTTGGGTTCTACATTGTATCTTATGAGAACAATAGAATGGAGGGATTTATGAGAAAAGAACGTTGGGAGATTTTAATCGATTTTTTTTTTGGTAACTCTGAAAACATATGCATATTTTGATAGGGGAGTTTTTGGTTTTCTCAGACTAAAGGAATAGTTAAAATACACATGGCTACACTCTTAAAATTTCACTGCCACATGCAAAACATTCAAATGACTTACGATTGGTAAATCTTGTTATACTTATCGTAGCTCTATTTCATGCGATTTGTTGTCTAGGCGTGTACGCATGTTGTCTTCTAGTTTTTATGATCCTGTCAATGTTTGTAGTTTTGCTTCAAATCTGTGTCTGCCAACTTGAATTATTTGGAGACTAAGCTAGCCCTAATTGGTAATCGTATTTTTGGTAGCAGGATGGTATACCTGGTATCTTGATGCTTTCAGAAAGGTGGGTAAAATAAAATGATCGTGCTAGATCCCGAGAACTAACATTGACTGGACATATAAGTGTCATTGTATTTTCTCTACTTCTTTGTAGAAGTACTAAATTAGGTTTCTCAGGAACATCTTGTAGGCTTGCCAATATATATCCCGAATCGTCCTTTCTCTGCACCGTGTGACTGTATGGAATTTTTTTCACAATCATTTCTACTTTTACATTTTTTTCATTTCTTGGTTTGCCTTCTTTTTATCACCAAACGGTCTTCAGTTTACACTCATATCGTAGTTTTCTGCTGCACCAATTTTTCTAGTATTGTAATGGATAAATTATGCGATGTGATTAAAGTGGAAGATTCGAGAAAAGACAAGTTTTAATCTGCAAGGAGTATTGTTTGCACTCATAACTTTAATAATAGTGCAGCCCTTGGGAACATGATAAAGATAAATCAAAGGAAAAGGAAGTTTGGGAAGTTGACTATCGTGAAGCAGTCATGGTTGCCAATAGTAACAATGAATAGTTCATTTCTTGCCAACTGTTTAAGCTGTAGATAAAAACAAGTTCTACAAATCTAAGCGATCTCTTGACCGAGACCGTAGAAAAGATATGTTTTCCAGAGCACATTTATCCAGCTGAATCCTATTTATTCTCATTACCGGTTTTGGGAAAATATGTATGAATCCACCAAAAAGGTCTGTATTTCAGATTCTTGTAGAGGCTACACCAGCAGGGAAAGGGAAAAAGTGTATAGTGGACTAGGTAGATTATGTAGAACCTTTGGTAGAATTAACTTGGACTCTGTTAGCTGGGCATTTTCTTCAAGGTATTTAAGAAAGAACGGAATTATGATCATGAATTGTACTTCTCTGTCTTGGCCTTTTTTCTTTCTTTCTGTTTGGAGTACACAGGGAAAAAAAGAAAGTGTGATCAATCATATATGTGGGCAATTGCTTAATTAAAAAAAATATTTTCACGAGGTTGTGACTCACCGCACCTAAATAATTATTCAACGGTCATATATACCCAAGAAACATGTTTTTCCACAATGTAGACTCTATCCCGATCCCCAAAATCTGACGTTGGTCATAAATAAGACTTTACCAACCAGTTATTTTAAGCCTTAGGCAGGGGCAAGGTGGAAAGTGAGCAATGTTTTTAGTATATGAGACATGCAGAAGAGAGAGGGTGCCACATATGGCTGGTAGAGTGCCATTCAATCTCAATTTTGTTTTGGTTCGTTCATGCTTTACCCCCATTTTCAGTGTAAAGATGTAGGTGCGTGAAATCAACGGGAAGATCAACAAAGGATGTAATCTCACCAGCATCATCTATTATAACTTGACACTCATACCTCTGTGATAGAATGAGAAACAACTCACAATTTGTAGCTGACCTTTGTGTCGGATATTAAAAAAACAGAAGGTTGTTGAGTTGCCACAAGTTACAACATCGTTTAAATCGTGACATGCGACCAAAACTAGTTGTTAAAATTACGGACCGATGTTGAAGGGACGATTGGCAAAACCCCATTTCAGTATTACCAGCAAATTATATGTTAAACTTTTTTAGTGATTTCTCAGTTTACGTGGTACATCTGCCAACTTTACAGATGACACTTATATTGCAGTTTGTCGGATTGTCCCTGTGAAGATGGAAGTTCGAGTGACGTCCACGTGGAGCTCGAGAAGCCTTCTTCCTTTGGCCATGGAGATTCTAATGTTCATAATGACATTCTTGGATGGGCTAAGGTTTGGATCTTTCTTGCGTAGCCATGCAAAATACATTCCCTTTTATCTCTGGGAACTTTGATTCACCATCAAATAGCATAGAGGATGCCTATCTTATCTATAATTGGTGTGGTGATCCTTTTCAGACAAACGGTCATGGAGCTCTGCAGATAATCTCGGCATACTATCAGTTACATTGCCCTGTTAGAGGTTCAACACTCCGTTTCCACCCTTTGGAACACCTGCATCCTCTGGAATATCAAAGGCCTGGAGAAACGGTACTGCAGGTTGCTGGTGCGACAATTGACATTAGATCTTGCGTCACTAGCTTAGAATTAGCCGAGGTACAAGAGCAATGTCAGCCTGTAACTTTCAGACGTTATTGAACGTATTATGTTAGTCTTCTGATTACAGATGTCACTTTGTTAGGCACATAATGCACTATTAGCAGAAGAAGAGGCTACTGCTTTGTCTGTATGGACTGTTGCATGCATATGTGCCAACTTACGGCTTGAAAATGTAAGCGTTCGATGACGTAAATATTTGACCTGGTTAAAATGATACAACTGTTGTATACATCAGAACGTCTTTCTTCTGATGTCTATCTCCGTAGCAGATTTTTACTGATGAGCTTCTATCGGAAATAAACCCCTAAAATATTTATTTCCACTCCGTATCCAACAGGCATTCTTGCTATGTGGCCATTGTGCAGTGCTAAATTAAATATTTATATAATTTTCAGGTCTTGATGATGTTTGCTGGTGCACTTTTGGAGAAACAGATTGTTGTAGTCTGCTCAAATTTGGTACAAAATATTCCACGCTCTTTTTATTCCTTATTTTGTTCAGTATGTTCTTTCACATTAATGGTCTAGTGGAAACATAACTTTTCTAATTCCCTTTTTGAATCCGTTGCTTGATGAGTTGTTGCTTAAGGATATTTTAGGGGAGATTACTTTTAGTTATTTTTTTTCTTTTTTCGGTATCGTGATGGGACCACAGTTGACAGATGAATAAAACTAACTTTAGTCTGTGTTCGTCTTATACTCCACACTGTGTAGGAAATAATAACCGGCAAACAAATCAACGTATCAATAATTTAAATTTGAGGAATAATCTAGCAAGATTGGTGTGTTGTATGCAATGAAATGAGATCGAATCAATTGCTTGGATATTATTCACTTTTTCATGTTTTGATACTCCAGATAAGAATGTTGTATTATCAATTGCTTTTCTTGATGATTTTACACGGTTTCTGTTTACCCCCTTAAAGCTTCAACTGATTCTTTATATCTAAATGGTTCACAGAATAGCTTAGAGAATAGTATTCGTTCTAATGGCTGAAATCTCCTTCAAATGTTTCTTAACATGTCGCCGGATCATCTTTTAAATGTATCGAGTCCTCTTGAGTACGATGCTTTTGCTTAGTTTTGATTACAGGATGCCCATAGACTTGTCTCCTGGTGTATGTCTCAATGGACAGGCCCGTCTCAGGAAAAACCAAAGCCCACAAAAAGCCAAAAGTTATGGCGAGGATTTGTATAAAATTCCTCATTGGGGCTCCCAGAATTTACAGGATCAACATATACATGCAATCTCAGACTCATCTGGGCATCAATGGAACTTGTTTCCAGAGATCAGCATGTGCAATCTCCTCCTGATCCATGCAAGACCGTTGATCGAACTCCATATCTTTTATAAGTGTTGATTGTAAGGATATCTACCACCGTGAGTGAAGAATTTTTGGCACAGACCTTTCAGTAAAGTTGCTGACATGTTACCATATCTACATCCTAACCGAGGTGAGTGTAATTTTTTCTTTCAAAAAGAGATCCATATCAACACAAAAGATCTATAAATATTCATACTGAAGCAACAAGAGCCCATGATCATAAGAGAAGATACACAGTCTTGGGCTTTGAGGAATCTAGTTACTAGAGGAATTTGGATGGGATATCAGATCAGTGGCTTTAGTTCCTAGTACGACACAAATTGGTCAGTCAAATTGTCTGATCCTAGATTATAATAAGGTACGATTTGTTGTAAATGTGAAAAAGGAAAGAAGATGTTCTGACTGCCTTTTGACACAAGAAGAACATAAAGGGATCACTTTTCCCCCTATCACCACCCTACCAACTGAAGGATGGGTGTACTTTTCCAATGATGTTAATCAATTTTTTTCCTGCCAAAAGTTTTTTCTATGTTATAACGTAATGTTTTGTTGAGAGGCTTATTATTCATTGCGAGGGCATCAATAAGCGGTCTGATATTTTTCTGATTTCTCAGTCCGTCACTTTAATGCAATTCGAAAGCATTTCCCTGCTCAATCAATTTCTGATCTCTAATTTGTTTGACAGGGAATATTGTCTGCAGTGGTTTTATCAGTAGTTTCCCTGATCCGTCCATATCAATGGCAGAGTCTATTAATGCCAGTACGTCTGTCTAAGTTAACCTTTTATTTGCCGGTGAAGATCTTTCAGTCTGAAGTTGTAAATCCTATGCGTTCATTTATATCACTTAAATTTCCAGGTATTACCAAACGGCATGCTAGATTTTTTGGATGCGCCAGTTCCTTATATAGTGAGTTATCCCTCTGCCACAGTATTTCTTCATTGAGTGTCTGAAAAAACATCTCTTTTGGCTTGAAAAAGGTTCTTGATTGTGGAAATCTGAGATATTGCACAGTATGATCACCGTTCTCTCATATTTACATGTAGAGAGAAGAAGGGCCTAGTGACCATTGGAGCTGACACCTAACACCACCATCAACACATATCTAACTTTCCTTCCACAGGAAATTGTGATTACTTATTTATGTGAAATAGAAAGCGCATTGACTAGTTATAGCAAATCGCATTGTTTCACCCTCACCCTAAAATGCATTTGTCCATGCCCAAAAAATGTGGATTACTATGATTTCCAATAGTAAATAATGTCTCCTCCAAAATTGGTGAACACAGAAGTGTCAACAGCTACTTTATTCAATAACGTACTTGTCTTATGAGACTAATGATACATTCACGGTAGAATATGTTTCTTTCCTGCAAGAGAATAAGCTTTAATTTCGTCAATGTCTTAATTCGCGAAGGTCGTATACTTTATTAAAATGTGATAAATTCGAAGCAATCTTTTATAGTATTTAGAACAAATTAGTTTACGTGAATTTCTTAAAAGTTATGGATAAACACTTCTAAAAGTTTCTCGGAATTGCAAGATTGCCAGCGACGCCTGGAAGAAAGAACATAGAGCTAAATTGCTATAGAAACTAGTTCTTCACAAGGGCATTATCCAGTTAGGTACTCTGCTAAATTCTCAGCCTATTCTAGAAGTTCTCATCAATAGATTGCTCTAATCAAAGCGTGCGTCAATAGATGCAAAGTTTCGTATCTGGATCACACTTCCGTTGATTGCTTTCCAATAAATTTTGCAATCTCTCTTCGTGGTACAACTTTAGGAGAAAAATATTTATATTTGGTTTCACTTTTATTTTATGTGCTGTTGAAAACTGTTCTTTGGCCTTTATAGGTTGGGATTAAGAACCGAACTTCTGAAGTCCAGTCAAAATTGTCCAATGTCATTCTGATTGATGCTAACAAGAATCAGGTAGATGTCACATTCTAGAACGAGCTATATTTATTTTATTGAGTTGTCGCAATTGTACTAATGCAGTGGGACTGTAATAGCGTGTTTGTGATTTATTTCATACTTAGGGTTGAAGTATAATGAGACAGATGCTCTTAAACTTACAATTTTTATTGTGCATTATTTTTTTCAATGAAGTAGAGGTTTAGAAGATTATCTGCGCAAATAGCACCAGCTGTACTCGGGATATTAAGTGACAGTGGCAGTGGAATCAGCTGCAGAGCAGAGAGTAGAGTAAATGGCCGAAGGTTGCTGTCTCCTTCCACTCAGTCGCGAGTAATGCACAGTAGCAGTACTGCACAAGACATTACCCTGCTGGTTGTGGAGAAAACATAAATCTGTTGAAATTTATTGTGATAACGCTAACTAGCTCTGCCACTTGCTTGGTCACTGAAGAAAATCTCGAAGAGGGAGAGAGTATTCCACCTGGAAACCCTAGGTGAGCAACAGTGGAGAGGATGAACTCCGAAACCCTAGGTATTGGACGACGGAGAGAATAATCTTCTCCCACCTGTCCACACCCCAGGGTGGGAATATATTAATGTTTGGAACAGTGAAAAGTTAATGGACTCAAGTAGGTCTAGTGAGCCCATGTGAGCCAGACAAGAGACAGAACTATTCTTCAACAGTCACTAATGAGCTGTGTTTGTCTAGCACCTATTTTTCAATGCCCTATCCTTGCCATATGGAAAAAGGCAGACTAAGAAGGGTTATGGGAGCGGGTTCTCTATGTCAATAAACTAAAGTCCTGTATTGGCAAATTTACTTTCTACAATGTACTCAATGAAATACCTTGGTCAAGAAACTATTATTTTCTAGTAAGTGCCACTTTGTATCATTGATCTTGCCATATTTTCTTTTTTTGCTTTTTGACTTCATGCCTTAGTGGTTAATAAACAGTGCAGGGATATGCTAAAGTTGTCGCTGCATGCAGTTTTTCATTTGGTTCATACATGACAGTTGCAACTTTTCTATGCTTGTAAAGTGGTTTTACCCATGTTTCTTTATGTTTGTTCCAAACTGGAACATAACTAGAGTTTTCCTGTCCTTGGACAAATAGGTCAAATCACATTCAATGCCACACTTGCCTGGACAGAAAGATTTGTTATCTTCTCTAAGTCCGTACCATGCAAAGCTTGTAGGGGAAAGTTATCTGGCGAGTAAGAGGCCTGTTTATGAGTGCACTGATGTACAGGTATTTCCTAATGGTTACAGTTTGTGTTATGCTTTTGGCAATAAGTGAGTACCACAGTCTGTTATTTTATCCTCATTTAGTATACGCTTAAGAGTGCTTGGACTAGGTATGATTTAGAAGGAAACTTGGTGGTAAAATATATCCATGATGGTAACCGCGAGCGTCTTGATTAATTATTTATGGCGTCATATTATTTTCTCTTTTTTCCTTTCTGGTTATAAAGTTTGCAAAATCACGTGCTTCAATGAGTTCTAGTTACAAAAACTATTGAGCCCAAAATCTCATAAGTAAATTTGATGGAGAAATCATCAATTTAAAAGTTTATTTCTAATCATTTATTTTGTCAGCAATTTAAGGAGCCCAACCCCACCCTAACTCTCTGTGTCCAATGCGTCAAATTGTTCTGACTGGCGATAGCAATATATTTTTTGCAAATTTCTGGCGGTAAAGAGAGTACTCTAATTGACACATCAAGCTCTCTCCGCATCGATGATAAGCTACTCGCGGAAATTTTGTGATAATGTGCCGCAGACCTTATATTTTGTGTATATGATGCAATTCTTCTTCGAATTTGAGTAAAGCTGTTTCCTTTTATATTGGAAAATTTTCACATGTTATGCATGCCAGGAGAATTTAGATTTATAGTCGCTGTGCTCAGAGGAAGCCAGGTAAAAGGGTTGCCCTACCAATGATTTGTTGGTAATAGCATAGCCTTGCAATCGTTTGATTTATATGACAGCACCTTCATCTTTGCACAGGTTGAAGCAGCTAAGGGTTTCCTGGCTGTTCTGAGATCTTATCTGGATTCTCTTTGCTCGAACTTAAGATCTCACACAATCACAAATGTGCAATCTAACGATGACAAGGTTTGTGCCCTCCATTTACGTTCATCAACATTATTATCTCATGGTTGTTGAATGATAGATCATTAAAAGCTCTATTAATTCCGTAAATTGTTATCGTATACGAAACTGTTCACTTTTATTTTTTTTATTTTTTTTAGTACGTCAATACTTGGGAATACGATCATTTTATTTCATAATGTGACCACTTTAAAACATGCTTCTAGTTTTCGCACTTCCAAGGGTACTTCCTAATTATTTGCACAGTGGACTGATGCATCTGGAAAGGGATAGCTGTTGCCAATATTAGCTTAGCTGCCTTTGTGGACTGGCAAGAACTTCGAACTGGTTCCAATTCTTGAGGCAAGAATTCCTTGTTAGCACAGATGCCGTGTCTGTCCGGTTTGCTCGATTCCCATCTGATCCGCTGGCCTACGATACTCCATACATTCGATGGCTCCCTTCTCTTTTCCAGTTCCGAATAATTTACCTTGGCATGCAGCTGATGGCACATATGTCGATGGGTATTAGCTGCTGTGCGGTGTGAGTTCCTGCAATTACTCTTATTTCATTGCGCGAACTAATTGTCACTGTCCCATGATCAAGTTCATGCTTTCTTCTTCCGGAATCCTCTCCTGTTTTTTCTCCAAGTATATATGTAATCATTCTACTCAACAAACCGGATATACTTGTCTAAAGAATTGGATGATGCAATAGATTTTGCATCTATGCCATGAAATCTTCCAAATTTTTTTAGGAATTTTTACCCTCGTACGCAGGTCTACAGACATCTGTTCGCCCTAAGAATTGAGATATTGGAAGTTCTGAGAATCATGTAGATTACTAAAGTCATGTTTATTTTATATATATAAAAAAAAAAGTCTATCCATCAGAGTGATGCTGACCCTGTTCAGAACATGGAGAGGAACGAAGGGATCTTGAACAAAGAGCATTGAGATGAACACTTTTTAGCATAACTTGATGGACTACACATCTATCAGTTCTTAAACATGTTCATGGTTTGATGAAGAAATTAAAAGTAACCATCGTTCCTCCCCCTCCTTTAACTCTCTCATCCTCGATTTCTGGTTTACAAACCCGCCCTTTGGCCATGAAGGTTTTCATGAATCAAGATCTGGGGCAGATTGAGAAGAGGAAATACTTACTACCCAATTCGTGTAATGCCCAGTGCTGACCTTAATTTAGCTCATTTATTGAGCTATCCCTAGCTTCTTCAGTCAACTCTTGGCTATGCGCTGTGGTTCAACGTTTTCTAGACATGGCTCGTCTTCTCTGAATGCATGTTCTGAGATGTGCGTTGAAAAGGCCGCAGACCATGAGACTTGTGTGATCCCTGATCTCTTGATGTCATGCTTCGTTCAGGTCTCTCTACTTTTAAAGGAGAGTTTCATCGACTCTTTTCCAGCTCGTGATCAGCCATTCATGAAGGTACGCCTGAAACACACTTACCCACACTCTGTTCCTCTGTTTTTTCGAAATTCATTATTATTATTATTATTATTATTATTATTATTATTATTATTATTATTATTATTACGACTACTCGTGAAGATTTAATGGGAATCTTATTCCCAAACCCAAATCTTCAAAAAAAAAAGAAAAAAAAAGAAAACGGGTTGCATTATCTCTTCATAAGCTTGGGAAATAGATGAACAAGCACCGGTTTTTCAAGGATGTTGAAGCATCAAACAAAATAAGCAAGATTTATGTAGATAAATGATGAACTGAATAGATGAACAAGCGCCTGCTTTTGAAGGATGTTGAATCATCAAACAGAATAAGGAAGATTTATTTTTTATTTTATTTTTCAAAATCCTTCGCTGGATTTCTTCGTTTGAGCTGTACATGGTCTGCTGTGAAGAACAATCAGTCTCACGATCGAGTGGCGTGAGTAGAGCCTGATCCCCTGTTCTTTGTTGTTGTTCTTCTTCTTCTTCTTCACGAGGGAGCAGCTATTCGTGGACACCCAGCTCTTCTCTGTACATACCGACTTCGTTCTCTCCTTCTATCAAAAGGACTAGCTGCCCTGCGATGTACAGCCGGGTTGCCGCGGAGCAAGGAAAGCCCAGGAGGCCCGCCCACCACCACCACCACCACCTCTGTGAGCAGTCATCTCCCTTTGTTCATGAGCTCACTCGCTTCTCCTTTCGCCGCCCATAATGAATCATTCCGCTCTCCTGCTGATCTGTGCCAGATCCGGCAGCAGAATCCAGCTCTGGCGAGCGCCGGAAACACCCAAAAATAGCAAAAAACTATACAAGAGGGAACGACCTCTTCTGTCTCATGCCCGGCCGATTTGAATGAAAGAACCCGAGCTTGGAGATGCCCCTCGTTCTTCATCCTCTCGCAGTTGTTCCTGCCAGTTGACTTTGGATAAGAGATCCCCCCCCCTCGTGTTTGATAATCGCGCAGCTCTTCCTGAGCTGGATTGAGGCGAGCGTTTTCCTTCGTGAGATCGTCGGATGTGAGATTCCTCGGTCGGTGGTTCATGAAGTTAGCTTCTCAATCGGTCTGGTCAGCTTCACGTGAAGAGGTAGAAGAGAACCCTCTCTCTCTCTCTCTCTCTCTCTCTCTCCCTCTCAAAGACCCAATGGAAGAGGACGACGAGCAATGAATTCCAAGGAAAGTGGCGCTTATATAGGGGAAATCCCCAGGCCATGCCTTCATGCTCTAAACGATACTTGGAAAAGGTAGGGGGAGAAGGGGACTCTCTCTCTCTCTCTTCGGATCACTTCAACTGGGCAAGCACCAGCTGCTCCGCCATCAGCCTAAACACAGAGTCCTCCAATTGCACTATGCCACCATCATGGTGCTGCGACCAAGTTGACCAGCAAGGATCTCCCCTGAGACCCTTCTCTTCAGTCAACGCACCACCATCTATCATGGCTCTTAGTCTACAGATTATTCCGATATTTCCATTATTCTCAGATCCTTGCCCCAGTTCTTGGGACCTTAAAGTGACCCTGATAGTTCATGGAGAGTGTGACATGGTCGCTGATACATCAGGTAGATTATGAGCAGAAAAAGTCCAAGCATCATAGATTCTGAGATGGGGAGGGAAATCCCAGAAATCCTAGATGAGGGCAGCCAGCCATCTAGGATCAGATTGGAGTCGATGTCAACTCTTGATTTCTATCGATCAGCTTATCCATCAGTCAGCACTGAAGAATGATGAATAGTAGTTGGAAAAACCAGTACTATTTACAGTGGTGGGATGGCATCTGACTGGCGATGTTGTTCATCATCTCCTTCGGCAACTGTTCGTGGTCTCTCCCCGATCGGGCAGACCAAAGCGATCTTCTGCTCCTCGGACGTCAAAATCTATGAGAAGAGGGCGTGGATATCCGTTCAATTGGGATTTGAATCAACTTGAGCACGGCAATCATGGAGCTGATCCGGAAACCACATGCCGAACGTATCCGGCCTTCCTGATCTCCCATCTCTTGTAAAGCAGGAAGCCACCGAGTACGATCTGCAGCACCGAAAAGACCGCCAAGAACGCCACCCCGACCTTCTTCCCGAGGTTCAGCGTCCTGTTCCGGCGTGCTGTGCCGCGGTCGGTGTCCACGAAACTGTCGCTGCCAGACCCCTTCGGCGGCAAGTGTTCGACGCAGTCCGGCGTAGAATTGCCTGCACAGGAAACCGGAGGCCGTGGAGGACGGAGCCTTCTGTACGAGCCAGACGCATCACCGGGTTTCGTGGAAAGCAAGGGTGCAGGTGGCGGTGGCGGATTACGATGTTGGTGGTGGCGATGATGAGGAGGAGAAAGCGGCGAAAGCGACGGCGGAGGGCTCGATCGATGAGACGACGACCGATCTCCTGGCGGAGAAAAAGGGGAGGGTGTTGATTTGGACGAGAAGTGCGACGACGTCGTGAAGGGAAGCGGCGAGGAATGCGAGAGGAGTGGGGAATGGGCGGCGAAGATGACGAGGATAGCGACGGCGAGGGCCGGCGCCGGCGAAGGAAGCTCCATCGGAGGAGATGGAGCTAGGTTTACGCCTCTGGAATCCCTACGGCAACCGTTCTCCGTAGGCGACCGGAGAGGTGAATCCGAACACCGCTCGGTCAAGAGGATCAGCTTAATCATAAGCCACGTGTCGAAAAACTATTGGTCAATAAATGACAATAATGCCCTTACAGTCGAATTAGGCCCGGTTAAACAAATCTGTCAGATCTGACGGCGTAGATTTTTCATGGCGGAACAAAATATCGTACCAAGTGACAAGTTTCGGGTATTTTTAAAATCATTGAATGACTATTTACATTATTATCTTAACGGGCTTCGGGCCGGGATCCAACATCATCCAGACCCAAGCCCAAGTCCAAGCCTCAAGCCCAGGCCTCCATATTTATGTAGCCACGAGAGAGCGTTGGCATTTTTGTTGGGCTTATAAAGTCGAGCCTAAAAAGAAAATGGGCCCGAATGATTTGGGCTTCGGCCTGAACGCGAGAGGCCCTCTTTATTTTGCCACGTGGCCGCGTTGGGTCATCAATGCTCCTCCCCTCTCTCTCTTTCTCTCTCTCTCTCTCTCTCTCTCTCATCACATCTGCCCTAATATTAGAATCAGAATTTCAGGAGACCATTCTCCCAAACATCACATAAATACCTCCGAAACACCCAAAATGCTCTCCATACCACAACGAGAGAGAGAGAGAGAGAGAGAGAGAGGTGGGCAATCATGAGACCGCCACGTGGCGAGAAAAACGAGGATAACATAAATCTTGACGCAATTTGACTGCACTGATGATGAGTACATTCCATGGATTTAAGCGCCAGTTGGTCATAACGACTGAAGAACCCACAAGGTTATTTTCATTTTTTTATTTTTTTTGAAGTGAGATAAATCTGATAGGAAAGGGAGGCTTCTGGTAATGACAGATGGGATTGCGCCCAAATCTCCTTGAGCTAATGCGTTGACCTACAGTTTCATACTGGGGATTAGGCAGAAACGTAGGATCTGGGCAAGAGCAGGGATTACTACAAGATAGAAGAAAAGTTTATTTCCTCCAAATCGGGGTATCAAGCCAACCGTAGACTTTTGGGCAAGAACAGGGGGGATTGATGCATTCTAAACGTGGTGCATTGGCTTCAAATCAGGAGTTGACTGAGAATTATTTCGAGCAAACGCGCGAAAACTTTCACCAAATCAGAAACCAGCTCAAACTCGCTTGAAAACGGGGATAAATCCCAGCTAAAACACAGTCTGCTGCATCTCGAGAAGCCAATAACACAGTCTGCTGCAAACCAGGAATCGAATCGAGCTAAGAACCATCAAACCGATCCAAATCAGGAGCTCAATCAAAGTGAGCGAGGAAATCTGCTCCAAATCAGTGATTCAGTTGATCCGGAAGGATCACATTTGCTCCAAGCCGAGATTTCCACAGACTCGCTAGCAAAAGCAAGTTATTTAGGAGGAGGCGGGCTCAGATTATTGAAAAATGGGGGAGAAGAAGAAAGCCGCAATGTTTAACTTCTTGCAGAAGAATCCTGATCAAAGGCCAGAGGTGGCAGGAAGCGGCGGCGGGACCAAAAAGTCAAGCACGATGAGGCTCTCCAGCAGTGGCCTCACCTTCTCCTTCTGCGCCTCCATCAGATCGACCCCCTTCTCGTCCACTTCGTCAAGCTCTTCAACGCCGGGGAACACCGCGATGGACCCCACCGAAAATCCCTTCGCTCTCGCCGGCGAGAAGTTCTCGCCATAGCTCAGCTGCTCAACGGCTCCCCCGAGCAATCTCTTGGCCCCGTGCAGAGACTCCAGGACCACGCCCTTCTCCGCCTCCCCCGCCGACTCGATCAGCTTCATCAGCGTTACTCGCGCCGCCGATCCAGGCGGCAGCGCAACCGAATCCGATTCAAACTCTGCAATCCAGTCGACGGCCATGATGTCCTCGCAGATCGGGAGGACGAACTCTCGTACGACGGAGATATGCGCCGGATGAGCAGAGTAGGCGGCGAGCTCCTCCTTGGTCCGGTAGCGACTGTGGAGGAGATGAGTAAAGCCGAAGGATGAAGCGGCGGAGGAGCGGTGGCGGAGGACGTGGGCGGCGCTGAGGAGGAGGACGCCGTCGAGGGAGACGAGGGACCGGAGATTGGAGATCATGGCGCTGATCTTCGCTGTGTCCGTGCCGTCCCGCACCTTGAAGAGGACCACGTGTTCAACGGCGGTGATGGCTGCCATTTCAGCGGCGGCGGCGGCGGCCGCAGAGGGAGGGGGATCGCCGGCGGCGGCGGAGAAGGCGCGGATGGGAAGAGCAGCGGCGCCGCCTCGGAGCGGCCTCGCGGAGGCGCAGGGGGATAGGGAGATGGTGGACGGTGAGGTTACCGTGAGACGGAAAGTCGGGCAAATGAGGGTGGCCTTTAGCGGTGAAAAGGAGCGGTGGAGCCTACTAGCGGTCTTCGGACACAGCAACATTATCTCTCCACCGCCGTATCACCTGTTGCTGTGTGTAGTGCCATTCCTTTTAAACACCCCCGCTGGAGCATGCTAAGACACTCGAGTATCCGGGGGATCATCATAGAAGAAACCGAGAGTAGGGCTTCTCCCTGAGGAAATTACAAAATAACCATTACAAATAATATAATATAAAACACAGACAAATTTTATGTTAAAGGGGGCAAAAATGAGGACCTTTTCCCACCTATCCGTAGGTGAGAGTATAAAAAAAATAATAGAATATCTTCCAAGGACTGATTGGAAAAAAAGTCCCACATTTTTTATGTGCAACTTCAACCCTCACATTCGGAATATTCTCAACGACGTAGGGAGTAGGTTGCGTGGCAACACATCTGACAGGCCCACGTAAGAGCACGGCTGGGCCTCACACGTCACCATCGTCCGCATTCCACTACTGGGCCGTTGAATCTGACCCACATTTCGGCGCAAGCGAGGTGTCAGCAGAACCTCGCTCCACGTGAACGGAACCCACACGGGGCGCGGCAATCTGACGTCAACACACGGGGGAATCTGGTTTCCGCCGTGGGCCAATGAGTGGGCCCCCGGTCCACGTGGGCGTCTCCCGACTTTTCCCCCCTCCGCCAAGAGAGGGAGGGGATCGTCACGTGCGAGATAGCGAGAGATGGGCGATTCGATGAGACCTTCAGAGGGGCTAATTTGCAAATATTTTGATTCATTGGGTTAATATTTAACTATTAAATTGCAAAACGGGATTATAATAACAACATATTATTCGTAGCCCACCTGAGTCCACAAGGGGCAACCCTCGTAATTTTATTTCATATATATTTTCCGTTTTTAATGGAATAAATAATTATTCTGATTTATGTAATTTATCCCCGTTTAATATGGCTTCATGGGTTTTGTTTTAACTAAATCAGGTCGATAATGATAATTAATTTCCTCCGTTGCTTCCTCTCGAGGCCACGGATTCCTTCTATTTATTTTAAAATATCAAAATATTGGGTTAATATTTTTACAGTATTTTAAAAATATTTAATACTTGCAGCGGAAAAGGTTATTTGGGAAAAAAAAGGGATCGAAGGCGCCATGATACTTGCTTCAACGGTAACTCTTCGAAGTGTTTTTTTGTCATTGTAATTATTTTTTTGGTGTTCTCAACAATTGTGGTGGGCCATCCCCTTCTCCTCCATGTGACCCGACGGGGACAGTCCCCCCCGGCAGTACGTTATAAATGTGCAGTCCTCAAAGACTCCTTTCCCCCCCCTCTCTCTCGCTCTTCTCTCTCACAGAGAAGGTCTGATAAGGGCTGCCAAGCGGCCGCCGGGTTGATTCTCAGTCGCCATTTCCGCCGCCGTAGGCGGCGCAGGTAAGGTTTGCCTAGAGGCGGACGGAGAGAGGACTGTGTCGTCGGCCTCGCGGCATCTGTGCCGACTGACTTCTCTCATTGATTTCGTTTTCCTGCAAGGTTTTGACCCGACAGGGACGATCCTCTCCCTGGTTAGGATTTCTTCTTTCGGCATTTTTTCGGCCGATCAGACGCTCGCGGGATCTCCGGACGACGGCAGTTTTCCGATTGATTTCCTTCTTTGATCCTGATATCCCTCTCCCTTTTCCAGTTTTCTCTTCTTCGGGGGATGCCGGTCTCTTAATCGTTGTAGGTTTTCTAGGGCCTCCTGATCTCTTTTTGCGTTCAGGTGATGATTCTGTATGGCTCATTCGCGAGCTCCTGCTGTCCTGATGAGAATTCGGGCCACCAATTCTCTCTCCTCTGGCGTTCGAATCGCAGAGAATCATAGGGCCGGTCTATCTTCTCACTCCTCGTCTGTTTATTTCTCGGAATCTCTGGTTCTCCGCCGAGTTCTAGGTTTCCTCTGCTATTTTCCCCGTCTGGATCTTCATACGCGAGAACAGATCTTCGTCCCTTCGCGGTGCACCTTCTACGTTTATTGATTTCTCTCCGGCATTAATTCTCCCTGGTAGTCTTCTTCTTCTTCTTTATCGCCGGGTGAATTCAACGTTTCCCTTCTGTTTCCACATCTGGCGCTTCGTCTGATGTTAAATTTGAATAGTGTCTATTCCATTGATCTGCTTCCGTCCATACTTTCTGTCGGCAGGGTTTCTTCTCCAGAGGAGAGGGGGAGAGAGGGAGGGAGGGCCATGGATGGGAAGCGTATAGATGGCAAGGTGATGCAGAGCTTCCAGAGGAGCTTCGTGGAGGTGCAGACCATCCTCGACCAGAACCGCATACTGATCCACGAGATCAACCAGAACCAGGAGAGGAGGGCCCCCGTTGACCTCAGCCGCAACGTCGGCCTCATCCGGGAGCTCAACGACAACATTTGGCGTGTCGTTGACCTATACTCCGGCCTCTCCAGCTCCTTCTCCAGCTCCGGCGACGCCTCGCCGGAGCTGGTCCCTTCCGCCGCCACTCCCCGCCCTACCGGGAAGCGCCTCCGCCTCGGCTGACCATTGAGAGAGGGAGAGAGAGTACGTAATAGCCGATTTACGGCGTCTTCTTCTCCTCATCTTCTTCTTCTTCGAAGATTCTCATCTCGAACTGCGGCAAGAAACACGTCGCTCTCTGCGATCTCTGCAGGGTTCTTCCAGGCCCGTCTCCATCTCCGTCTCCCTCCTTCCTCCCACCTTCTGTTCTCATCTTGTCGTGTCTTGAGAGCGAGAGAGAGAAAGTTTGTTCTTGGAGCTCACCTCGGGAAGAGGCGGAGATGCCCTAGAGTTACCCAGAGAACTGAAACACCTTTCTTGACCAATGCAGCGATGGCCGGCGAAAGGGGTTTCTTGGGACTGTTTATCCACTATGCCAATCATATGCCCACCATGGCCAGAATCTCATAGACCCCTCTCTCTCTCTCTCTCTCTCTCTCTCTCTCTCTCTCTCGCTCTCTCTCTACCCTGGAGTTATCCATTCACTGTGACCGACGATGAAGACGACACAGTGGAGCTCGAAAGGGACTTCCTGAAGACAGACGGTAACCACGGGAAGAGACTAGCCCACCGATGAAGACGAGGGTTGGGCTGGATTTTTTGTACCTGCGTCCTTTGATAATATTGATATTGCGCGTGGACCATTGCAAAAATTATATATCCTACGGGTACATATTCTCCCAAATTATTATTATTTTAAAAAATATAATACATCATTTAAAAATTGGTTGGAAGAGATAACTTTAAAATTTCTTAAATTATTTTAGATGTGAAATTATTTGAAGCGTATTAATTTGGGTTTTTAAAATTTTTAATCCAGTTCGTACTAATTATCGTTTCAATTTAAAGTTAAATAGCGAAATTCCGAAAATATTTGTTTAGGAAATTTTCGTTCGCTGGCCAATCAAATCACGTCAGCGGAAACTGGGAGTCGTCAAATCAAGTCAGGTAATGTCACATCAGGCCACGTGGTCAGATCGGATTCTGTTATTGGATCCACTCGCTCCCCATTAAGAATCCGATTTCCAATATTCTTTTGTCCTCTTAAAGATTGACAAAAATCTTTTACGCCCTTCTGCCGAGGGATCACCTAACTACTAAACCAGGTATTTCGGCCAGTTTTTTGGGCCCCGTCTGGATTTATAGGCCCATTACTGAATTCAGAATTGGGCTCAATTGGTTCCTGGGCCCGACTGATTGCAGTGAAGCCCATCTAAAATAGTTTACGGGTATTCCATAAAATATATCTTTTTTATTAATTCATATTTATAACATCGGAAATATTTAAAATTATATAAATTTTCCATTAATTAATAGGAATTGGGTTGTCCCGAAGAATTTTTTGTTAATGGGATAGCCCAGTGTTATTTCTGTTAATTCCTTGGAAGGCCCAAATATAAGTCAGTATTCCAATTGGTGAATCGCCGCCGTCCAATAAGACCGTTATCCTATGACCGTTCGATCTCTCCTGTGATCCTCCTCCTATAAATTCCTCATCTTGAAGTCTCCCTGCCTATCTTCATCCTGCGCCGCCGGCTCACAACTTCGGCTCCCCCTCGTTAGGGTTTTCACCTCGAGAAAAGAGGCGAGGGTACAGGACTCGACCATGGCGGCCGCCCAGAGCAAGAAGAGAAAGGCAAGCATAATCTGTCATTATCGAATTATATGGCGTCAGATTCATTCGTGCTCTTGTTGTTGAAGCGGTTCCGGTCAGCTGTTGTCAATTTTGATATCGTTGCGTTCTATCGTTTGTGTAGTTCGTCGCCGATGGGGTTTTTTTCGCGGAGCTGAACGAGGTACTGACCAGAGAGCTGGCTGAGGATGGCTACTCCGGGGTCGAGGTGAGGGTTACCCCCATGCGGACGGAGATCATCATTCGCGCCACTCGCACTCAGAATGTGCTAGGTGTGTCTCCAGCCATGGATTTCATATTCTCATCCTGCGGAGAATTAGGGATCTAAAGCTCCTATCTCTATTATTCTGCTTTGCAATTTTCCAGGGGAGAAGGGGAGAAGAATCAGGGAGTTGACGTCAGTAGTGCAGAAAAGGTTCAAGTTCCCGGAGAATGGGGTGGAGCTCTACGCTGAAAAGGTCAACAACAGAGGTCTGTGCGCCATCGCCCAGGCCGAATCCCTCCGCTATAAGCTCCTTGGCGGTCTTGCTGTTCGAAGGTATATTCTTTCTGACCGTACTAGATGTGAAACTCTGCACTCTCTTTCATCTTCTCGTGTCTTCTTTCGATTCATTTGATGATCTAACTGATTATGGGGTGCTGAGAATTTGCACTTTTTTAATCCCTCTCTGATTACCAGTCCGTTTGTTTGTCGTCGTTTCATTGGCATGACACTTCTCAAGAAATTTACAATCTCTTGCCTCTGCGGACAAAGGCTCTCTAAGGCTTCCCACGCGTCTTGTTTTATTTTTTTGCTCGTCATCTTTACATCTGATTTGCAGTTTATTGTGTTCCGCGTCTGAAGGTGACTACAGTATCTAATTGCCCTTCCATCTGAATTATTAAATGTAGTGAAATCCTGCCTTTTTTCTGTGTCTAAATTCATTGAATGGAAATTCAGTTGATTTGTTAGAATTTTATGTTTTTTGAATCTTTTGTTTTATCGATTGATATTCTGGCTTAATCATGACTTGTGTCATTAATAATCCTTCAATAAAGTTAGCATTTGAACGTTGTGATTAAACTGAAGGGTTAAATGGAAGCCAAAAAAAGAGTGTATGGCATTGATCTAGGTATTGAAAAATGATATAAACGTTGGGTTCAGGTTTAATGATGCTAGTAACGAGCTTCTCTTTATGGTACACTAGTCCGATGATCAACCATTTTTACGGTTCAGAATTGTTATTTTTTTGCATTCCTTATGAATACGGAATGAAGGTTTTTTATGGATCTTTGGATGTGGTATCTTATTTCGGCGAAGCCTCACTCCAAACTCCATAAAATATTCATTTAGAACTCCATACCCGGGAGGTGAACCTGAGAGAGGAACACCAATCCGAACAAGTAGGGTCAATAGTTTAGCATTTAGGCCGTGTTTTTTTATTTATTCCGTCTTCTGTGTTAGATTTGGACATCATCTATGTCATTCGTTTTTGTTCTGTCACTTGGAAGAGTAGTATTTGGACTGCTATTTTTTCGATTTGTCTTATATCCAGTCCAGTTTTGCCTTCTCGTTTTTCTTGATGTACTGGGCACGTTATTGCTGTATATGTTCACATAGGCTATTTTTTACTGTTCTGGTACTGGTATTTTAGCACTTGACGTCATCTTTACAGCAAATAGGTTTGTTTAGTACCAACTTTGTGTCGGAAGATGACTAGATCAAGATTTTCGTCCAAGTGTATGTTGATTGCGATTTTCTAAGCCTTTGCTCGCAGTCACTCTCTGGCCGCATCTACAATTTCTGATCTTGTTCCTTTCGAACTGTCGTTGGAAGATTGATATATCCCATTGGTCATCTATAAAGCAATCAGGTCATTCATAGTACCCACTTTGTGTCGGAAGATGACTAGATCCATATTTTCGTCCAAGTTTGTGATGGTTGCGCTCTTCCAGCCCTTTGGTTGCAATCACTGCTTGGCCGTATTTACATTTTCAGTTAGTATTCTTCAAGAACTGTCGTTTGATGATTTAGTTATCCCATTGGTCATCTACAAAGCAAATTAGGTCATTCACTACCAACTTTGTGTCGGAAGATGACTAAATCAACCTGGCCACTCAAGCTTCTTCTGGATTGCTCACTTCTAGCTCTCATATCGCGATCACTGCTCGGGTGCATCCACATTCCGATGAATTGCCGATGGATCAGTTTTTTTGTTTTTGGTTTGACGCAAAGCTCTACCTTTTATGATTTACTTCTCCTGTAAAGTTGACTTCCATTGAATTCTTGATCCGTGTTTACTTCGAAATGAATAGGAAGAACATCTGGGTTGCATGATTTAGTTATTCCTTTGGTCATCTATAAAGCAAATAAGGTAATTGACAGTACCAAGTTTGTGTCGGAAGATGACTAGATCAATGTGACCTCCCAAGCTCATTTGGGTTCATCACTTCCAGCTCTCATGTTGAAATCTCTGCTCGGGTGCATCCACACTCCGCTGACGCGATCTTCTATGAGCTCGAAACAAATCGCTGATTGACTTTTTTTTGCAAAGCTGACTTCCAATTGTTCTGACTTCCAAATGAATATGAAGAACTTCTGGGTAGTGAGTGTCGGTTATTTCTTCGCCCCAGCTTGCCTTTTTGGGTTGGTGGCATCCTTGTTGATGCTCATAGAGAAAGTCAATGGAGCCTGTCAGGCTTCTGCACGACGAACACGTGCCTGGAGTTTGGAACCTGCTCCGACATTGTTCTATCTTCATTCAATTACATCATGTATTGTTTTCCACTGGATTTTTTAGACTTTTTTTTTATCTGATAATCTTCCCGATTTGGATTCCTTCCTATTTTGGATCATGATCTCCGATTCGTCTTGTTCCAGGGCATGCTATGGTGTGTTGAGGTTCGTCATGGAGAGTGGGGCCAAGGGATGCGAGGTAATGCTAACCCCAGCTCATCAGTTGACTTCGGCAACATCTTGTTCTAGTGCCTTTCTTTAACCACTCTAGCATGTTCTCAGGTGATTGTGAGTGGAAAGCTGAGGGCACAGCGTGCCAAGTCCATGAAGTTCAAGGACGGGTACATGATCTCCTCCGGTCAGCCCGTTAATGAGTACATTGACTCGGCTGTCAGGCATGTTCTTCTGCGACAGGTACGTTGACTTTTGCCCATTGACTTTACGCTTCACCCTATTTAAATCTAGCATGAGCTATCTTATGCTCGTTGACCATCCCAATCAGCTATCGTGCTCAATAATCCTTGAGACTACCAGACAGAAACTCGGAAGAGTATGAAGTGCTGGCTAAACAAAGAAACTTCTTTGAACTGATTTTGATCGGAGAATCGACTGGGTTTTTTTGGAGCAGGGTGTTCTTGGGATCAAGGTGAAGATCATGTTGGACTGGGATCCAAAGGGAAAGCAGGGGCCCACCACGCCGCTGCCAGATCTGGTGACCATCCACACCCCCAAGGACGAGGACGAGTTGCTCAGGCCGCCGCCGCTGCCCCTGCCTCCCCTCGCCACCGCCGCCGACGTGGAAGTCCCCGGCCCCATCGCCTGATGAGAGAGAGAGAGAGAGAGAGAGAGAGAGACAGACAGACAGACAGTACCCATCCCCTCCCCATCCCCATTCCTTCCTTCCAGGGCCTCGTCGTTGTGCAAATCAGGGAGGCCTCTTCTCGGGCTTTTAGATTATTTTGCTTCTAATCCCCCTCCCCACCTTCGCGCTCCCCATTTTCTCGAGCTTTTTCCGTACCCAGACAATCAGAACAGATCTTTCTTATCACCAGGTTAATTTCTAGTTCTTGTTTCTATTTCTGGAAACCAAACACCAATTTTGGAAATAAACCTCATAGCCTACGGGCAGGATGGATGGTGGCGGCCGCCATTTCTGTTTCTGGGCCGGAGATAAAAAAAGTACGGGTCAGTGTCAACGGTCGCCTCATTGACATTCTGAGTAGGTTGTTTGTTTGGAGACATTTATGGGCATATTTTAAGTTTGGTCCTCCGATTTGGTGGGAAGTACGAAATGACCATCGTAATGTAACATGTACGGTGAGATCCGGCCTGTGAAGTATGCATCCGAATTCATATACTTTTTTTGGATCTGATGGATTAGGGCCACATCTTGACCGTCCATTCGACAACCCACTAATAAACGCGCGCGCCCCCCCCCCCCGGTCCCCGCGTTTCGCGCCCCTCCTGTCTCTTACACAACGGCCGGTTCCCTTCGAAATTTCTAGGGTTTTGCGTCATTCCTCGGGATTTTCCCAGATCGCGCCGAAAATACTTGGGGCGAATCCCCATCTCCAGCCTGATTTTGTCGCTGGGATGGCGGTGAATCTGACGAGGAACGCTATCGCGGCGGTGATGGGGGGAGACCTCAATCTGAAGCCTCTGGTTCAGGTTCTGGATATCAAATCCGTCATCAGCGCTCAGGAGAGGTTTCGCCTTGTGGTCTCCGACGGCGGTTGCACCCAGCAGGCGCTTCTTGCCGCTCAGCTTAACGGTCGCGTCAAGAGCGGGGCCGTGCAGAAGGGATCCGTGGTTCAATTGATCGAGTATGTCTGCAGCTCCGTCCAGAATACTCAGTAAGTCTGCTCCTCCATGTCGATGTTGATCTCCATTTGACGCTTCTTCCTCCCTCCTCCCTTGTGATTTTCGATCATAAACTCTGAATTGTGATGTTTTCGGGGGATGTAATCGGTGCAGAGTTATTGTTGTCCTCAATCTGGAGACGATAGTCTCCAACTGTGAGATAATTGGAAACCCTAGGTATGAATCTGATCCCCACGCTCAGAATTCTCCGTCTTCTTCCGCCAATTCTGCGTTCACGAGAGGGGATTCGTGTAAGGGGGGGCCTTCTGCGTCAGGTTCTCCCCTGAAACCTGCTACTCTCTCAGCAGCGAACCCTGGCATCAATGCTCATACCTTTAATCCAACTGTGCAACCTTCTTATAAGCCTCCTCCAAGTTACAAAGCTCGGGGGGCGATCTTGAAGAACGAAGCTCCTGCTCGGATTGTTCCGATTTCTGCGTTGAATCCTTACCAGGGGAGATGGGCCATCAAAGCACGAGTGACCGCGAAGGGAGATCTCCGCCGCTACAACAACGCCAGGGGGGATGGGAAGGTGTTCTCCTTCGATCTCCTCGATTCCGACGGGGGAGAGATCCGCGTGACCTGCTTCAATGCCGCCGCGGATCGGTTCTTCGATCGGATCGAAGCAGGTAAAGTCTATTTGATATCAAGAGGGAGCATAAAACCTGCGCAGAAGAACTTCAACCACCTGGATCATCAGTGGGAGATCTTACTGGACTCGTCGTCGACGGTGGATCCCTGCCCGGACGAAGACAGCTCCATCCCAGAGCAGCAGTTCAATTTCAGGGAAATCGATGAAATAGAGAGTGCCGAGAACAATTCCGTTCTGGACCTCATCGGCATCGTCACCAGCATTGGCCCGTCTACGACGATCTTGAGGAAGAACGGCATGGAGACCCAGCGGAGGATCCTCTCTCTGAAGGATTCCTCCGGGAAAAGCGTTGACCTCACTCTGTGGGGGGATCTCTGCAACAACGAGGGGAGGAAGCTGGAGGACATGTGCCACTCGGGGAGCTTCCCTGTTCTTGCCGTCAAGGCGGGGAAGGTGAACGACTTCAGCGGGAAGACGGTGGGTACCATCTCCTCCACCCGGTTCTTCATCAACCCCAATCTCACTGAGGCCCAGAGCTTGAGAGACTGGTTTAATGGCGGCGGCAAGGCTGCGACCTCCCAGTCCATCTCGAGAGACGCCATGCCGGTGCACCTGGAGGGCGAGATCCGCAAGACGGTGGCGCAGATCAAGGACGAAGGCCTGGGAAGGGGAGACAAGCCGGACTGGGTCACCCTGAAGGCGACTGTCTCGTTCATCAAGACTGATACTTTCTGCTACACGGCATGCCCGTTAATGGCGGGCGAGAGACAGTGCGGGAAGAAGGTTACCAGGGCGGGAGAGGGGAGATGGAGCTGCGAGAGGTGTAACCAGGAGCTCGAGGAATGCGACTACAGGTATCTCCTCCAGGTGCAGGTGCAGGATCACACAGGTTCCACCTGGGTGACTTGCTTCCAGGAGTCTGGGGTGGAGATTCTGGGGTTCTCGGCGAAACAGATGTACCTGATGAAGCATGTGGAGGAGGACGAGGACAGATTTGCAGAGATCATCCGCCGCTGTCTCTTCGAGCAGTATTTGTTCAGGCTCAAAGTCAAGGAGGAAGTTCACGGGGACGAGCAGAAACTCAGGATCACAGTGGTCAAGGCAGAGAAAGTCAACCCGTCCGTCGAGTGCAGATCTCTACTGGACTGGATTGCCAAGGCCCCTCTGAAGCATCGGAATTAGAGATCTCCAGCCATTGATTGTTATGCCAGCGTTCTGTGGCTCTCTTTGGACAGGTGCTAACCTAGCCAACTCTTCACAGAAATTATTCGAGGATCTTATTCTACTCCAATTTTCCTGGATCCTCCTCCTGTTGATTTATTTGTGATTAATTTGCAGCATGGTTCGGGCAATATAAGACGCCTTTGATTCAATTCAAGGATGGTTTTGATCGCTTATGAGATCTATCTGATTCGTCTGTAACAATGTTCGGAAAAAATCCCATGAGATGAGATATATTCATGTACATCAGAAGAATCCTCTGTGCAGCTTGGATCCTCTCTCTCTCTCTCTCTCTCTCTCTCTCTCTCTCTCTCTCTCTCTCTATCTCTATCTCTCTCTCCCTCCCTCCCTCCCCTTTTGAAGTGATTGATATCTGGGTCTTTGGTGATATTAAAAAAAAATATTGACCTTAATTCGAAAAAAATAATTCCTGGTTTTCTTAATGTGGCAATATTTATATTTAATTCACCATCTTCAATGTGGATCAAGCACGGATTTTTACTTCATAGGTATGGGTTCTCTAGTGAGAGCAACCTTCATCTGGTTGTCATATGCTCACAACATGAGAGAGAGAGAGAAAGAGAGAGAGAGAGAGAGAGAGAGAGAGAGAGAGAGTGTAAACAATAGTAATAGAAATACTGAAACATGGTGCTGGAGGAGTTAAAGTTGCAGAGAAATCTCATGAGTCGGGAAGGTTTGCCGTAGAAATTACAGCTGATCTCCACTCTGCAGACATTTCGAAGGGTCGAGGGGAGGGGAAAGGAAGGAGAAGATGAGGGAGAGGGATGGGGAAGATATACAGATAACAACGTGTGGGCTTTCTCTCTCCTAGGGCTTTCTTTCCTTCTTCAGGTCCGCTTGACGGGGTCGAAGTTGGAGACGGCGATGACAGCTCCCAAAATCACGCCCAGGACGACGCCGCCGGAGACGATGCTGAGGATGAAGTTCTTCAGCGACGGGGACAGCCCTGGCTGCGCCGCCTCCGCGATCTCCGGAACCACTAGCGCCGCCGCCAGCGCCGCCGCCGTCAGCCCCGTCACGGCCTTCTCCTTCATCGAGGCCCTCACCTGCAGGCGGCCACTGCCGACGGTTCTGGCGGCGGCGGGGAGCTTCCCAGGCCGGAGGGCAGCGAGGCCCACCGGCGCCGCCCTCGGGGCCACGGCGGCGGCGGAGACCATGGAGACGGCCGCTGCAGACGCCATCTGCCGGTGGTAGTGGTGGTGATGGCGGTGGTTCTTTCGCGCTTTGGGAGGATAAGGAGAAAGAGAGAGAGAGAGAGAGAGGGGCTTAAGAACAAGGGGCGCTAGAGGGGAGAGAGAGAGAGAGGAAGCTGTCCGAAGAAGTATTGCCACGTGGCAGGCCGTGGTTCCCCAGAAGCAGGATAGGGTTATCTCGTGCTGTGACTGGTGGCTGCTACGTGAAGCGGAGAGGGGGGAGGGATCAGCCTTTTTTTCTTCGTGGCTTTTTTGTACAGAGCCCCTCAAATAATCCTTGAATTTTGAAAAGTCCCTTATTTTTCTCTATAATACCCGCTTTGGACCTCCCAATTGTGGGCCGTTGGATATCAGACCCGAGAGATGGAGGCTGAGAGGAGCCTCATTCTTGGCGTTTTTCTCCGGCTTGTCTTTTTTGTACAAGGCTCCTCAAATAATTATTACATTTTAGATATGCCTTATTCTTTCTAAAATATCCAGCGATATCTCCCCAAATAGAGGCTTGACGCGTGTAATGGGCCCCCCTTGAAGAGATCGAGGTTCAAAAACTTCCGGGGAAGCCCGTTAAAACCAAGCTCGGGCTGGGCCGAACTCTCATCGGGCTTTTATCACTAAAGCCCTCCCCCCAAACTCTGGTCAAACAGAATCAGGAACTAGAACCACCGGCAGGATTGATTACAGAGCATAGATTAGTCAAACCAAAAGGAATTCGAAGAGTCCCGATCCGGCGGCGGTCACCTTCCGAGGGTCAGGGGGGGGACAACGGGCTCAGTGTAGCCGAGGTGGACCTTCTGTGGCGGGAGATTATAGATGATGGAGAGATCTTCAAAAATCTTCTTCAACTCCACGACGAGGTCGGATCTCCTCAGGTTCTTCTCCGTCATGTTCTGGTAGTTCATGGTGTGGTTGACGTACAGGGCCATGTTCAGCTTGTTGACGTTGACAATTTCCTTGACCACCACGCTGTGGTTTGACCGCCAGTGCTGGGGCTTGCTCTCTATGTACCTGCAAGGCCCCACCAGCAGCAGGTGATGATAAAGGAGCTTCGAATGAGCTTGAAATAGGATTGAACACTGGAACCCATCTAGATTTCGAATGAGAGTTTGAAATGGTTTCGGATGGTTTGGAAGGCCCGTTGATTATCAGATAATTGGGTGCATTCCTCGAGGAAAAACCAGATGCGCAAAATCACAGAGCTGTTTTCTGGATCGAATCACCTCCGCGTGATGAACAATGAAGCTACCACAGAAGCCCTGTTCATAACAAGCTAATCCCACATACTTCGGATTCTATTTTGACTAATTTTCCAAATATTAATAAATATATGTTTTTAGAGTGAGGAGCTTACGATTTTATCCTCGCTTTCAGGGCCCCGATGCTCTCCACCGAGGTCGAGAAGTCGATGGAGAACTCCACCGTGTCCCCCATGTCCGGGCTGCGGAAGAAGTTGCTGATGGGTTTCATCGCCAGCACCGCATTCGGGTAGTATATCTTCTCATTATCGAACCTCAAGAACACCGTCGTCAGGATGTTCATCTCCTCCACGATCATCTGAGGAATTTACTACATCCAGTCTCAGTGAATCTGCATAGGGGTATGTATGTATGTATGGATGGATGGATGTGTATGTATGTGTATGTATATATATATATGTATGTATGTATATGTATATGTACGTATATGTATGCATATATGTATGTATGTAGATGATGTACTTTCATCCAGTCTCAGCAAATCTGCATAGAGGTATGTATGTATGTATGTAGAGGATGTACTTTCATCCAGTCTCAGCAAATCTGCATAGGTGTATGTATGTATGTATGTATGTAGAGGATGTACTTTCATCCAGTCTCAGCAAATCTGCATATGGGTATGTATATATGTAGAGGATGTGGTTTCATGGAGATGACCTGCGTGCCGTCGATGACGCAGCGGTCGCCGACGTCGAAGGGGTGCATGATGAAGACGAAGATGATGGACTCGAAGGTGGTCTTGCAGGCGTTCCCGAAGACGAAGACTACGAGCAGCAGCTGGGAGGACATGAAGACGAAGACCTTAGTCGTCGCAATGCCCATCAGGAGCAGAGATACCATGATGATGACGACGACCACGATGACGGAGATGAGCTTGTGCAGCTGCTTGACCGCCGTCTTGGTGTCGTTCAGGGAGTGCGCCAGCGATTTCCGGTCGATGTAGGCCTTCACCTGGATAATCTCACGGGAGTCGGATGGAGATTTTCCTCGATGCATTTAAAGATGAACTGTCAAAATGGAGCTCACCACCCAGTTCTTGAAGGCTGACTTCTTGATCTTTCCGGTCTCGGAGGCCCCCTCAAACTGCGGAAGCACCATCTCCGCCTCCTCCTTGGTCAGGAATCTCAGCAGGTCCTCCTCCTCGATGAACCTACGAAGAAGGAGACGAGTTCGCAGGGGAATGGCAGATGAAGAGGAACAGTGATAGGAGGAGGAGGAAGTACCTGGTACAGGGCTTTGCGACGTTCTTGAAGATCCTGCGCGCCGCCGCCTTCGCCTCCCACTCGTCGGTGATCTCCTTGCCGCCGCCGGCCAGTTCCTCGTTCGCCGTCTCGTCGATCATGTTGGAGATGGTGAGCGAACCTGATCCTCTAATGGCGTTGACGAGGCCCTTCATCGTCCATGCCGAGACCTTCTCCGGCCTCAGCTTGTGCAACTTCGCGACGTCGATAATCCCCTGCACCTTCCCCTTCCCCTTCTCTTTCCCCCTTCCCGGTTTCGGCAATCTCAGACAGCCGGAGCTCCTCTCTGCGGTGACATGCTGCACCATCTCCATCGTCGGCGGGCCGGAGAGGGCCTGGAGGACGTACTGGTGGAAGATGGACTCCTGGATCCGGTCGAAGAAGGTGTTGACATGGAAGGAGGCTGCCAGTAGCTTCACCATTAGGGTTTTCACCAGCCAGATCAACGATCCTACGAGCAGGGAGACGAGAGCGCGGGAGACGAAGTCGAGGATCTTCGCCGTATCTTGCGAACGCCGGACGCTGCGGAAGATCAGAGACCAGGATGCCAGAACCAGACCTAACCAGACGCAGATGCGGAAGCTATTCTTGATCCCGTAGACAAAGTAGAGGACCTTCTTCCTGAGGAGGAAGTTCCTCTCTATGAGGAAGACGACCAGGAGGACGAGCCAACCGGTGAGCAGCCGCCCGCAGCACACCACGATCACCATCACACACCATTCCCAGATCTCCAGGCCCCAGATTCCGAATCCCTGGAGCTTGGGAACGCTGAGGCTTGTCGCCAGGAGCGCCGCCGCCGCCACAAGGATCAGCCACTCCAGCGGAGCGCAGACACCGCATTTGCGCTTCCTCTTCTTCGCTACCTTCTCGGATCTCTCCTTCCTGTATATCTCTTCTTCCGCTTCCTCGTTTTCCTCTTCTTCCTCCTCGTCGTCCTCAGAGGCCCTGCAGTGAGCAGGGGAACCACCGCGCGCCGGCCGGCTCGCCTCCTCCGCCGTGAGACGCAGAGGTGGCGGTTCCACAAAACGCGACTTCGGTTTGGAGACCATCGACCTGGAGAAGGAACGCCGCTGCCGGAGGAGAGAGCCGCCGGGAGGCGGCTTGTCGGAGCTCTGTTTAATGCTAGCAACCTCCGCCGGGGGAGGGGAAAATCCAGCAGAAGGCTTCTGGACGGGGAGCTTCGCGTCCTTGTCGCCACTATTGGCGGAGCCATATTGCTTGGAGGAGTCCTCATCGCAAGAAATAACCAAGACCAACTCCTCCGGCGCCGCCGCTGCAGTCGCCGGCCGCCGCTCCTCCGACCGCTTCTTCCCATCCTCCTCCGTCTCCATCAGCTCAAATTTCTCTCTCTCTGTGGTTCCCTCTGGGACTAGGGATAATGGCCGCGTCTGTTCCTCTCCCTCGCACTACTCTCTCTATCTCTCTCTCTCGCTCTCGATCTGACTGCGCTTCCAGCTGTGGCGGCGGTAATGGCGTCCACTGACCTCCCCACTGAATGTGGTCTGTCTCGACCCTGAAGTCATCGTCAATGGACGGCGTCGGAAATCGAGCCAAAAAGGGAAAGACGGAGGCTGTCCCTTTTTGAAAACTCAAAAACCAGTGGCAAGTCACCGTACAGTATTCCGTCGCCGGTGATAGCGGCGACACGGCAGGCGATCGGAGGAGCAGCGCCGGCGCCGGAGGAGAGGATTCTCTGAGGTAGAGATTGAGAGAGAGAGAGAGAGCTTAGCAGGGAGACCATCGGTCATTCGTTGCGGACGTCGTACGGTACGTTTCCAAATGAGGGAAATCTTCCGTCGCCCTTGTCCAAAGTAATCGTCAACCTTTATTAATATTTTATTTTTCTATCTCATTTTGCTTACTTCATAGAATAATATTTATTCATTTCCCTCGTCTGAAATAATTAACCATCGATATTTATATTCTATTTTTTATCGCGCATTTTTCGGAGTATAATGTAATAATAATTTAGTAAAACTTTCCTCTCTGAAGTACCCTTGAACGGAGACTTCGTGCTGATCGTCCGATTCTGATCTGGTCGTGGGGAAACAGATTTATCAAGTGAATCGATTTCTTAGTCAACTGAGATTATTTATAGTTTGTCACTTTTACGAGGACTTTTTTTTTTAATTCACACGTCTCTCTCTCTCTCTCTCTCTCTCGTGATGATATGCCCCACCCACGGTGCGTTGACCTAAGAGAAATCTAAGCCTAGTTAACTAGTAAAAATATGGGGGGCGTAGAGGAGTGAGAAGACACTGATCCCCGTTTCATGGGGGGGGGGGGGGACACAAATGTCATTATCGGGTTGAAGCATGTGAGTATATTTATAATTATAATTTAATTAAAATGTGTCAAATATTTAATTATAAGTTTGGTAGGCTGTGGATAAAAGCATGAAAAAATGGGGCATCTGAAGCCCAGGCCCATTAATAAATTTCGTTCCGGCCCAACAAGTCCTTTTACTCGTGTTTGCCCATTTTTGGTTATTTATCGTCATCCGTTATTTCCGGTCACTCGTTCGCGTATAGGGGAAGCAACCATTGCCGGATCATCCTGACCGTCCATATCCACCCTCCCGCGATCCTGATCATGATCGAGATGGCTTCTAGAACCTCCCCCCCCTAAACTTCCCTCCTTTCCCCGCCTCCTCTTTCTGGGTCGGTTCGAATGTCTGCTCCTTATTCTGGTAGTTACTGCTTCCACTCTCTGTCTCCCTGCTCATTGCTTCCTCCGCCATTCTCTGCGTTCCGAAGCCGGTGACGGAAGAGAGCGTGGCACCTCGCCTATCTTCCGAGTCCTATGGTGAGCTTGATCCGAGTTGATCACTGATTTGCTGGTCTTCTGATCGTTCCTTCCTGATCGAATTGGATAGCTTCTTTTGTGAATTCCCGGTGGGAGGAAATCGAATCTTGGTTTCTATGTTCTTGAGATCGTGCACTGGAGGAATTTTCTGATGGAATGTGGCTCGTGATTTGAATTATTGGGGTGTGTACGGTTTTCCCTGTTTCAGGTGTTGATGTGCGTATGTTTGACTTTCATCAATGGAAGATCGGTGGAGAGGGGGAGCGAATGAAGAGAGCAATGCTGAGGAGGGTACTGTTGAGAACAGAAGCCACTGTTCCTCGCCGCGGAAACAGATTGCTGACTCTGTCGTCTACAAGCTCGTTCGGGTAAATTGCTCTTTGTGGAATGGCATTTTAAAGTTTCGTGTTGAGTAAAGGGTGATGATTTCTTTTATTGAAACATAACTAAGAAATATAGCTGTATAAAATGAATGAATCGATAATTTTGTGGATCCCTCTTCCTTCATTTTTATGAATTGATGGAACCGGTATTGCTTATTGGAAATACCTTTTCCATTCATTTTCCATCTAAGTGATTTGAATCTCCTATCCAGTCTATCCAACAGAACTTGCAGTGAGAAGGAAAAACAACGTTATAGAACGTCAGTTTTATAAATCAATTGCTCTGTGAGATATAGGTATAACTTCGGTCTCGGTGCGACTCGATCGCTGCAACGAATAGTTTTGGGACGAGTAAGAACTAAGGTTAATGATGTTCAGATGAAGAGGAATTGAAATATTAGCGAGAAAATGGCCTCATTTGGAGTGAAGTTCCATATATTCCTGCCTGACTGTATCTTGAAAAGTTCGTTGAAAAAAGGATTCAATGCTCAACTTAATGGAATCCCGATAGTCTGGACTCAATTAAGAAAGAATTCTCATGTTAACGGATTCTCAGCAGATTCTTTATTTTCCTTGTCGTATTTTTCGAAATTAGCTGGTTCAACATCTTATGGAAAATTTCCCCCAAATGCTTGCCAGTTTTCTACTTATGGCCCTTAAAAAAACTTTACAAAAAGTATGTAGAGAATCGGATCCACCCATTCTTCAGTATAATACTCACCCAATCCGCCTTCATTTTCCTTGCAACGTATGTGTCCCTATCTCTCTCACCAGAAAAGATTAAAGAAGCCATTACTTGTCTACGTCCTAATTTTTTTCTGTTTAAATTCTAGGTCGAGGGTGATGGTACACTAGTTCCTGCTACAGATGATGACGTTATGGAAGTGGAACATATGCTTAAAGATGACAAGAAGGATGCACCATCCATAGAAAGTATGGAGAAATTCCAGGACTACGTTTCTGATGCTGTGTTATCCTCGAGGAAGTCTGGCATAAACAGCCTAGAAGGTATTTTTCGGTCTTCTGTAGCGTTCTTGTGGGGACATTGTTAAAATTTACGACGGAGAGATTGGAGTCTTGAAATCTCTTTTCTATTTCAAAAATGCTTTGATGAATGTAGCGGAACTTTTTGGTCATGATTCCTTAGTTTTCTTGTGGATTGCCATATTCTTGGGAGATTCTCTTGATTTGAACTCACACAGTTCCACAACCTCACCATTTTTTTATGTTTTGAGAACATTTTGTGATTTTTCTCATTTTCTATGGTGCATGACTACCTATCTCGATGAGATACATCCTTGTGTTTCTTGTGCCATTTGTTATGTTTTGAGATACTGGATGGTTTATCCCTTTTGTATTCATCAGATGAATTCCCGGTTTTTTTATTCATGTCTTTCAAATAAAACTTGTATTACTTGGACTTAAAATTGCTTTTTCTTTAGGGTGTTACACTAAATTTCACTTCATGAGTAAATCTGATGTCTACAAGCAGTAAAATCATAACCATCTTGTTAATATACTCATATTATCACCAGGTACCATATTTTTAGGTATATAATATTTTCGGACGACCCCAAATGGCTAAATTTGACATAATTTTCCAATATCTATATATTATTTCGAAAAAAGTTCTTCTCTTTCCTCTTTCAACCAATTATGATCATGTTTTCTCATCTGTGGCTGTTTTGCCTATCTTGCTAGTTGTGGGTCCCTTAATTTGCGAAAATCAGTTTTCAGTTTTGTTGGGTGTGATCTTAATTTGGGCAGCATTGAATAGAAAAAAAATCATTTGTTATGGGGCAACGAAGCACATTTAACGGGAAAATAGGAATATAGAAGGAAGAGAGGGTTTACAATTTATAGGCATGTTTTCATTTTTTTCATAGAATAACAAAAGAAGAATATGTCTTCCTCAATGGTTTTCTCAAAATAGAAATTAGCCACCAAACGTTGAAGGATCCATTCCTTGAACCATTCATGATGATTGTGGTGGGCAGTTGGAGGAATTATTTTGGTTCGTGTTTGAACCAAATCATATCATGATCCAAAAATAAAACCGAATGGATTATTTCTTGTTGGTCCTTACATGTCTTGAATAGACGCTGAGAAGTTTTGAGAGTTTTATTTAATTTTTTTGTCCATATTAAGAGAATGTATTTTTAGTTGAAGTCATTGTAGGCTTGTTTAAAGTTTAACCGATTGATTGGTACTTTGTAAACTTGGAATCTTAATAATGTCTATCCGCCCATTGCCTATATCTTGATCATTTGTTGCATTTTATGGTACTTGATCTAATCAAATAGTCTTCTATGTTTCGGAAAACTTTCTTGGGATCAACTCTAGAAATGCTTTGTTTTCTGTCATGCTTCTGACTTCTTGCTGTCTATTTGTGCCCTTTGCGTGTATCTCAATTTAAATGATGCCTGCCACATTTGATTTTATAAAGAAAATTTCTTCGTGCCAGACTTCATCCCTATAGAAACCGGGATAATTTGATTAGCTCATTTGGCAGGATCATCATTGTCTGAAAGTTCCGTTGGCAGTTCGCAGAAGTTGAATGCTAGACTTGAGGTCAGTCGTACAGTGTCTTTCTACTATATTCAAGATACTTTTCTATTTTCATTTGTTTTAGATGTTGAGTTTTGTGATACTCTGTGTTTCATCTCCAGGTTTACTTATGTTTCTTTCTTATGCATTGATCTACCGTTTCACTTCCTTTCTAAACTTCAGAAATCTAAAACATGGAATATTCACCTTATGAATTACCTTTCGTTTTTGTGCAATGATTTTTGACGAAATTTTAAGTCTTCATCAAGAAATATTGCCAATATAGAAACGTTTCTAACAAAAGGCCTTTGGTGTAATGAAAATTTTCCTAGGGATGATGAGTCAGTTCAATAATTCTGACGTTTCCTTTCCATCTTCTGTAATTTTCAAGGATACTCACCAGACACTCATTTAAACCAATATAATATAAATAAATAAAGCTCGATAAGTATCCCGCCCCTGTACCTTTTGTGATTTGCTAGCATCTTGGTTTACAAGGAACATGAGGCTCAGAGAAAAGGCGTCTATCACTGTATCAGTGAATACATGGACATTCTCTGATTTTCTGATTTTGGTTCGCAGAGAACATCCATAAACACTGCATGCTTCCACATGACGTTATGCGTATTGGAGAAATAGCATAGAAATAAACATCTGTATTTTTAGACAGCATAAAACGGATGCCAGCTTAATTTTAGTCTGCAGTTAATGGGTTTGATGTTCACATTTATGACTCTCGTCGTTCGTTAGAACTTAATAAAAAGGAAAAGGAAATGGAAGAACCTGGGACTTCGTCTGCTGGATTGATTGATTTTGGGCTTGTCAGGGTTGGATATGTTATTATGGTTATCCATATGGGTAGGATCAGAAGCGAGGGTAGTAAAAAACTCTACATCTATGTTTTTGGAAACATGACTCCGGATATCTACCTCTTAAAAATGTAATACTGATTATTATCTTCATTGGTTGAGCCTTGGATAGTTTCGCGCCCCAAGCCTGTCCTAGCATCTGTTGAATCTTATTTACTTCACCGGTATCGTTGCTTTTATCCCCATGTCCTTTTTTATATTGTGAATAATTGTTCCTTTTTCGTCTGTCATGTAGTATGTAGAGGCGATGCTTCAAAAGGTTAAACAAGAAGAGAAGCTGCGGTTGTCCAGCGAACCACCTTGTCAGTCTCCCAGATATCAACATGCAGACAAGCAGCCCTCCGCTCATATCTTCTATCTTCCAGCCTTCAAAACCACTCAGCAGACGGAAAGGTCCTCTCGGGAAGCTACTGCTCTAAGTGAAGGGATTGTTGGACGGTGCCCAGAGCCCACTGAAGATGAGCGAAGTGCTAGTGGAATGGTGGCGACTGAAGATTTATCGAATTCTTATCACACAGAAGGGGAGATAATCTGTTTCGATAATCTGACCATCCGAGAGCTCCAAGAAGCTTTCAGGGCGACCTTTGGACGCCCGACATCCGTCAAGGATAAGCTATGGCTGAAACGACGTCTATCAATCCCTCTGACTAATTCGTGTCATGTTCCCTCAACGGGTTTCGCAACGAAAGACAGAAATGTAGCTAAGAAGAGTGCAAAAGAAGGAGGCCACCACTCCGCAGACAGCCCTAGATGCGAGGAGGTTGATTCTCAGCCAGTGGGTCAAAGCGTCATCTCTTCAAAAGATGGGGCCCATGATTCAAGCCCTTCTAGCCAGGTAGAAGAGAGGATCTTCTTGTCGGGCAAGAGATTGAGGCCACCTGGGCTACAAAATGATCCAAAGGACGACGGTCTTCACGCTGAGGTCTCTGGAGCGAAGAGGATAAGGAGACCCACGAAAAGGTACATCGAGGAATCTTCAGACGTTGAAACAAGAGAGTGCAGAACTCCTGTTAACAGCTCGCGAGAAAACCTGCACTCGAGTTTCACTTCACCCGGAGGTATCGACTCCAAGCACTCGAGTTTCGTATTGAGGAAGGACTTTCTTGGGGGATTTGGTGTTCAAGTACCATACGCTCTGAGGGTTCGTCGGGGTCGCCCCAGAACAAGTTTTCTCACCTTTATGGTACGCTACCCTCTTCCACTTAACGGCGCACCTTATTATGAAACTTTCACGCGGTGGTATATTTCTGCTTGTTTCTTTCGACAATCACAGACTAAAATTATAGCCACCTCGAACATTGACCTCGCCAATATTCAGAGAACAACCCATTGAGAATTTTTCCCTGGTCCAGAGGACACCTAGATTCTGCATTTTGCATTAATCAAAACAGGGCCGAGTTTCGTTCCTGTGGGCTTGGCTCCTCGAGCGTCTTCTCTCCATGCATAAGGAAGGGTCATTGTTTCAGTGCTCTTTAGTCATTTACTAATTCGCTTCCATTGCTCACTGATTTGACCCTTGTGGCTTGCAGAACAGTGCCTTCATTCAGGAAGATAAGTCGGCGGCAGAGGCCCCCTACTGGAGCAGCGGGCAGGACGTGACGGGCGCATCTGGAGGTGATTCGGACGACAGTGGGGATATCGTGCTGATGCCTAAGCATAACGGGGGAGAGAGGAGGAAGCACCACCGGGCCTGGACTCTTTGGGAAGTCACGAAGCTTATCGAAGGAGTCTCCAAGTACGGCGCTGGGAGATGGTCCGAGATAAAGCGTCTCGCCTTCCCATCCTATACACAGCGTACCTCAGTCGATCTCAAGGTACCCTACTTCACACACACATATATATATTCTGTTATTTAAAAGGGAAGATCTTTCATGCATACCTGGGTCCGTATCTGGGCTGGGCTTGAAGGAAAACCGATATGTAAGCCCGGCCCTACGTACACCTATCTGAGAAAAGGGAGTGATCGGTGAGGAAATGGAGCAAGAGAGATAAAAGTGCGACACGAGAGATTATGGGACAGCTACGTGACAGGAAGAAGGTCAGACCCTATGGAAGCCGGGATTTGGACAGATAAGGATTAGGCCTGCAGTATTTCTTTTTCCAGGTTCGATTTTGAGGTCCAAGCTCTCTCTCTCTCTCTCTCTCTCTACTTATGTGTATATTTACATGTATATTTAGATATGTAAATAGAAACTTAGTCTCTGGAGTGATTGGGGTTTTTTTTTGGAGTTGTTCCCATTTGCTAGAAAATTAGAAGGATAAGGTGGACATAACCTGCCCTTATCTTTAGTGGGGTGAACAACTGGCCAATCGGAAAACACGATCTTTGCCTGCTCAACTTTCTCCGCCTTTCAACTATTATTTATCTTTGAAGGACAAATGGCGGAACCTGCTGAGAGCTTGTTTCACCCAGCGACCCGCGGAGAACAGGGTGAGGATCCTTGGTCTCTCTTGTTTCTTGGTCTCTTTTTCATATGATCCTCATTACTCTAGCAATCAAGTAATCAGGATCAGCCAATCAGGGTCGAGATTGGTCTTGGCTAATCCAGTTCCATCGGCCCGGCCCGGACGGAGATCATCCTTGGCTGGTGCCATTTAGCATATAAATCAACAGATTCATTCAATTCTATTCATCCGGCGTAAGATGCGCCAGATAGGTTCTTGGTTCTGTTATGTTCTCCAGTCTCTTGACAAAACTCGTTGCTCAGAACACCCGGAGACACAACTCGGCGCCGCCAATTCCCACGTGGGTTCTCGCGCGCGTCAGGGAGCTCTCGGAGATGCAGCAGGCCCACCAAAGGATCGGAGGATTCGGCTCCACCAAGGCCGCGCGGTGAGTGCCTGTAAATTCTCTGTATATTTGTAACCTACTGAATCACCTACTTGCACCCAATAACCATGATTTCAAACCAACAAGGTCCATGGCGCGGTTCAAATATGTGGGAGCGCGGGGGTCAATGGGCGTCTCCAGAGACCCATTGGCTGCCGCCACCACTTATCACCGCCCTTTACACCTCGCCACGTTGGGCATTTGCAGCACCTTCAACGTTGGCCTTGGTGGATTTGAGACTTTGGGTTCTATGAAAATCAGACTCTGTCCATCACATTTACAAGACCCCGAATCCACTTGGTCAATTGGAGGGAGGCAACCCTAGGCTTTAGTTCAAGTCTTTTGGTATACTCGGGATCCCACAGTTAGGTAGTCGGTGGCAGTGACAGAGGTAGATGGGCGCATCAACTGGGGTACCTAATAGGTGGGGGGAAAACCCCGAAGAAACAACCCACAACAATGCAGCCCTGGAGACACCAAAAATAGAAACTAGGGTTCGGGAGGGGGCAGTTTCTACTGGGAATTCAGCCTCTGGACATCGACCAACTGGTAGAGGTCCCCTCGCCGCTGGTTCCTGAGGGGGAGGCTCGACCTGCATTATAGATGAATACGTAGATTAATCAGCATCTATTGAATAGAAAGTGGACGACCATCATATTGTTCTACTTGGAGGTAGTGGTCTTCCTTCCACCTTCTTAGTTCTATTAGTGAATAGTCAATCTCCGCTATGATCGTCGTCTCTTCGTGCCCTGTGGTGGCCAGCACCTCTCCAAACTGTATGGCAAATAGAACACAGAGAAATGAGTGGTTTCTATTCATTCATTCCTTCCATCTGAGAAAGCTGGCAACTAGGGGGAGTAGCAAATGGGCCACAAACTTGGTGGGCTGGGCCTGTTTCTTTCCTAGACTAGATATTGAGGCTAAGTCAAGGAAAATAAAAAAAGTTGACCAGGCCCACTGACAGTCTTGCTCACTCAAGTGTGAGGAACTATAGCACATAACTAATGAAGATAAAAGTATATGTCCAGTCAATCATTTTATGTAAATGATTGATATTCTGTCTGCACAAGGTCCATAAAAATAAAATAAAATAAAATAAAATAAAATAAAATAAAATAAAAGAATAAGTGAATAGTTGTACTCACAGGTCCAACAAGAGTGGAGTGGCCCCAAGCAACATAGCCAGCACTAGGGTCCCGTGCAGGTGAACAAGTGGCCACGTAGAGCTGTCAAAGGAAAATCACATACGCCCAGCTGAATGAGTCCAGGGAATTCCACCCCGGGTCCACAAACCCTTCTTGATGATTTGACAGAACAGAGAACACGTCAGAGTGGCTCTCCAGCTAGGATAAATAATCTTAGGGAACTTTGACTTGGCCGGTCTATTTTCCTATCTGGGGGAGGCGGCAAATGTAAAGGAGGGCCTTTCCATTCCACTAGAACTTATCTTGGTGGGACTCCTCCCTCCTCCCTCCTCCCTCCTCCTCCAAAATGGGACAGTTTCGGTTTCCTAATGTTTTTCGGTGGATTGATTGATTTGTTTGAAGAAAGTTGTTAGGTATACTCTCACAAATTATTGGCCTCGATGTAAAATTGGCAGTAGGACGTGTCTTGAAAGAATTACCTGATTATCCGCAGCCCTGAGAAATAAGAAAGAAATAAATAACTTATCAGTAAACCCCCCCCCCCCCAGCATAAACTAATAATAAAACACGAAAGTTGGTGATAGAAAAGCATTGCCATATTGCATGATGGACAGTAAACTAAGAGCTTGCCCTAAGTTGAGGTTTCTAGTGAGAGAGAGAGAGAGAGAGAGAGAGAGAGAGAGAGAGAGAGGGGCTAGGGCAATAGACCCTTTAAAAATTTCAGACAGGGGTGTTTGGCTCTGCAAAGGTATGAAAGGAGCTGAGCGGAGGAGAAAGAATTGACTCCATTCCCTCACAAGGAATGCCTCAACAAGTTAAAAGAGAGAGAGGTACAAAATTGTCGCTATTTGAATATTAATCTCGTAGTGAATTTCTTTGTGTGCCATTTCATGTCCTAGTTTCCAACTGGGAGGAATGAGGTCAGGGAGAGTCTTACCTTGCTCTCTGCAGCAGTTCCCAGTGTAGAGGGCCAGTCGTCATGTTAAATGCTCCAGGATAGCAGAGCAAATGGGCACCTGATAAATACACAAATCTCTATGCCTTAATGTTGGTGCAGAGATAGGCCCACAAGTCTCTCTCTCTCTCTCTCTCTCTCTCTCCCCTCCCTGAACGCCTTCAATTTTCACATACGAGCCACCCGATTAGTTTTCCTATAGGGGGCTGTCACAGGGTCTCAGCTATTTCTTTCCATGCGGGGGCTACTTGAGACGGAGACAAAACTAGGGCAACTGTGTAGAGTAAAACCTCGTGCTGCGTACAACATTGCCAACTCCTGGAATCGAATGTCGTAGCAAATGCCCACCCCGATGCGCCCAACATCTGCATCCAAAGAGTTCAGCAGTCAGCCACAGCGTGTCGTGGACTCTGTTCCATAAAAATCTGAGTTTTCCAGTAGAAATAAGTAGCGGAAGGCAAGAATTTGACATAGGTTAGCTTCAATATCACAAGCCTATGAGCTGCCCACCTCTCGTAGAACAAATGGGTGCGCTATTTTTGTCTTACATACACTCCATCTAATTATTTCTACAGATCCTCAGTAGTCAACGGGTGATTAGTCAGCGAACGTCTCGAACCTGTGTCAATGATGGTGGGATTTTCCCCGGCTGTCAGCGTCTTCGACTCCTTGAATGTGATTTTCCCAGGGATGTCAATGTCGAAGAGATGAATCTGCCAAAAAAAGAAAAAAAAAAACCAGACCCAGATGCCAGTTTTTTCTCATTTTTTAGCCCCAGAAAATAGGCCACGAGTGTCAACGAGTGGTTGACCCTGGAGCTTCCCCGATAGATGAATACTAATAATGATGATGATAATACTTCACCTTCCTGTGCTTCCCTTTGAGCTCCCCGTCTGGCCCTACGACACAGCAGGTGTTGTATATACGATCGCCGGAGCGCTCTGGAAACGAGCCGCCGACGATCGTGATGCGCTTCCGGCGGGCGACGTCGGAGAGCATCGCCAGCGAAGGGGAGGCGGCGCCGCCGGCAGCCTCGATGTCCTCCGCGTACAAGGGGAAGGACTCGTTCGAGTAGGGGCTGTTCCAGATCTCCTACTCCAGTTGGGGGGAGAATCAATCAATCCGCCGTTCGATCGATTCACGGCGGATGGATCTGAGGAATTGGAGGAGGGGAATCACCGGGAGGAGTACGAGAAGGGCGCCCTTGTCGGCGGCGTCTTCGATGGCTCGGCGGGCGTGGGCGATGTTCCTCTCCTTGTCCGCGGTCACCGTCAGTTGGCACAGCGCGATGCTGAACTGGAGATGGTAGAGATGGAGGCGCGGCCGTTCGTGAAGATGGCGGACGGAAATGGGAGGCCGAGGGGAAATCGAGCGTCGTTACCTTGGAAACGGGCGGCGGAGGGGATTCCATCGCCGGAGGGACTCTGGCGGCCATGGCGGCGGTGGCGGTGGCGGTGGCAGAGGAGGAGAGTCGGGTGGGGTTTCTTAGGGGGAGGGAGTGGGAGCAGAGGCGTTGGAGGAGAAGGGAGGAGGGGAAGAGAGGAGTGGCGGCGGACAAGAGGGTGAGTCCGCTACTTCTCATCTCTTGATGGCCGTAGAATTCGATACCAGACGCCAAATTTATCAAAGGAAAGGGATAGGTTTGGGGTTTTTGGGGACATCTCATCAAGGTTTAGTCATAAAAAAGGAAAGAGAGGCCATGGTGGGAAGACAACGGACGTATTGCTAGTAAAATAGATGGTTTATTAAGTCACTAAATTATTACAATCATTACAAACGTCCTCCTTTCCCCTTGTTGTACCAGAGAATAATGAAGATGGGTGCAGACGTCATGTTGAAGAGAGAGAGAGAGAGAGAGAGAGAGAGAGAGAGAGAGAGAGAGAGAGAGACATAATTTTAAAATGCATTTCCCTAGTAGTTTGGCTACTTTTTGTGTCTGCTTACTTTTTATGCACACTTTCCATGACATGACCTGCTCTCATCTTACATAACATAGGATCTTTTGACAAAAAAACATCACTATAGCTCCTGATAAACTACCTTGAAATTTATGAGTGTTCTATGCATTAACACTAAAAAAGAGTATTCCTCGAGTGGTTTTGACATTAAATTTCTTAAATCATGACAATTCCCCCATGATGTTAAGGCTAGGAAACACTCCATGGAGATACAGGGATGTCACATTTTTTATGGGGAGCACGTGGACATACCTTGTAATTCTCGATAGATGTAGATGTGTACTAAAAATAGCATGAAGGGACAGTCAACCAACAAGGATAGAGAAATAGAGTGAGGCAAGGATGGAGTGTACAAATGGGAAGATATGGAGATGCTCAATTTTGAATGAGAGAGGCTCTAATAAGGACAAAAGTGAACTTACTTAAGGTTTCCGCATCAAGGGTGAGATAGTCTTTCCTTTTTATGCAAGTGTATTTATCTACATATAATTAATTAATTAATATTGATTAAGTATATAGTGGATGAAAAAAACCATAATTTTAGTATATTTTACAAAGACCTACACAAAGAGATAATTTCAATGTGTGAATATCTAAACAACATCAAATACTACATTTGCTTATTTCTCATCTATCATCATTTTAAATGGCATTAACTTTTAATGATTACTTTCTATGATATTTTTGGAGTCATATGGAGCATAAAAAGAAACAAGAAACATAGATCTTATGGTCTTTTTTCTAATATATTAAGTTAGACATAGATCTAATGTAATTGAGTGTACACTCAAATTCTTGTGAGATGTAAACTTGGGATAACCCCATTGTTGAATAACTTGATGCCAATCATTAATCACTGAGAGCAAACACCACCTTAATATCACAAAGTAGTGGCTACAAATAAAAGGTCTTAATAGAAGGTGGGGTTCATGGGAGAAGTAGTCATAGTTCATGAGATTGATCACCTCTAATTCAATCATTATCTAAATGTGGTTGTGAGCTCCCCCTTCTCTAACCTTTGATCAAACCCCCCCTCCACCTCTATCATCATCTCTTCTCATATACGACAGAATCTATTTGATGAGTTTCGTGCAAAAGATTCATCTAACGAGATTTTTCTATCCCTTAGAGCCTTCTTTTCCCTCTCTTTTGAGGGGCCCCATCAAAGTGATGTTAGAGCCACTAGAGTTATGTCACCAAATTCAATGACGTCAAGATATACTTTCTCAAGAAAGAGTTGTAGAACATTCAAGAAGTCAACACCAACCTTTAATGCAACATAATATGTCTGCAAATAGAGGTCAACTCATTTTGAGAAGAAGTCATGAAACTTTAACAACAATTAGATTACATCATAGAACTTTTGACAACTTGGGGCAATAGAAGACTCCAAAAGATTATCTTTATAAGATAAATAAAAGTAATTTATTTGCAAGAGAGTCAAGTAATAGTTAGGTGAATCTTGATATACTAGAAGTAAAAAACTAAGTCAATGAAGAAATAGACCACTTTAGGAATCACCATACTACCCATTCTCCTCACATAGAATTATGGCACAAAGGGCGTAGACTTGAGATGTTTGTATTTAATAAGCACCATCAAAAAAGTTAGATTTTCTATGCAGAATTATACTTTCAATAAGTCTACTCTCAACTATAGATAATTTGTCAATGGTTTGAATTAGCATGGAGGGAAATATATTCACATGATTCAAATGGATTGAAATGTTAAAATCCTTACGTAGATGAGAAAACCTCTAATATTAGCTCATTGAGAGTTTTAGGTCCAATAATTAAGTTCTTAGATATCAAATAGAAAAGTAATGTTGTAAAATATCGAGAGGAGCAGATCCTCCCTATTTAAAGAGATTGAGCTCTCAACATACCAGATCATTGAGCTCACCAAGGATCTCATGCAAAGCAGCCGACATCCTTATTTTGACTGATGGTTATAATCTTTTGCCACCTACTCAAATAAATTCTTAAAAAGAACTTCCTCAAAGGGTTGAAGTAAAAAATTCAGGTTGAGATAACCCAATTTGAGTTAATGGGCCCCAAGGCCATAATAACAACATCTTAGAAGGCCAAAATCAAACATAGTGTTAAAGGAAGTAATTGTAAGGGAGTAAAAGCCACATTTTTTCTTCACGTGAAGTATCAACCTCAAGTTATAGTCTTTGACACGAACTAGTATCTAAGTATTCTCCCAAGAAATTCTAGTTGCAATAGATGGAGATCTAATATAGCTCTGAAAAAGTGCTTACCAAAAGTAGTAAATAACTCTAATTCACTTCAACAAAATTTAAGCCCAACAAACTCAAAAACTTTGTTTCTCTTACAATGAAAAATACTTATCAGGGCATCATTGTCATGAAAGATTATAAGTTTTGGTCATCTAAGAGGAAGCTTAGATAGAAATTAAAGAAAAATTAATACCCCAATAATTAAGATCATCTCTAGTAAAGATGAGAATTTTGTTAATTTCAAAGTAAATATTTTGATTGAAGGATCTTCTACCCAAACTTTAAAGTTATGAGAGAAAATTAGTGAATATCTTGTTAAGAATTTAGTACATATAGGAGTCTTCCACAATTTCATCTCACAAGTGATTATTGGTAAGTTCAAGCTTCCAACTTCAATCGGCTCTCCCTTTTAAGTCATAATGAGGATAAGTGGTAAAGTACAAAGAGTTTTAACTTATCAAAATATTTCAACTGAATTACATACCTTACATGTTCGTAAATACTTTCTCATGCTTAAATTGAAATGGCTAAGCATCTTATGGAAGGTTGGACTCAATTTTATAAATTAGACCATTTCTACTATTATTAATAATTAATAGATCATTATACAAGTAGAGGGTCTACTTCGCAATGTTGAGATATTACTTAAATAATTGATCATATTTTACAAGCTAGGGATCTTGATAGTCAAGCTATTCTAAAATTATGAAGGAGGAAGATTTGATTTAAGGCATTCCTTTTTGGAACTTACTATAGTAAGAGTACCCAAAAGTATTTATTATGACATAAGGTCTACCTTCTCACCATAACATTGATCAATCCATCTAGTTGGTTAGGGGCATTTAACCCATCCAAGTTTGGCCTTTTAAGTACCCTCACTTTTAAAAAATAAAATGTAAGAAAGTGGTCTAAGAAATGCTAATAACATGTGTGATATAATAATCTCATAACTTGTATGCTAGTCCCACTTTGTTGATTTGAAAGAATGATACAAATTGACATACTTTTGTTGATTATTAAAGCAAAAAACTATTTTATATTAATTTTTTATTCCAATTGTCAAAAACTTGTTGGATAAATTATATGATGCCAACTTCTTCTCAAGATTAAATCTTAGATTCAATTATCATCAAATTAGAATCAAGTGAGAGAAGGTGTCCAAGATAACTTTCAAGACTCATGAGGGATACTATGAATTCCTCATAACAATGTTTGGTCAATCCAATACACTAATGGCATTCAAAACACTCGAATTAAAATTTAATCATCTTTTTTACAAAATTATCATATTTTTTTATGACATCCTAATGTACATCATAAATCTTGATTTACATCAAGAGCACGTGGGTCAAGTCATTTTTTATGACCACTAACTCTACATCTACCTGACAAAGTATGTCTTCAATCTAATGACTCACTTACTAGGCAACTAGCTATCCACAAGGGGCATATATGTTCATAGTGACAAGGTAGAAACTATTTATAATTGGCATCCACCCATCAGCTTTCGAGAATTTCATTAGTTCCTCAATATTATGGGATATCATCAAAGGTTTATTATTGACTATGATTCTATTATGTGCCCTTTGAATTAACTTTTAATGATAAATACCTTCTAATATAGTGAGGAAGCAGCTACAACCTTCTAGTGTCCATGCTAGCTCTTATTGATTTTGTATAATCATATGAGTTGGAGGGAGACAGGTTAGGCCTTATTATTAGAGGCCTTATTGTCGGGGCAATACTCATAAATAAATATTGACCAATCACCTTCTTTAACTAGACACTCTTCTGTAGGACACTTAAAAATGATGTATGAGTGAGAATTCATGACAATCTTCCTCTTAATTTTGAAGTGGTGTCAATATTTGTTTTGAAGTACATCTTGGACCTGCAAAAAATCATCTTGGAATATCATAGATGACTATATAAAATCATGAGTCTTGATTTTGAAGTATATTATAAAATGAACATGTCAGCAAAGTTGTAGATATATTCATGTGAATTTCACTCTAACTAAGCTTGAATCGAGGACCATACAACATCTAAAGGTTTCTCAACTACAACTCATAGACATTGTCACATTTGGTGAAGAAGTCTATTGTGACCTTTGCCTCTCCAAAATCCTTTTGACTCTTGAATAAGGTAGAGAGCAAAAAAATTATACTTTATATCAAGGCCTACTACTTCACTATAGAAGATTAATACTATTGATAAATTCTTATCTCATTTTGAATATTTTCAGAGAATTTCATAATACAACCATATGAGACTACTTTCGCTTTATGTGCACTTACAAGAGGATTAATTAGAATTTAAATTATATGGGGGTAAACATCTTTATTAAAAGTGATATGGAAGCTTGCTTAACCTACCAATAGT